CTTTATTGTCATATATGTATGTGCTATTGTTCGTGCGTTTCAAATAAGGTTTGATTTACGACTTTTATTATATTAGCATGGTGGGCGGCTGCCTTTATATATATGAATGTAAGTGATTTGGTGGCTCCACAAAGACCAATGGCTAACCGGCAGCCCGCCAAGGATAAATAATAAAAGTAATAAATCAAATTTTGTCTGGTATATAAACAGGAATAATTGGCAAAGCTAGGGGACTTAAGAACTAATTGTGCTGTAATAACTTTGAATTTTATTTCTTTCTTAAAATAAAATAAAACAAACAAACAAATAGAATAAAATAAGACAAAACAAAATAAAATTAAATTAAAGTAAGATTCCTGTTTTCTCTCAGCATCAAGAAATTATTTTACTCTCTACCATTTTGGTACGGCCATATATATATTACTCGTATTTTAATAACTCAAAGAACTTGCAGCCCAATTAAATTTTAATGTGCATGAGCTGCTTATGCTAAAATAACAAATATATTTGCACTATATGCACTTATGCTCTTTGTTTATTTGGTTCCACACAGGTTTATGTATTTGATTTCGTAATGTTTTCCCTCAGATAGTTGATATTCAGTTTACGGATTTTTTTGGCCAGTTTTTGCCAAGCCTTTTGAGCCACTGACATCACAAATATCAATAACACTGTATATGAATTCATGATTCATAGCACGGATATTGTAGGAGTGGCAAACTAATAGCTATAGAAAATATTTGATAGAGTGATTGTAAACAAATGTACATATATTTGTGAATAAGGAAGGTGTATAGAGAGTTTATATATGTTCATATGTATGTAAATCTGTGTCAATGTATTGACCATTTTATGATACATTTTGATCATTCTATGGCGCATATTTGCACCTCTCAACAATCACTGGGGTTGGTCTTTTCTCAAAATGCGTACAGATATACTATTCCATGCATTCGCTTTAGAGTCTGGGCTCCATAAAAATACCATCAGCGTCGTTACGAATATTGTTGCCTTTATTGCTGCTTCATGTTACAGTTTGGCATTTTACTACAAAGTACACAAATACATATTTACATCTGTTTCTTAATATCACGGGTATTATTAATGTGATTCTCGGTGTTTCTGTATATTTATTTATTATCATTGTATGTGCTGTTGTTAATATTCATTATGGTCTTTGGTGATAAAGCCAAATTTATTAGACCTGCATATAATGATTTTCAGATATCTATATATATACACACATGTGCATGTATATGTTTGCAAGCATGTAAATGTATATATATTTTGCACACAAAGCGTGCATTTCTTTACTAAAACTGTGACGTCATAGCACATAAAGTGAGCCCAATATACAAACATTCCTTAGGCCAAAGGTTAATTGGTGTGTTTGCCTGTTTTATTATTGTGCTATTTGACATACCTTTCCTGCCTCTTCAGAGCCATTATAATAACATAATAATATTTATTCACGTAATTAATGTGGCCTGAAGAGCCGTTGGCCTTACTTTTCACAATTTATTAGCATAACATGGAAAAAGTCAAACTCCCCGAAACGACTCAAACAATTTGCTTTCTCTTCATTTTTAAGCCAATGAAGGAATTTTTCCACAAAACAGAATATAAAATTTTTATTTTCAGAAAACATTTAATAATTTTTAGAAACAATAATTGACTTCAATATCGGTCATAGTAGCATATATTGCTAATTAAATTTTTTAAAAATTTGAATAAAAATTGCAAAATGTTTCTCATACGCAAAGTCAAATGCCTTTCTTAAGCTAAGAGAAAAAGGTCACTTGAAAAAATTATTAGCGTACTCACGAGTTGAGTTCTTCGTTTAAGTATCTAAAAAGCTTTGATAAGCGCCAATTGAAACACAAAGTAAAGACCTGTAATTCTCTAGCTAATCACTTTAATGGAGTAGATGGCTTCCTCTTCCTGTGTTTCCACCTGCGGGTATAATTAGGCCTAATAAAAAATATCAGCCACAAGTTTACAATAATTATATATTAGATGGAGGACTGTGCACGTCGTCTTGTTAATTACTCAATTAAACCGCCCAGTATTGGCTAAATAAAAATAAACTTAAGCTGCTCTCCTGAATAACTTCAAAATCAAATCTGGCCAATTTATAAACATATAACTGTAGCACTCCATGTGGCATTCCATTCCATGGAGAAACACTCATGGACTACGAGTATAATGTTGCGTATACGCAGTGTGGCAAATACAGCGAAATTTCAGTACAAGGCCACAGTGTAATTAATTTGCCTTCTTTATGTGCAGGTATAAAAAAAATATTTCTTATTTTAGAGAAATACCAAAATAGTTCATGAAAAATAAGAAAAGCTATTTGATATATTAGCTCAAGAGTTTTGGGTTAAAATGTAGCAAGAAAGAAGTGACAGGTGAGCAAACATAACCAAAAGAGCCAAAAGAGTGATGCCATTCCAAACGAGGTGGTCGTAAAATGCCACTGCCACTCGCTGCAGCTGATACATCAAATAAATTATTATTTTCTGTTTCTTTACTGAAATAATAAAAGAGAAACTCCTTGCAAAAAGGGCTAGCAACAGATTCGTGTAGTGTCTAAAACAAATTAAAAGTAAAGAATAACGAATCTTTAGTCTATAAGTAATTTTGTCGACTTAAAGAAAATCTTGAATTTGAAACTGAAAGTATGACTTATTGTTAATATGTATGTATATACATATTTTTCATGGGCGTTGCATTAGTTGAAATCAAAAAAAGCTTGACCAGAGGCAGTTTTTCCTTTTACTGCAACTCTTCCATTTGTAAATTAGCCACTGGCACAACAGGAAATATGAAAGCTGTGAAACAAAAGAAAAACACACGAAGAAAACTGTTAGATAATTGCGCTATCTCGAAAACCATTATAACACATTGCTGCGATGAAATTAATAAGAAAATAATAATAATATTGAAAACCTGGAAGAATTTAAAACTGAAAAAACTAAAGAATAAATAATGCCTACCAAACTTCTGAAGTTGTTCGGCTTATGTAATATATGTAAGTAATACATTTAATATTTGAACATTCCAAGTTCATACAAAATATTCAGATTATTTTACTATATAAGCTGAAATGACGCATCGTCGATGTGTCTTCACATCAATGGTATGTCCCACTTGCAGGTCACTAAAACTCTCCTCTAAGGAACCGATGAAGCGATAACTCTTCCATATCCGATATATAAAATTTTTGCAAACCTTTTTGATACGATAAAAATAATAACTCTCTAACATTTCAACATATCCAGCACAAACAATTCAGTAGGACATAACTAAAGTCAAGGTCGGCCGTAATAGCTGAGTGGGTATATATTACCAGGAAGTCCAGGGTGCGATAAAATAGCCAATAGATTGAAAACGCCAATTATTTAAAAGACTTACTTAATTAATTTACTGGCGGCGTCACCGCTTACGCAATTTTGGCCGATTTAATAACATTGCGCCATTCGTTTCTTCTTTTTGCTGTTTGGCGCCAATTCGAAATACCAAGTACAGCCATTTCCTTCTCTACCTGGTCTTTCCAACGGATTGGAGGTCTTCCTCTTTAAAAGACCACAGTATTAAAAAACCAAAAACCACTCGAGAGCTCATAAAATTCCTTTCCACGAAAAAGAAGTTATTGAAATACTTCAGTGTTAAAGTATATTCTAACGTAAAAATTTAAGCGTCACATTTATAGCTGACAAAGCTGTTACATTGCCATATTTTTCTTTAATTATTTTTTCCAAAAGACATAAAATTAAAAATACTGCATGTCCACCAAAGGATGGAGACGTGGAATGAGATATGACTTATCAGTTACTTCATCTCAATCTTTTTCAAGCTTGAACTGGCAAAGTCAAGTGTCAGCTGCTATTCATTACCTTTGTCACACCTTCAGAAAGTGAGGCGATGGCATCAAAAAGTTTTAAAGCGGAAGCGAGAGTGGAGCTATGTGTATATATGTATGAAATTCTTGCTGATCTAGCACTTTTATAGTTTGTTTAGTGTTGTTTTGAGTAATCAGAAGTTATAAAGGTAGAGATTGTATATTTGACAGTGAAAGCATAGGAACACAATCTGACATGTGACTACTAACTTGAAAGGTGGTAACGTAAAGGTGGCAGTAGCCGAGTGTTTGACAAAGCATGCTACCATGCCGTGGGTCATGGACTCCAACTTGGCCAGATCAGCACCGGCAGGGAATGTCAAGCCTGCCGAGCTTCTAGTGAAAATCCATTAGTCATTTAGAGATGATGTAGAATATACTACAGGTTCCTTCTTTTGTTGGAAAGCAACAAGAGGCAAACCAAAAACTGGAGCAAGAGCTCTGCCGAAAATCGCTTCAGCACCAATTATATGGAAACAAAGTTGAAAGCAATTATTATCCACCTAATTTATGAGTTGAAAAATAATATGCCTTTCAAAATTCTAACTGAAAACAAGTCATCACAAAATAAAACGACACACAATAAAACGACTCAAAAAGAGTAAACCAAATCATTTTATAAATGGGAGTGGTGTAGGTCTCATCTGCTCTTCTAGCCGAAACATTTGCGGTACTATTTGAATTTTGTGCCCAAAATTTAAAACTTTACAACAATAATTCTATAAACTTGCTTATAAGAGCCAATAAAAAATTTTTAGCATCTTTTTAGTTTTTTAAAACTTCTGCGTAATTTAAAAAATAAAATAATAAACAGATGGCAGGTCGCCGCTTATTGCAAGGACCAAGCTTTATGCTGCCTCAACTAGTTATTGTTGTCTAAAATTGTTATTATTGAAGCGAAATCGCAAGTTTTGTTATTAGTGTTGTTGTTTACGTAAGCTTATTTGTGTGTAATGAAAAGCACGTGCATATCACTGTGCTTGTATATGCTAGTGCTTAAAAACTTGCTTGGATTTGTGAATTCATGTCCTGTAAATTTTATAAAACTTTGATAGAAACATATTTGCAGTTTACACTTTTGCACTTTAATACTTACTACTGCTTGGTAACTTATAATGGTTGTTAAAACTTATTTTTCGAAACATTTACTTCATACCCATATACACATATACACTAGTATCGTGTTTGATTTCTATTAAACTTTCACCAGAAATTGTTTCATTCCATTTTTACTTAAATTCGTCAGTGCGCCTATTTGTATGCCACAAATTTGTTTTATATAAACCACCACCGCTGTTGTTAGTATATATTCCTATGTTTGCACATAAGTATAAGTATTATTTTGCGCTATCTCACACTGTTATTTTTTTACCAAAACATACAAATTCATAGTTATAACCCATATGTATATATGGGGCTCAGAACTTTGTATACATACAAATTTAGATAAAAAGTATATTGAAAATATATCGCAACAACAACATTAATGAAATATCGTAGACACTCGTATAACTATTTTTTATTCATTTATATGTTAGTTTGATTGTGTGCCACTAAGAAAGACACCGAAGCACCAAAGGAAAACAAATCTTCGTACACATGGGCGCACATACAATGCAAACACTTCGTTGTTTGCTGAAATAGAGCGTATAGCGAAACAACGGTTGCGGGAAGCTGTATGTGGAAAAACCGTTACTGCTGGCCGCGCTGCGGACTGCTCCGGGGCTAGACTATGCTTCGTATCGTGGTTAGACCAATGTAGAGAAGGTCTACCACATCCGTTCAACACAACGGTTTGGTTCGAACTGAACACTCATTTCATGCGCGCGTTCGTTAAAAAGGACGAATGAGTAGGACGAAAAGCCCCTAAGCTTTTTATACATATACGATTTTATGAATTTCAGTATCATCGGTGTGAAACAACCGAAGTGGCTTGTGAGCAAGAAATGATGCGAAAGTACAAATGCTAATGAAAGTGAGATTGATATGAATTGAACTTATACAAAAATGGAATTGCTGTACAAAAAGTTTCATTTCCATTCCATATTCCATATTTTATTTTTATAAACAAATGGTTTGTTCTAAATAAAACAATAATTATCTGAAAATAACATGACGCAAATTTTGTAATTGTAATTCCTAAATTAAATAATAAAAAAGTGCTCAGTTGAGGGATATAGAAAATTTGAACGAAATAATTTGCTCCTGCAATTAAACAGTAAAGAAGACACTGGGAATCGATAACTGGTAATAATACAAAACAATTAGAATAAAATTGGACTAAAGAATACAGCACTTTGATTCTAGGATACTAATAATATTGTTAATAACAACCGAAATCATAGGATCCAAAAATAAAAATGTATTCTTTTCAGTTTTTTGAAGTTCTGAAGTTTCATCACTGTTCAGAGATGCAAACACAATCAGATCATAAGTATCAACCACGTTCCTTTCGCTTATTCACCGTTACTCTCTATTTTCTCTATATTTCGATTTAAGCTTCAGTCAACTGCCTTGCGTCAGCATTCGATGCTCTTGTGTAAACAAAACTGACTTTCATTCACAAAAGCTTGTCGGAGAATATCAACCAAAATCGTTGTATATAAGAAAAAGTGAAAAAGAAAGTCAGCAAAATATAAATATCAATAAAAGAAAAGTTGTATAAGAAACTCCATGTGGCACCAACTTAACTATTTGTAACGCAACGTCATGCGAATTGAGAATCAAAACAAACTAAGAGAAATGTGTGTCGAAGAATTCACTAACAATAAATACAATATATTATATGTACATTTATATGTATGTATACTTGTACATAAAACTAAAATAAAAACCAACAGGAGAGCAATGATTTCAGCGAACAAGAAAAGCAATTCCAGTAACAAAATTCGGCGATACACGCTTACAAATGACTCATTTCGCTTCCAGACAGAAGTGATTTGCCGTTGAGAGAGTATACATATTCGCACAACATAGCATAGGTAAAGCAGAAACACGTTATTTTTGTTAAAAACGGTAACGCTTTTTAAGAAACCAACGGACAAGAAAATAAGGCAAATGCAGAACAGAAAACACAAATTCAAAATCAAACAGAAAATTCGCTAACAGTGTCGCAAAATTAGTAAAACATTAGTAATTTAGTAAATTTCTGAACAGAAATTGATAATTGCTACTTAGTGTATATTATTGAAGGATATTTGTAAAAAGGAAAAATTAGACATTAAAAACAAATGACAGAGTTGTTGATTACCATGGATGGTATATATATGTATACACATTTTAATTTTAATAAATAATAAACTAGAGGGCTTGACAAATATTTCTTTGCATGAAACACATTGAAGCATAATGATTGAATTAATTTCAAAAATTCACGGTTTCATCGTAACTAATTTGTTGATTGAAAGTTGCCCACCTTTAGCTAATTCGAGGAATGAAACGGTTAGCAATACGTACTAACACCGTTCCACGCCATCCGGAGACATCTTAGAAAAAACTTTCAAATCCCTCCATTCATTGGAAAAACATCCAACTCGGCCGAAAATCGTTTCAACGACAGTTGTATACGTATTTTCTAGATATCTTTTATTTTTGCACTTATATTACAATATTTTATTTAACATTATTTTAATAAATTTTTTCCTTATATACATATATTATGTATTTGTATTTTTTATGTACACATATAAAATATTGTACGTTTGATAATTTTCTACCCACTGTGCGGCGCTTGAAAGCAAGATATGAGTCATGGATGACTTAATAATTGCTGCGATATGAGCATATTCAAGTGATATGGGCAGCGGTGTCAAGCGTACGTTGGTGGCGCAGATACGTTTGCCAATATTCGCATTTGATATGCGGAGAGCAACGGAAGCGATTAATCATTAGTGGCGAGCACGATATGCTGAAAGAATTCTATGATTGCCTTATTGTCGTTACACTTACATACATAAATATGTTTAAAGTATTTAAAGCCAACACAAACATTCACATTCATATTTTTAAAGTCCTTTCATTTATTTTGAGAAAACATTGTTGTCAAAACATAAGCCAAATAATTTAAAATAAAATATACCCATTAGAAGTAATTCAACTTTTCCTAATTTCAATTAGGTTTTATTTTTTGATATTTATTTATATTTCGCATCAATTTTAACTTACTCTCATGCAGTCGTTTCGAAATGAATCATCCGTTATACGAGACGCCACAAGCATCAATGACTTGTTGTACAAGTTCACATGTCACCATATACACATATATACATTAAATCATTGCCTTCGGCTAGCCGGTTCAATTCGGACATCGCACTCATTTCAAGCGAATGGATTATTGAGCACAACCCTACAAGCTGTTAAGCTTGCTTACTAAGTGAGCTGCTCTCAAGAATTGAAATATGTCTCATATAAATCGCGTAGTAAAAAATTTAAAAGCAGTTTTCGCAGCAATGAGGTGAGAGGTTTGATTGAGTCACTTCATATTTGAATAAAGAGATATCACATATATTTAAATAAAGAGTTCTTCGAAGAGATGATAATAAAATTTACAGTCTACATGTCTGTGTGAAAATATTTGAATGAACAAGAATGCAATTTTATAGTAATATTATACTCCATATTGAAATTCGTTGATCTGGCGGTGCATGAGATAATATAAAACTTTTAATATTTTAATTTTTAACTTATTAAGGGCCACTCTAGTATTTTGGAAAACGTAATTTTTCATTTGCTCACAGGCTACCTTTCGGTCCTAGAAATGATACGCAATTGGTTTTAAAAAGAAGAAAATATCTCAAATAGCTGAACTTTTTATTTTGCTACAACCCCTCAGAGTGCGCGCTAAGTACAATGAAAATTTTAAGCGCGTTTTCCTCAAAATCACATTTTTTTAACGGGGAGGACAGATTATTCGGACCCTATTGCATTGCTCTGAAATTTTCATGGTAGCTTAACAAATACATTTTTTGGAAGTCTGTAGCCGTTTTTCGATTAAATGTAGACTATTTCAATAATTTAAGTGTGCCGCTTTCACAAAAGTTAGTTAAAAAATAAATCCGTACGTAATTCTAAATACCATAGTTTGTAGATTATAAAACTGTCTGCTTTTCTGTTCTAGGTCTCATCCTTTAAGAGAAATCAGCCCTCCCACAGACACGTTAAAAAAAAAAACATGGATTAAATAATGTAAATTAATGCCATTTTGTAACAAAATAACAATTAAAGAATATTTTTTATACATCAATATATATTTAATGAAATAGTTAAATAGGAATTCCATTCATTTTCCCATATTCATACAATAAAATTAAAAAAATTGGTCTTTTTTCAACCTCTACAGTGGTTTTACCCCTTAAAACTACTAGAAACTATAACAACAACTTGCACTGTTTTCAACATTGATTACTCTCAATGTGAAATAAATTGACTGCTGGGATTTACAAAATGAGTCAACTAACTTATTTGATTCTAAATAAGGCTTATTTCATTTAGTGAATTCAATGACGTGCGACCAAATTTTAATTGATTGGCGCCTAAAGAAAATGAATTACATTAAAATAAACTTATGTAACAAATAGTAAAAATATATAAAATAAGATAAATCAAAATGATAAAATAAAACAAAATAAATAAAAAAATATGAAAGAAAATAATATAAGATGAAATAAAAAAATATAATATGAAATAAACTAAAATAGCATAAAAGAAATTAAAACAAAATTAAGTTAAATAAAATAAAGTGAAATGAAATGAGTCAGGATAAAGCAGTAATAATAAAAAGTGAAACAAAATTAAATTCAGTTAAATTTGAAAGACTCAAATGAAAGGAATGCTAGTAAATAAGTATTTTTTAAATTCAGGAAAAAAAATTAAAATAAGAATTAAGCAACAAGTGTGTGTATGTATGTATACAAATGCCTAATTCATACTCTTTCTGCCTTATAAGACAAGTTGTTTTCCAATCTATGCCATTGTATTTTATCTTATCAGTATGATTGCAAAAGCTCATGCTTTACCTGCTGCCTCAGTCTGCTTTTTTAGATTTCTACAATCGTTACATGTGGTTTCAGTTATCGAACGACTTCATACGAGCATATACGAACAAAAGTACCTGGCTATTTTAAATTGAACGGAAATATTTAAAAAAAATACTTTCCTATAAGTTTACTCAGTATTTATTGCATTCCTGACAGTTTTTAATATTGATAAATGGAGTGGTCGTTGATTTGGATAGCTTCAATTGTCATAAAGGCATTGAAATTGGTAAGTTTTTCCTCAACTTTTTTGAAGGTAAAACATGCTGGCCTCTTGAAATGAATTTGAAAATATTGTGCAATAAGTAGAAGAAAACCTAAATTTATAAGAACACTATGTTTCCTTTATAATGATTAATTTATTAGTAAATTAAAAAAAAAAAACTTTACAGAGAATTCTTTGTAGTAATAAAGTGTAGTTGTTTACTAAGAATTTTACTTTTACAAGCATTGAGATATGGGTGGGCGCAACACTAGCATACGAGTATTTTATTCTCCTGATTTGTTTTGTGTTTTTTAGGTTTATTATGCTTCATAGCGTATTACTCATAGACGTATGATGTTAACGCAGTGTCCGTGTGTAACTTTAGTATGGGAATTGTTATCTTAAAATTTGGCTTACGAATTTCTGTACAAATGAATTTACATATATTCAACTCTGATTTAAATTTATTTTTTATTACATTGAATTATATTTAATAAAAAATATATACATTTTTTTGCCGTGTTAACATGCTCAAACGCTTGACATTTATTTATTACATTATTGGTTTCAACACGACTCAGCAGTACCACAACAATGGCTGATTTTCTAAAAATATCGTCATACTGGCAACGACTTAACCATTATTTGAGCGACATAAATTCGTTTTCCATTTAATTAAATAATGCTGGATTTTTGGATATTCTAATTTGCAAATTTTGGTGTTAGTTAGATTCAATTTAACTATCGCAACTAAAGAAAGAACGTGGATTTTTAACTTAACAATTGCCGTTTGTCGTACCGACACGGCCAAAAAGTGTTCAATGCTTAGCTCATCAATTAATATCTTCCTTCACTACATCACCCTTCCCTTTTGCAGATTCTCAATCTAGCCATTCTTATAATTTATCGTATCGGAGCTGGTGGCTATTTTCTTGGCGTTGGTGGCACCTGGAATTTATGGGAGGAAAAAAGTGCCGGCTGTGAGATCTTCGCCTCTGGGGTTTTCTTTGGATTCATTGTCTACACAGGCGTACACACAATTGCATACTTTTTTGGTCCCAACAAGTACAGGCAGTAAGTACACGTATAAATGGGTTTCTTAATATTTGTATGCGAAATAGGCATAGATATTTGTATATTCATACATATATATGTACATATGTATATATGATAAAAATAACAATAACGAAGCATTTTCTCTTATTCACATTCTTTCGTAGCGAGCTCACCGACACCATGATGAATGTGGTGGGCACCTTCTTGTGGGTACTTGTGGGTGGCATCGCCCTCCACTATTGGGTTGGCTATATGGATACCAGCGACTACTCATATTTAGGCATTCAACATGTGCCTGTGAATGCGAGTAGTGAAAAACTCGTTGGCATTATAATGGGCTCTCTATGCATACTCGAGGGTGCTTTGTATTTGGTGGATACCGTTATGAGTTGCCTACACTACTCGAAAGGCGACACCGAGTATACTGGAGTGGCGCGTTAAGGCGAAAGTGAAATGCGCCGCAAAGTGACAACATAATGAAAAATATGTCCACTCACATGTTTGACAAATTATAAACAAATAAATATACATACAGATAAATCTACAATATATTACAAAATATCTATTTACATTTAACTACCATCCATCCCTTAAAAAAATGCTTAAGGTAGTTTTAAAGTTTTCGAATCGGTATGACGAATTACCATCATTATTTATGTTTACGTACAAATATGCACATATATATAAAACAAATATTCATATTATGTATTTATATGAAAGAGTGCTTAAATATACATACATACAAAAGTTCTTGTGTGTCTTACATTTAAGATCTTTAATTTCCGTAATTCATATAATTCTACTATGCATTATTATTTTAATAAATTCAATGCCAAAACTTATGATGTGTTTCTCAGAGCCAATTCAAGCTTCGAAAAAATCAAGTGAGTATGGTGTAGAATTTTAATTCTGCTACTACAGACATGCTTGTAAGCATGTTTGTATGTAGTTTCATTTATAGTCAGTTGTTGATTATTAATCGCACTTTATAAGTAAAAGCAATACCACCCGACAAGTGAAACCATTTTAAAAGCGCCACAAAACATTAATGCGCGTTCGTTCATTCGTTCATTTCAATTTCAATTTCAAGACCATTTCGTCTTACATGTACACACCTACATAAATGCTCAAAGTGTCGCTAATGATATGTGCACATAGCAATGTGTTGAATTTTTTAATTAATATGCGTGCGCTAAAACTATTTAATCAATTTGATCGAATACATTTTTATTGAACTTTGTTTTCCTCAAAAAACGTTTGCAAAGACTACTCAGACTTGTAAACAAGCAAACATACGAAAATAAAATGAAAATTATGTATTTATGAGTCCTGCAGGCTTTACGTTGATAAATTCTCATAAATTTTAGTCTTTGAAATAATGAAAAATGAGGTTTTAAATGACCTAACTCCATAAAAACAATACTAATTCAAGGCACAACTTTTAGAGCAATAAATTATAATTTTGGCAATTTGACGCTATTTCTTAAATTTATAATATTTTTTAAACTTTGATCTCAATGCGTCATTCCTTCCCGTCCGACTGAAATCTATAACATGTAACAACCGCGTTCCCAGCGAACTTGATGTGCCTTACTTGTTCACTTCTCTATCTATTTTAACGGTGTAAATAAAGAAAAATTATTTGCTAACTATGAGCTTGTTGAGTAAATATACACATACGTACATGCACACCTTCATACATATGAGCGTATATGCTAACAAAGCTTTATGCAATCTTCTTTTGATACTAAATATTACTATCAGAGTCGTTTAACATACATACATACTCGTATCTTCTCGTATCTACTCGCACATATTCGCATTTATACACGTATCTTATCGAAGAACAAGCGCACAGGCGAACACCGAAAAACAACGATTCATCTGTACGGCTCGTTTTTCACATGTAGGCTGCCATTTCCCATACATTCTCTGGTGACGCTTCTTCGCCAAAAAGCATGAAAGCGTTTAGTTGTCAATTGACTAGATACTAAGCGATCGCGATAAAGAAATTTGCGCTTTTCAAAAATAAGCCTCTCCAATTCGACGTCACGGAATTTGTTAAAATAACTGATTTTAGACTTATGACGGTACCATCACAATCAGTTCTATAGAGAAAATGGATCGCGCAAAATTTGGTTCATTCGAAGTAATTGCCTCAATATGCCTGAAAATACTAAAGCTGGTAAGCAAATGAAGTCAACAACTATAAATAACTAATGCAAACCCTTAAAATCTTATATGATTTTTCAGTTTAACAACATGGGCGTTTTAGTATTGTACCGTACCGGCAATGGTGGAGATTTTTTGGGAATCGGTGGCAACTGGAATTTTCCGGAGAAGCATAGTCCCGCTGTAGAATTGTTTGCTTCTGGTGTTTTTGTCGGATATATGATATATAATGCTGTTGTCATTATTGGCTATTGTTTTGGGGACAACAAAAACCAGCGGTAGGTATCGAAGCACTAGAGCCTCATTATGTAATAGAAAACCAGTATCGATAATACTCCTCCCCATTTTCGTTTACTTTTCTTCTAAAGCAATTTAACAGACATACTCATGAATGCCGTCGGTAGCGTAATGTGGGTGACAATTGGTGGTTTGGCCATACATTACTGGCTGGGTTATATGTCCGATGGTAGTTTCGCTTATGTAAGTCCTGAACGTAGTGTTGGCTTAGCGATGGGCGCTTTAAGCGTCGTACAAGGTGCTCTGTATTTGGTAGATACTATGTTGGGCTGTCGGCTATACTACAGAGGTCCCATGGAGTATGCTGTTGTAAGCCATTTTACAGTGGAGTGAAAAGGAAGGGCAGAACGCCCGGTTTGTTAAAAGCAAACATTTAAAATGAGACGACATAAAATTAGACAACGCATTGTAAATTCCAAGAACAAAAATGTAATATTAGTTTGTAGACAAATTGTGTAAAGATTGGATAGTTGGATTTTTTTTTGTATCATTCATTTGACAATAAAAGCCATTCAATAATAAACAGAGAAAGCAAAAATTGTTTAATTATCAACTGTTGTAGAAAGCTAGATTAGATTGAAATGGTTGCTGAAAGTAACGAAAAGGAATTTAAGATAAGTTACAGTTTCGAGTAATGTTAATGCCCCGCCATGGGGCTAAAAACGAAGGTACCAAAGTAAGAGATAAAGCCTGCCTGGAGAGCATCGGTGACCGGGCCCACCAGGGGCGACTTTTGCTAACACTTTATTGACTGTCTTATAGCCCTTTAAACTTTTTGTTTTGCATATGGGTTTTAGATTTAATAGGGTAGAGGTAAAAAGCTAGTTTTAAAGCTCTTTGTATTGGCGAATTGCGTGCTTGTTTCACAGTGAAAACACCGATATTAGCGGTTCTTACTCACACATGCAAATATTATGGCTACCACATATATAGGAGTATGTACATAAGCACTGAAAATTGTGCTGTTGGCTCGATATATACATATAAATATGTATTTTAGGTGATGATGTTGACAACTCATTGCTCAAGCACGCCAGATACTGTTATCTTATCAGCGTAATCGCTAGAGCTTTTTGTAAAAAAAAAGTTGTTAAATATCTACATACATTTGTATTGAATTTAGAACATTATTCGCCTCGGAATGTGCTTTCAGTTTTCAAAAATTTAGTCAACGAACAACGATAAAACGACAGCGAGCACGTAGACACGCGTGTTAACAAATTTACACAAATTTATATAAAAAATAAATCATATTTTAAAACCGAAATTCTTTTGAATTTCCCCATTTATTTTTCCGGGTATAAAAGAAGTCGAAAATTTCAAAATGGTGTCTGTAGAAACAATTGGTTCGATATTCATCAAAACGCTGAAGTTGGTAAGCAAAAAAAAGGTTAACTGCTTTCGCAGAATAAATTACAAAGGAAAACAATAGGTTTTGGCAGACATCTGTGGAAGAGAGTATTTTCTAAACTCTGTTTGTGTAAATTTCAAAAGGTTTACAAAATATTTAATTAATTTATTGAAAAAAAAATGGTCTCTCATTTCGAAAGCTTTAATTACTCATAACGGAACTTAGATAACGATATGTACAAGTACATATCAGCAAAGACACGAATACCAGAATATCTATAATATCTATATCTTTGCTTGAATCAAAAAGGGAGCGGTTCATAAGAGGGAACGATGTGGTCGCTTACACTTAATTATGAATACAAAGCCGTAATTTACACATATATATAATTTTCGATATGTAACCGCTTAAGTGACTTTTAGACGAGCAGTGTGCGTCCTGGTGTTGTTTTTCCACCAAATAGTACGATGTACAGTTTATACAAAGCCACATCTGAACGGCTGATGGATGGACATTCAATGTAGATGGGCGACCGCAAATAGTACAGTTAATTAATTTTTTTTTTTTTTTCAAAATTATTTTCAATAACTTTTGGATATTAGCCGGATCAAGTCTCGAACCCTTGCCTTCTAACAGGCAGTACGCAATGCTAATCACTCGTCAATCTTTGCCATCGTAAGATATACTGACTGTTTCAATACACAAATACACGTTTTCACTTAAGCTAAACTGAAATGAGAAATATTGATCTACGTCTATATACAATATAAATACACATGTACATATATATATTTATGTAAATTAGTATATTATATTTGCAAATGTGCTCTTCATTTCTTTTTTTTGTTTGTTTTTTTTTTTATACAGACCATCAACATTGTTATTCTCATCCTCTACTGCATTGGCGATGAGGGAATTTTCTTAGGCGTTAGCGGAACCTGGAATTTAAATGAAGAGAAGAGTCCATCACCGGAAATTGTGGCCTCTGGCATATTTGTAGGCTTCCTAATATACACCACTGTGCATACGGTAGCATTCTTTTTTGGCACTACCAAGCACAAGCGGTAATATTATATATTGAACGACTTTGAAAAAGTGCTGATTATAAAAATCTTTGTTCCAATATTTTTGTAGCGAGCTCACCGATACGTTGATGAATATGGTTGGAACTGCCATGTGGATTACTATTGGCGGCGTGGCCTTACATTATTGGGGCGGCTATATGTCTGATCAGGACTTTCTTTACGTAAATGCTGAGCGCCAAACGGGTATTGCTATGGGTGCCCTATGCGTAATTGAAGGTGCACTATATTTGCTGGACACTGTATTGGCATGCATACACTATTCCAAGGCAGAGGATATCGAATACACAGGAGTTGGACATTAAGCAGCGAAGGACAGTACCATCAAAAGCCCCATACATACTTTAATATTAGTCACATTCATATATCAACTACTTTTTAAAGTGCAAACTAGCTGTAGAGGACCACCTACATATATACATATAATTTACGTGACACGAGCATATTTTGAATAAAATAGAGTTATTCGAAATTGAAAATTCATAAAAAGGAAATATAATAAGTACTCCTCTCTGGAACAATAAATTGCATTTTCTTTCACTTTTTTTTTGATTTCATATTTTAAGGGCAAGAATATAGATATATAGATAAAAATATTGATATTGCTACGTTGAAACAGAATTTAGCATACTATAAACCTAGACGAGAACAAAAAGTGTCAAGACTCACCTGTACAACAGCTGAGGAGTCCACAGTATCCACATTGTTTTGCCTAACGCCTTTCGCTGTACGCTGTTCCTGCAAACGACCGTCCTCTAAATTCAGCCAATCCACAATTTCTTTATCCATTATAAAGGAATTGCGTGAAAAGTCATTTAACCGTTCAAGTTTACGTGAGTCCAAGCTATCGCGATACACATTGCGCGGTTTATCCAAATTATGCTCATAGTCGGTGTCGAAATTAAAACTTCCGCGGGAACCGCCTTTGCGCTCAGCCAATTGGCGAGCCACACTCGGTTTACGCCTACGCACAACAGCCTCGGGAGTAATAAACGAAGTATTATTCACTATGGAGGGCGCAATGCCATTGTTTGGAGGAAGTGCAGGTAATTGCGGATTCTGCTCCATAGTTCGTAGACTCAGCGTCGAAAGTTGTCGTTCCAATTGCTTTTCATAGCCATTAAATTTATCATAATCGATGAATGACATATTCTCATAGCTTACCATATTATCGATGGCTTGCAGTGATTGTAGGGAGGCACTCCACTTGGGATTGAGTTTTTCCTTCTTCTTTTCGCCAGTTATTGTTGCAATAGTGCTCTTAAAAGACGCCAGCAATGTATTGGACCGGCGTCGCTGGAAGTTCGCTATGGGGTTAAAAGGCACAGCATTTCCTTCGCCCGGCGCTAGCGATATGGACGAGGTCTTCCGACGCAAAGATATAGCTTGCGTGCTACTCTCTTCGACTGGTGTTGAGGTTAAGGGCTGTAAATTTTGACGTTGTGGAGTTATCGATTCCGCCACGTCGGCATCGATGCTTTTATCCTCGTTTGTAGCGCTTTTATTCGATTTTTGCACTGTTGTTAACAAAGGGGGCCCCTGCATTTCGGTTACTTCTGCCGACATTTTACGTGGTGACGAGGGTAACGTAGAATCGGTTTCTTCGGAGAGTTGTTCCAATTGAGGTTCAATTAAACTACGCCGATTTGAGCGTCGTAACAGTATCATTGAGCGACTGCGTGTGAACTTGTATGGGTTGGCATTCTCATCGTCCAGCCTCGTCAGATTCTCCTTACTGCCCGTTATCGAGTTAATGAGTTTAGAGAGTTTGCCGCGCAATGAAAAACTATTCGATCTTTCGAATTTCGGCGCATTTTCGTAACCAGGTAGAACCGGGTGCGTCGTGGGGGGTGATGTAGCTAGTTTATGATTAATGTTGTTATTGTTTTGTATAATATTGTTGTTGTTGTTGTTGTTTTGTGGAACTGGCATTTTGATTGTTTTCCCAGTCAACTTGTTAACACTGTAGTGCGTGGAAGAGGGTGGCGTCCCTGTAGGTGCTGTTGTTGTAGTTTGAATTGTTACATTCTGTTGATTCGACTGCTGTTTCATTTGTTGCTTTTTATTAGCCTTAATAGCTTTCTTTTGCGTCTTTGTGCCATTTTTCCATTCTTTGGTGGAACTCATTGTTGCGATGGGCCAAGTTTGGACAACTGCACCGAACAATTGCTGTAAAAAGTATACCTCAGACGATGGTTTGCAGTTTCACGGTATTTGAAAAGGATTATCTGCAAATATTTATAGTAAAATATATAATCATATAATTAATTGAATAAATTACAAAATAATAATGAACCAAGGTAATTAAGAAATAAATGTGAATATTTAGTTATATTCCATTACAACCGATATTATATTATAAACTAATTGTTAAAAGCGCTCATATTCATAAATACATATGTAAATATGTATATTTTAAAATAATATTTTCAGCTTTGCAACGTACCACTTAACCCATTACAGATATTATCACAAAACAAACTCATCCCACTTTCAAACGGACCATAAAAAACTTTCAGTATTATCCTCCTTGGACGAAAAGGCTAACAAATCGGACGATATGATATAAATGAGAAAATTTACCAAAATAAATAGTATTATATGCCTTCTTTTATTTTATTTTGCTTATAGCTTACTCCTGCCTCTTTTTACTTCTCCAATTTATTGCGTTATATTCAAATGAATTATGGGAACAAAATAAACGAAAGAAAGAAGAAGAAGAAGAAGAAGAAGAAGAAGAAGAAGAAGAAGAAGAAGAAATAGTCAATGATTTGTGTTTATCAATTCGAACAAAATGACTACTCAATACAGAATGACAATAGTGACTTGGGGTAAACAGAAAAGGAAACGATTGGCAAATGAGGCTCAAATCAAGCGATAAAAATATCACATTGATTTTTGTAAGCATGTGCTTGAGGTTTATGGAATACAAGGTTACGGCAACCGTTGACGACACCAAATATACAGTGGGCGGTACTTGATATTTATGTAGTAAAAAAAAAATAATAATAATATGGAAAAAATTTCTTATACATAAGAAAACACAGATTATACAATTTTTGTTTTTTGCTTTTACGTACTAAAGACACCGCAGTCACAAGCTACAGTGCAAGGTGCAAGGCCTGGGCTGTTTTGATCAAACCAGGGCTCAGGTGGCCGAAGACCAACCTAAAAAGGTACAGCGGTGGCGTTTATACGTAAATATCATTTCTTAAGCAATACTTCATTCCGTCAGATATATTATATTGCTAACTATCCGTTGAATTCAAGTTTCCAGACTGAAAAATTTTGTCATTAAATTTATAAAATTGGGCAGTTAACGAATCAGACACAATAGCGCATTTATGTTTTAATTTTTCAGAAGACGTTTATGTAATTCACTTCCACAGTTTTTATTTTAAAATTTTCGTCTACAATAGTCCACTGTACATTTTTTCACCGTTTAAGTTTCTATTAAACATTTTTTAAAGTACTGACTTTTCTCATAGAATTTTGATAATTTTACTAATTTTTGACATTATTTACTTATGACATTCGGATTACATGACACCAAAAGTTAGAGTTGCTAGCTAAAGAACTGTTTGTTAAAAAATAATATTAATTTACATAATTTAAATTTTTTTTTAAAATTACATTACATTTGTTCAACATTAAACTATTCAGAACGTTTTAATTGTAATTGTTATTCTTTAAAAAAAATACCGCAAAGCTTTAGGGTTTTATATTTGAAATTTTACGCTGTTTCATGTATAAATTTATACAAATTTATTTTAAAAAATTCGGCCACCCACACAATTGCTTTTACTGACCGTATTGGGTAACCCTAATAAGATTATAAAACTCCTGCTTTTATGATAATAATGACTAATAGAGATTTTTTGAGATTTCAGTTTTGAATTAAAATCACACAACTCACTACAATAAAATTGGCACAAGTATTTTTCAGGTTTTCTTTAAATATTGATTAGGTAATTAAAAACAACCATCTATTCACCAAAAAAAATTATGCAGAACATTTCCAATAATTTGTCTATCCCACCATTATGTACTCCTATAAATTGTTTACTATTTTCAAAACAAATATATTTTTCATCAATGTCGGTCATTTTATATATACTCGTATACATCGAAAATCGAATCAGCGGTTACAAAGTGAACGAGCTCTTCCTCCAATTTGTGGTATGTATCTTGATGTTGTTCCTTTAAAATGAAGCAATCTACAGTTCATACTAAGCCGCCTCCGAACGGATAATGGTGTTTATGAGAAGCCTTCATTTCATATCGTAAAAAATTTTAATTCATTTCTATTATTTAAAGCCGGTCTTTACACATATAAAATTACTATAATGTATGACCCCAGTATCACTTTTTTCCACGTTAAATGTAGATTAGGAAAAGGTATGGTGATTTGAACCTCAGAAAATCTCCATATTTAAAATTCTGATATGACTGCAAAATTAGACTGATTTTGGTTTGTCATATTTAAAAGAATTGCGTTGTGCTTTTATAGGCATGAAAGACCAAGTTCTCATTTTTTCAGGCCGCCAAATAGAATCAGAAAGTTAACAGAGTATGTACATATATATCCATACTCCAACTACATACATATGTTTGTTGTCAGGAGTGCTCATAACTATTTGAGTGCATGTATGTGTGATTATTACATCCCCATGCAGACTGACAAACATGACTTTCAAGCAATATTGTCAAAATTGATAACAGTTGAGCTCCATTTTTACTTTTAATCAAATGCACTACCACACATGATGAGTTCAGAATTTCCATGTTTCGAACTTTCCTTCAAAGAAAAAAAGCCTAACAGCAGTTATGAGACATCAAGGTTTGAACCAGAGAACAATTAAGAAAAATTAAAGAGATATTTCTGAATATATTTTCAAATTTTTATGCTTATGCACAATACATATACAAGTTCATGCAAAAATTTTTGTTAGTGAATCAAACTACAAATTTCAAATCCACATACAAAGCCATATATAAAGTAGAAGAGGTTTTTAATATTTGGAGATAGATTTCATTTGGCTATGAAAAGGATAATTGTTCCAGGTCAGATGTACTTACATATCTACATATACTTATCTATATACATATATGTATGAGCGAGTATAAAATACTTGCATATATACATACATATATATATCTAACTACCTACTTTGCATACACTAAAACCGGTTTGGCATTTCAATAACCAACCGTTCTCAAGTGCAAACATATTGACATTGTTAGTGAGATGTCAAATCTCAAATGCATATGTATGCACATGTATTAGATAAGTTAATTTTCCTCATTGAATATATGTAATATAAATATGTCTGTACCTACATATGTATGTATATATAATATATATTTTAAATATATACACAACACACATAATAAAACATTTTAAATGCAAAAATTCGATTGCTAAAGAATTTATCAAATTTTACTTATTTTTAATTTTTAGTTTTCATTCAAACGTAAAAGCAGTGTTTCATTTTAATTAAAAAATGTCACAAAATGAAGCAGAAATATTTACACATATTAATGTATGTAATGTAGGTAACTATAAATACATAAATATGCCAGCCTTATCAGCTGAGCTTTAGATACGTTGTATTGTTGCTTTTATTATTTTAGCACTGATGTAGGCAATACATCATAAGTATATATTATCTGAAGATATTTTTCTATGTAAAATCAATATTTATATAACCCATGTTTTTGTTAACAAAATTATAACAATTATATTTTTTTTAAATTCCGGCACAATTATTGAAAATAAAAATGCTGCTAATTTTTATTCCCCAAACTCGTCCACAAGCTTGCTTCTTTCCTTAACAATTTTTGCCAAATTTACATTTTCTCCCTTCTGCAATTGTTAAAGAGCAAAACATAAGCCAAAGATCACTTATATTTTCATTGCCTCTGTCTCTCACAAAGAGAGCGAACACTTTTTCATTGTATATATATGTATATGGATCTGGGCATATTGTATTCACGACTTACTTGGGCTGTCTCTCACGCACTCTCTCAAATTAAACATTATTGGGGCTTTAGTAACTGCTTTTGTACATAAATAAATTCACGAGCTTGAACTTATCAGCTGATCTAATTGAAATGGCGTATTCGCGCTGTCAAGCCAAACAAATTCACTTCTTTTTGCTACAAATATTTACATACATATTTGAATATATACATACGCATATATGAAATTGTATAATAATTTTCTCATATTTAAAATTTAAAATTATTTATGTTTACTCACATCGAATTGCTTTTTTTCCACGTTGTTTCTTCGCTGTCGATTGCTGTGTTTATATAAGTATGTATGTTTGCAGTTTGTTTTATTGCAAAACAATTTTAACACTGCCTGCTATCACAGGTTTTTGCTGCTCTTCTTATCATCACATTTCTTCTTCACCTCACTATTTATAAGCCTTTTTGCATTTTATTTTTAACAGTTGTTATCGTTTTTACTTTTCACTTGTTCTTTACCTAATCGCTATTACCACTACTCGTTCATCGCGTGGAAATCTAACATTTTTGCACTCCAACCTCTCTTCATTGGCAATAGTAATTTTCTTGTTATACATTTGTATCTCCACTTTGAAAATGGGTTTTCACAAAATCAAATGCTTAGAGACGGATCATTTGAGGAGCCTGAAAAAGCAGATGGAAATTTCTTTCAAACATTTTGGTTTTTTGGAACAACTCACATTCTGCGCTCAATTACACTCTAAATCTTAACTCTTTAAATTGTGGGGGAGGAATTGAATATGTGCGATCACTTTTTATTGCATCTTTTTGCTAAAAAAACAATCTACATATGACAAGTAATAATGATACGCGGCTACTGAGCAACTACTGTACGCATGTTCGCTATATTTAGGTTTGGTACCCAGCAGAAAATCTTACTATCGCAGCACTCTGTGAAATTTTGCAACTTTATACTTCTTAGAAAATTATTTTTACTCTTATATTAAAAGATTACGAGGAGTGATCTTATTCTCGTAATTTTTGGGAATTTTATGACTGATTTGCATTTACGGAAAAAATGCAATCGATGGATTTGTGACAATGAACTGAGATCACACATTCTTTTTTTCTGAACGTGCTTTAATGATTAAATGTTTACGCATTAAATACACTATAGTACTTTGCGGTATTAAAGTGGGGACGTTCAAGGAAACTTCGCAATTAATTGTATATTTACGAGTATGCGTATATTTCAAGTCATATTATTTTGTTATTTTTAATCATTTCGAAGAATGACATGAAACACTGATGTTATCACTGGGTGCATATATTTATAAATACATACTTATATACATACTCGTATGTGCCTTTGTGCATATGGAAAATAAATATGATACCAGCAGTTAAACGTTAACTAGAGTGGCCTTATACACTTACAAACACAAAAGTTGTGTGCTATTTTATTTAATATTTTGTATTTTGCCCATTATGAAACCCTCACAAAAGTCGACGTCATCCCAAAAGCTACACACATACAAAATTTTCCAACTACCTAAAAAATATTGCCCCTAGTTTGCATATGTATGTAGATATTTACACTGCTTTAGAACTAAAATTTAACACAATTCACTTTTTGTAATAACTAAACATAATAAAAACACTTCATGCGGCTCTCAAGACAAACCAACAACCGCACAACCGCTCTTAGCTCGACCGTAAGTAATTCGTTTATTTTCGCGTTGTTTGAACAAATTTTTACGTCCCGCCGCGTATCAATGCTTAACTGTTTTACTCTGATGCTAAGCTAAAATTATTGTAGCAATTCGTGGAGATGCCTCCTGGGCTGGCCGCCGGCCGATCAATGCTTGAAGCTCCACAGCTCAGTTAACGATGAGAGCACGGTTATTGGAGAAATTTTTCTCTTATTTAGCCCGGCATAAGAGTACGCACGGGGTTGCAGAACAAAACGATTGTATGGCGAGCATTACGGCAACACAGTTTTCGCAGATCAACTTTTTACGTTTCTCGTTTTAAGTTATATTTTGCACATACGGATGAGTACGTATGTATGTATATATCCATATGTATGTAGATATAATATGTAATACAATTACTCTATAAGAATTGTCTTGTCCCATTACAACATGCGTGGCGCGAATGGGTTATACTTTCTGTAGCTGAGAATGAATATATATATATATATATTTGAAGGTATGACCACAACTTGGGTTGTAATCCCTATGATGGAAGAATCTCAGTGGCCAAGACATTATAGAAATTAAGTACCCTGCAAATATATATATTCAGAATGCCTGCATTCCTATCTTATTCCAAAAACCTACTATTCGAGCCATTAGTTGCCATATTGAACTCTAACAGCCCAACGGAGCTGGACGCACTTTATTCAGGAAAACGCACTGAGACAACATAAATAAATTGACATTTTGAGTGTTTCAGTTTAATCAGAGTTTCATTAATAAATAAACATTTATTCATCATTGCATATTTCTACATTCGAAACAACTTGATAGCCCGCCAGTAAATACGTAGCTGTGTTAAACTTTTAATGACTGTCGACAATTTCAAAGATAAGATAAAAAAAAACTCTCATCGAAAGTCTTTTAATAATTATCATTTACAAGAAAGTGATCGCACCTAAAGGTATGCAATACTCTGCAAAAGTTTCACAGATTCAACTAAGATGAGCATAAATGTTTTAATAACTGTTTACCGCGAATTTCATTATAAAATACCGCTCAAAACGCTAACGAACTATCTCTGCCTGACTTGCCTCAAACCAGGGAGCGCAAGCAATGTAGATACACTAAATTGTGGCTACATGTTACAAGTAGTATTATTATGATATATTTATACGCATATAATTTAATGTTACGGTCAAGAAATTAGTTTTATTATATAGTGCAATTATATTAAAGGTTGATTGAAAATGATTCTTTTGCAAGAGACTGCGGAAATAAGTTCCAGCCGAATTGTCTGTGGGCTAATTTTGGACAATTTTTGCATCAATTTTGTATGTCAGCAATAACACGCCCAATGTTCTCTTCCAAGGAATCAATGGTCTCGAGCTTATTTTTATAGACGAGAACTTCATATTTACCCACAAAAAATTCTTTAGTGGTGTTAAATCGCACGTTATTGGAGCCCAAGCCACGAGCCTACGACACAAGATAATGCACTGACCGAAAATTTCCTTCTATAAATTGATTGTTTTGTTGGTAGTATGGCATGTAACGCCATATTGTACCAAAAGTGGTCCACATCAACATCCGTCAAGAGTGTGTAACAGCAGGTAAAGTCAGAGGTTCCAGGGCACGATGCCGAATAAGTTTCCTCCGGGCGCTCAGTCGTTATGTTGCTACTTAAAAATGCCTTTCCATTAATTACCGCTGGCATAAGAGATAGTCGTTCTCAAGTATGATGTAGCAGGGCTCACGATCAACTGCTGCCTAATCTGTAAATTCGAATTGAGTCTTTTTATGTGCGGTGGGTTGTATCAGAACATGCTTATGTGTTAACGTGTATGCATTAGCTATTTTGATATTCCATCATTTTTTATCTTTTATAACTAATCAGTTATCATTAAAATACACTCAAGACCAATTAAAAAAAAAAACATTAACATTCTGGTAAAACTAATTGAATGTGCTTGTAAGACAAGCCACACCTTTATCAAGCACTGAGTCGCCCTCTATAAAAATTCAGCTAAAGTGGAAGTGTTGAGAAATAGTTGATCAACCCCAACCGAAAGTAAAACCTTCAACCAACTAAAAATTTTCCTTTCATGCAAAGCAATAATGTTACCACTTATATTGTGGTTGTCATTTATTTATGGATTAAACGCCGAAATTGAAGATCTGTCGCAAGTGGTAGGTATGAAGCAACTTATTTATCATTTGAAAGCTGTTTTTTCTCTTGACTTTTTTCCAGCTTTGTAAAGATACCTCCGTTGGCGATGTCGTGCCGAATCCTCGCGATTGCAATTCTTACTTCGTGTGCGGAACTGTACCACTGATCAGTTTTTGCGCTCAAGGCCTACATTTCGATGCCAAAAATAAAGTTTGCAATTGGCCTGAACTGGCGAAATGTAAATTGAATGAGGTGTAAATCAAATATAATTAACATATTTCGTAATAGACATTAATGCATAGGTATTTCATGTATGTTTTTTAGTCGATTTCATTAACCAAGTATATACCTGGAAATGTGGTTAATACATCGGCAGCCAAAGTATTTTCAAACCATCTATCTGGACCAACACTTGAACTCAAACAGAATAGAGAAGATGTGACTCAAGAAACGCCGTTGGACCCACAATTTATATCTTACGTTGCTTTGGACGTGAATACACATGAAACCATTAATCCCATGGTCGGTTATGATTCTAAAAATATCGCATGCAAACATTACGGCGCTTATTTTTTGCCACATCCTGCCGATTGTAATCAATACTACATGTGCGTATTCGGCTACATATTTCAGCATAAATGCGGACGCGGCACCGGGTGGAACTACAAACGGCAGGTGTGTGAAATACGACCACTAACCGAATGTTATTCCAGTGCCACCACTGTACAAATAAACAACGCGCAACCTTCGCCTGGGCCATTGACAGAATTTTCGAGCGATCAGCTGTTAGACACACCTCCAACAGATGGTGTCTATACCGTATGTTATGTATTGAATAACGGTGTGGCCGGCAGACCAACTTGGGTACCACAGGATATAACTACCCTGCCAAACTCTTCTCCACCCATTATTAATTGGCAGTCCACACGCACTCCGCCCTCGTTAGTAACTCCTTCATCAACTGGTCGGGAGCATCCAAGTGATCTTGTAATACCGATTTGTCCTGGGGAGGATAAGGTGTATTTAGCTCATCCTTCCAATTGTAGTAAGTACTACATATGTATAATTGGTATGCCAGTATTGACGTCCTGTCCAGAGGGCTTATATTGGAATTCGAGGACAGAATTTTGTGATTCGCCTGTGAATGTGGAGTGTAGCCAATAAATATCCTAATGGCACACATTCACATATATATATATGTAATATATACATATATATATATATATATATATATATATATATATATAAATAAATAAAGAGTATAGTTTTAGCAATGGGAGTGGAATTATCATCCTTGGAATAATGCTAATAATTTATTTATTACAAATGACACAATAATTACAGATTTAAGCTTTCGTTGTTATTTTAAATGGTTGGTTGGATCATGCTGATCCATTCAAGACCCATTAGGAGATAAGTCGAAAGCAAAGACGCAAGACTTTAAGCGACTGAATTGAGAAGTTATTTAAGCATGCAACACATAGAGGGTTGAAACTAGCTTTATGCAAACAAAAAAATAAAATAAAATAAAAACAGTACGGCGCTTGCCTCGTCTACACTGGGAGATCAAAAATGGTTGAAGGGTACTGCAGTATTTGCAGACCAAAAAAACATAGTGGGCAATGAAATAATACAATAGTTGATGAATTTGCCAAAGGACTATCCGCCTGGCTACCCAACGAATATCCAGCAGGGACGCATGTAGGAAACATAACTTTGATCTTATCAGCGAAGTAGGTTCAATTTATGGGAAGGTTTGAGAAAATAAGAAAGATATCACTGGTGTACCGCTGCGTGAACTATTTCTGGAAAAAAACGCAGCTCGAAAAAAAGGCCATCTACACTGTAGTACTTCTATTTCCTTTTTTTTCTAAGAACCCACTTTACATTGGTTTCCGCCCTTACCCATCCCAACCAGCCAACCATGAATCGGCTTTTTATTTTTAGTCCTCCCTGTATGTAATGTAATACATATTCAGGTACGACTTTAGCAGCATGAAGAAACGAATTTTACGCAGTTAAAACTGAGGTAAATTATGAGGAACACCCCGTACTGTGTAGTTAGAAACACTCCTAGTATAGGCTATTGCTCCTAATAATCAAGATTGCGCCAAAATAACGACAATGCGTATTTCAAAACTTTAGGTTTCCGCATCCCGCCAGATCTGGATTCAAAAATTCGTGTTTTGGATCCATTCTACTAGGTAAACCCTTCTGTTACAGACAACACTCCAGCATACAGTATACGCAATTTAGAAATGAGCTAGTACAATGAATACCACAAATTGAATTTTATTTTCTATGTTTCCATAATTTTCCATAACGTACGGGTTATTGTTATATACAAACAGAAGTAAAAAGATTGGAAATAAATCTAACATAAAAGCTTAGGTATTAGCATTCAAATACAATAGATATTTTTGGTCTTATCTAGCTAGCGGTAACATACATGTAGGAAGGAATGCTTTCAACCCATAACAAAAGTGCGAACAACCGGAAATGATACCTACAAGCAGAGAGTCAAAATTAATTTGTTTTCAATAGTTCAAGCAAATGGCTTATCGGCAAGAAACACGGTAAAAATTAATACTACGCAGACACATGATTGGAATGACAGAAATGAGACCTATAAATATGTCTACCTTTTTTTGGAAGTACACAGAAGTAGTTGCGATTGCAGAATTTGCCAGACATTTCGCGGCTAACAACTAAATATCGTCTTAGTGATTAACAAGGCAGCAAGGACAAAGGATCACCAAGAGGTAAAATATACGTAAATTGAAGGCAATCAAATAATCAAAAATCGTATTCAATCGTGATATTGTTTACTTTTTATTTCTGCGAGAAATTGAAAGTCAGATTTCAGATTCAGCGTAGAATGGGGTTTGAAACAAATAATTGGGATTTAGAATATATAAAGTGGGCTTTGAATTGCCTACATAAATATTACTCACACAATTGATAAATTGACTAGAATCCGTATAATAGGCACGATCGTATTTGACTAAAATGTACTCTATTTGCTAAATTTTACATACTAGTTTACTTTGTTAAGAGCTTAATATTTTACTTATTTTTTTCTTAATATGCAGTTCAAATAATGGCGAGTGAAACGGCAAAAATATTGCTCGCACTTTTCGGTCTCTTGATCGTTTGTGCCGATTCGGTTACGGCGGTTTACAACATGACTCAAACGTGTGCTTACTACCCTGAAGGTTACATTGCCAATCCATCTGATTGCCAGGCTTGGGGCTATTGCAAAGGTGGGTTATTGATAGCCGAAGGAAAGTGTGGAACTGGCATGTTATACGATTCAGAAAAAGGTATATGCAACTACGCCAGCCAAGTACAGTGCAAGACTAGTCTGGTCGATATATGCAAAAATTTGCAGGATGCTGGGCACATTGCTGATCCTAATGACTGCTCATCATATTGCTATTGCTCAAATCAAACGTTAGTCGGCTGTGCCTCATGTCCCACAAATCAGTTGTACAATCCGACACTCGGACAATGCAACTACGATTATCAATGCCCAACTGATTCTGTTTGTCGTTTGGTGAAAAATAATGCTTTTGTTGGCGCACCCACGTGCGGTAAATACATTCGTTGTCTGGATGGTACTGGAGACGAAGCATCTTGTGCTAACAACTACTACTTTAATCGCTTAACAGGATACTGTGAAAAGACTAATTCATGTGATAGCAGCAGCCCTGCTTCGTCAACTCAAACTACACTCGCACCCGATGCATCCATATGCTCAACGTCTTACACAGTCACTAGCGGAGAGCAGTACATTTCCGACGGCAAAACGTGTTTCGGTTATTATTCGTGCAGTAGTAAATCGGGTTCAGGTAGCTGGAGAGCATGTCCATACACAATGGAGTTTGATTCAACAACAAGTACATGCGTCCAAGCTAATCAAAACGTCTGTTTACTAAATCGTTGCGAAAATATTAATCTTCAATTCGTGACTGCACCAAATACAGAGTGCAAATCGTATTACATTTGCAATGGCAGCCAACAAAGTGCAACAGCAACGGCCTGTAAATCACCATATTCATATTTCGATGAAGTAATTCAAAAATGTACTGATGTTGCCCCTAGTTACCCGATATGCAAAAGTTAAGAAATGAATAAACCAAATCATGTTCCTGAATTTTAAGAGAAAGAAATAAATAACGAATAATTGCAAAATTTTATGTATCACTCATTTTTGATATATAATCCAATGATATATTTAATCAAAGCTTGTAGTAAATAATCTCAATTCACGGTAAGTCATAGTTCAGTGTGGTAAAAAATAAACAATTGTAAAAGAGCTAGGGATACTTATAATTATCAGTCTTCAAATGTTTTCCATACCAGAATACGGAGGAGGCCTTCGGGTAGCAGTGTGTGTACTCTGAGTTGTAGAGTTCGTAGCTCGCTGAACAAGCCAACATCTAAAAACTTTTCCCTGAAATCAGTTGTCCCGTGGCAAAATTAGCCGAAGCAGGGAATGTCAACACCTCCGAGTGTATTTCTGACATGAAATAAGCTCCTCATAAAAAAACCATCCGTTCGGAGGCGGCTTAGTATAAATTGTAGGTCCACCCATTTGTTGGAAAAACATCGAGACGCAAAACCACAAATTGGAGGAGCTCGGCCGAAAATCGCTTCAGCGGTTCGAAAGCGCCAATTATATATAATACATAGTTACAAACCATCAGGGATTCACTTTTCTGATTTTAATAAATTTACTTATTTGTTCAATTAATAGATTTATTCAAACTTTTGAAATAATATTTTTTATTTTTCACCTCAACTAACACAAATTTCCATATCCATACGATACACTTTTTTTGGGGTGTAAGCAACTGTTAAGTCGGAATGGGCTGAACCGAGATTTCATCTTCCGCGATAATCTGCTCTGTCATCCCCTACATGAGACTTTCAGACTATTATACTTTCACACCTTAGTAATCCCATAATAGTGGCATTTGCGGCTTAAATAATGCGGGTAATAAGTTTTTATTCAGATGGACTTCTCTTACTGGACTTAATCTAAATATTATTAATTAATTATTCGTACTTGCATTGCCGTGGCTTTATTAAAATGCCATAAGATTTCCAGTTTTTTTTTCTTTTTGAAAATATAGGTAGTATAATTAGTAATAAGAATTAAAATAAAATTGGAAAATATTAAAAATAATTGCACTCCATGTTGTTTGTTGTTGAAATAACCGCAGAAACTCGGACGCTCCAGTATTGAGACCCGACTGCCGCGGGAATTATTGGATTTTAGTTGCCTCTTACGTTGGGCTTGCCTTACAACCGGTAAAATTTTGAGTCCCTAACTCGCAGGGCAGCTGTAATTAATACTTGGAGGGCGTGATAAAGTTTACCCCAATGAAGAAGAAGAAGATATAGTTTTGAAAGAGCTGGATTTGCAAATCCGTTATAGAGCTTTATTTGTCACGTTACTTACATTAATGTGGAAACTTAAAATATCTTTGGAGAAACTGGTTAATATAGAAACAAGAATACGAGTATCAAATTTATGTATTAATTGGCGCTTTATAACCACTTAAGCGATTTTCGGCCGATATCCTTCTTCAATTTGTGGTGTGAGTCTTAATGCTTTTCGAACCTATAGTTTATACTCTTACTGAGCTGCCTCTGAACGGCCGATGGATATTTGTGGGGAGATTTCATTTCATGTCGGAAACACAAGTGGAGGGGTTGATACTCCCCGAAATTAAAAAAACTCATTTTTTTAATTTCAACTTATTTTCTAGTGTTTTTGGATATTTGTCGAACCAGGACCAGAACCCTGGCCATTAAAATATTAGTGCACTCAGCTATTACAGACGCCTGGGAACCGGATAGGTTCGGGATCTTATCAGCATATTATTCGGGTTAAATTTGGGGGTTTCAAAACCAACAGCACGTCGAGAGCATTTGATTGGTTGTTCAGCTCGAACCATTCCGGCAGCATTATTTAGTAGTAGGCTTATTTTGTTGACTTATTCAGAATGGTTTCAAATTTTAGCAAGAATATCGCCTCATTGAGCCACATTTTAACGTTTACTTATTTTAAGCACTCTCATGTATGTAGACATGTGTACATTATTCCAAATCTATACTCATTTAATTTCCGTTTTATTATTCACCTTGTCTTCATTTTTTTATATCTCGTTATTCAATGTATACATGCTTGTAATATACTATGTATGTATGCGGTTACAGTGTGTGTGATCATTCGTAGACTCGCTTTAGATGTTCATTTTTATCGCTAAATCTTTCACCTGTCCTTATTTTCGATATTAAACCAAAGTGCGAAACACTTTTTTCATTTTCAAATAAATGATTAGCAACAACCAAACGTAAATATATGTACATATAAGAACCGTACAAACCCGTAAAAAATGCTTAGTTGTTAAACCACATCGTTTTAGGTGCATCTCTCGCAAAACAGTTTCAAATTAAATTCGAAAAAACTGAAAGTAAATAGGCTCCAGATTTTAGAAAACAAGCGCAGCCTTAATCATGTTTAAGTGTAAGTAAAGCTAGGATCCACTGACTTTTTCAAGCTTTTTTAAGGATGGTAATCTTCTATTTTTCGTTTAAAATATCTGGCGGTTGTGTAAAGCGTATATTATTTTTACACATGCGAGATAATAAAATAAAATTGAGAGATTATAATTACCATTATCATTTTTAATTTGTATGTGTCCATAGTGAAATTTTTGTGAGTTTGTGTATTTAGTTTTAGCTTAATTAGCTCGTGTAGTGCTTTTGTAATTCTCACATCTGCAGGAATATTTTTTGTTATTTCCATCTTTGCCATATTTCTTAAAATGCTATATCAATATGCAGGTGCATTCTTGTCAACACGTCTCTAATCGAAGCTTTTAATTAACTGATTTTGCTTTAAGTATATTTTAGCCTTTGGCTCGTTGCAACCCTCGTATCCATCAATGCAGAACAAAACGAACTAACGGTTGCAGAGATCTGTAAGCAAGTTGCTCCCAGTACCACCATTCTACACCCCAATACATGTGACAAGTGGGTACGTTGTCCTTCCACATTTAACTCTGAAGACTATGAAGAGGGTTCATGTGTGTACGGCTTACGATTCAATAAGGATACTGGCCGTTGTGAAAGTATGGACGATGTCAGTTGCCCTTACGAATCAGTTGCAGTTAGCAATCGCTGCGCCTCCATGAAGAACGGCACCTTCCTGGCTGACCCCAATAACTGCAGCGGCTATATTTTTTGCAATAATGCACGAGAGATGCATTCCACATGTCCAATGGATTTAGTTTATCATCCGGAGAAGATGGCTTGTGTATACTCAAACGAATATTCGTGCTCCATGGAGACAGAAGTAGTTGATGTTAGTCCGATTTGTAAGGCAGTGCCAAAGAATATAATTTTTGCGGATACCATGGATTGCACCAAATATTACCAGTGCGACGAAAAAGAGCAACTTAATTCTTTGACTTGTGCGGAAGATGAAGCATTCAACTATACCACCTTCCAGTGTGTAGCTCGCAACAAGGCGGTCTGTCATCCATTGGCACCACAACTAGAGCCGGAAATAGATGTTTGCACTCAAGGAAACAAAACCATTGTTGGCTACATTGCCGATAAAGAATCGTGCAGTGGATATTATATATGTGCCGAGCAAGACACTGGCAAGCCCGATCGACACCCCATGTACTTCAAGTGCCAAACTGGCTACTTCTTTGATAGTAACACTTGGTCATGCCGCGATCGTGTGAATGTCAAGTGTACTTTAGATCGTTGCGAGGGCTGGAGTAGCAAATACGTAAATGTGCCCGGGGATTGTTCAGCTTATTCACGCTGTAAAAATGGTGTCACAGTGAATACAGGCAAATGTGGAACAGGATTCTTCTTTGACGAACGCTCGCAGATTTGCTCACAGCAACCTATTACCTATGCTGCTTGTATGCCATAATCGGCCAAAAGCATCATTCGTGTATAATTTAAAGATTACAGGCAGAAAAGAATGAGAAATTGTATAATAAATTAATAAATGAAAGAAAGCAAATTAATCACGGTTTTTTAAATATTTGGACTATTTTTTATTGTTTTTGGATTACTCAAAGTTTTTGATAACAAATGGGTATTTATTACTGAATTGCTTAAAGCATAGTCGAAGAAACATTGCAAATGAAACTCTGCCAACAACCACACGTACTTGTTTATTATAACTCTCTTCTTTTGCCTTTCGTAGACCTGTTTATAAGCTTATAACTAAATTCATCAACTACAGTATTTTTTCACTTGATCATTCCAACTTAGATGAGATCTCTTCTTTCTATATTATCACTGGTTGGTACTACATTAATGAAAATTTCTCCAAAACATTTTTCCTAAATTAAATGCCTATTTTCTATATAGATAATAGTTGTAAATACAGTTAGGTAGCCGCAAGCCTCGAAAGAAATGCAGATGAACTGTAACTATTGTTATGAAAAAAGCTTTAAAACAAAATGAATTAAATAAACTTTCCGGACAGGAATTCCACTTCAATTTTATAAACATTGACATATATTAGATATATTTACCCTTACTATTTAAAACAGATCCGTTCCTTTCATCATTCATTGTAGTGGTTCAAATCTCTCTTGGGCGGATGCACGACTCTTAACTTTGACAGAGAGTAAATTTCTTCTCAATATCTCCTCCTTTGATTTATTTTGTGTCTAGATATTTTTCCAACTAATGGGGGACCTACAATTTATGATAAACAACCTCAAAGCAGCAGATGGATTTACGCGATAAATAGCCGGGGTAACACCATCCCGCCGTTTATTCATTATTCTCGCTGTTTTCCGGCGCCTGGCTTCCTACTACTTCCTAGGTACTGCCTTTTCAATTACCTACCCTGTCCAAACTGACAACTGTTGGCAAGAGACATTCTGCTTTGGATTACTAGGCTGACATTATTTTTGGTGTTAATATTATTTCCTAGATAGATGAAATTATCTAGGACTTCAAAGATATGACTGCCAACAAGACGTGAGAGCCGAGTATGATGGCTGTTTGTTTGATGATAAAACATATTTCGTCTTGTTCTTGCACACTACCCATACGCTGTGCTTCTTTTATACCTCAGAGAAATCCTTTCCGTTGCTGATGTAACTCATTTTGGTGTGCGTTGATTCTCTTTTCACGGGTGTTATCCAAAATTTGACGCATGGTGAATATCTGGCCAATGGTTGATTAACCAGGTCTAAGGCCACACTCATAAAGTCCAATCAGTTTTTTGACGTAGTATTCCAGTACTAAGAATGTATATCCTGTGGTAATTGGCACAGACTGTGGGAGCGAACCGTTTGTGGCTTGGGCAGAACACACTTAGATTCCAATCGTCAGGCATGCTGTTTCTAATGTCGTAATGTTGCACTTCCACTGCTATTCACCAGGCTGGTGAAATGTTTCGTCCATAAATTTAGAATACTTTGGGCATCAGTGACTAGATAATCTCTCCGCGTATCGCATTAAATTTTAAATTAGATCTATATAACTTTTCGAATGTTTATCTAGAAAGGGCTCGAGCTTATGACCATCCTTGTAGTAGCATACACTGCTAACCACTTGGCTACTGCAGTACTTAGTGTGGATGGTATGTCGAAAACAATGTCAAAAAAGATATTCTATGCTATTTGAGTGTTTCCAATTCAGATTTCGCCAGATGCCAAAAGTTACGATTTAATCAATAACCAACTCATTACGAATATTGATTGATGATAATAAATTACAACAAATTACAACAGATGGAAGGCTTCTGTCGGACGTACACAAATCAGGGAGGAGACGTACATTTCTTCTTTAATATCAAGATATCATTATTTTCACGCAATCAATCAACCCCGATTGCTTTTGTTTTTCGTTCATTATCTTAGATGAATAATGGCGGAATGTATGGAAAAGGTGTAACTTTTCAATTAAAATAACTGCATTCATGTATTTTACGATTTTGAATATGTTTGTATATGTATAAAAGAGACTTGAGTAACCGCAAACAGCATCAGTGAAGATTCTTTTTCAACCAGTTGCTTTTCAAACGGGAGACATTTTGAGCTAAGCAGCTTGCAAGCCGAAAATGTGTAAAAGTAAGTTATGACATCATTCATAAATATTCGTTTTTGTGCAAAAATTGTTTCTTATTTTTCTACTCCATACAGCAAGAATATCTATCGTCCTGGCCTTCGTTGCCATTGTAGCAGTAAAAGTTGAAGCAGAATCACTCTCAGCTCAGGACATATGCAACCAAATGCCGGCAGGAATATTTATTTTACGTCCAAATACTTGCGATAATTGGGTACAATGCCCATCTGCGCTCAACGCTCAGGACTATGATGAAGGCTTCTGCGCCCATGGTTTATATTTCAACAAAGATAAGAGTCGTTGTGAATCTAGTGAAGATGTTATGTGTCCCTTTAAAAATAATCAAAAGTCCTCGAGTAATCAGTGTGCTTCGAAAAAAGATGGTTCATTTTTGGCAGATCCAGAGAAATGCAATGGCTACATCTTCTGTATGGACGGTGAGGGCACGCATTCGGAATGTCCTAAAGAATTAGTCTTCCATCCAAAGAAGGGCTCATGCGTTTATCCCAGCGAATATAAATGTCCGAAGAAGTCTGAAAACTTATTTACCAGCCCGATTTGTAATTCGGTACCTAATGGCACTGTGTTTGCTGACATTACTGATTGCACAAAATATCAACAATGCGCAAAGGGTGGTAAGCTGATATCTTTGCAGTGTGGCGACGGTTACGCCTTCAACCATACAACATTGGGTTGTGTAACCCGTAAGAGTGCTGTATGCCATCCTTTAGCACCAGAGCTCGAACCTGAAATTGAGATTTGCGGTGTTGACGGCTCCGTACGTGAGGGTTATATTGCTGATGAGCAATCGTGCAGTGGATATTATATATGTGCCAAGCAAAAGGATGGCAAGCCTGATCGCAAGCCGATGCATTTAAAATGTCAAAATGGTTACTTTTTCGACAGCTCGACTTGGTCCTGCCGCGATCGACTTAATGTAAAGTGCTCTTTAGACCGTTGCGAAGGAATGGATAGCAAATATGTAAATGTGGCTGGGGATTGTTCAGCTTATGCTCGTTGCAAGAATGGTGTTACAATTACGAGCGGTAAATGTGATGCAAATTATTTCTTCGATGAGCGCACCCAAGGATGCACACCACACAACATTAGCTATATAGCTTGTTCAGCCTAAGTCGGATTCAAATTTTATTAATTACTTATTTCCTACATGTTTCCCGCAAAGTCGATACTCTATGTAAAATCATTGTAAGCCTTGTAATAGTAATCGTAAAAAATATGGATGTATTTTTTTCTATGAGCAAATATACCATAAAATGTTTGGTAAATTTAAATAATTTTTTTAACGTGTTTATCGGCATTTTTTTGAATACAAAGCTCAAACTGTCTACTTTATTTCTAAGGGCTGCTGCACTATACCTACACAATTTTTAGCACAGCTTTCCTTTTAACTATGCCGCCCCCTGGACTCCCGTTCCATTTTTCCTTTAATCAAGAATTTTACCAAAATTAAACTGTGAAAAAAAACATCCATAAATTTTAACAGTTCCGTCTACTCGCTTGATTGTGAAATCGACAGATGTGAGTTTTACTACCCACAAATAACATAATGTTTATCAATATAATTGACATCATCGTCAATTATTTGAGGAAAAATACTTCGTGCAATAAACGCATAACCAAAGCACGTCACACACATAACTTTATCACACAAAAAAGAGCTGAGGCATTATTTGTTGATAAGTTTTATACCCATATATTAACTTTGGTGTCTATAATAGCAAATATAAATGACGAGATACTTGTTTTTATATAAACCAATTACGTTTCTACGTTGCTTTGTGTTTTTTATCCATCATTCATCAGCTCAAGGCTCTTCAATTTTAATTTCGGAATCGAAACCAGAATTTAAAGAGATGAGTCATTTTGTACTTCCCATTTGCTATGCTCATATCATAATTACGGTTGAACATCATTCTTTTCGACGTCATGTTGTTCGAAATTTTACTGTACTTTCTCCTCTGTTCCTGATATCGGTTTTTCCAATAAGACTTGCTATTTTGATATTTGAAGAAACTTTTCCCTTAATAGATCGATGGTTTCGTTGCTTGTGTGACACTTACCGTAGTCTTGTTGAAAATAAACGTTGTCTAAATCAATACCATTCAATTCCGGACCTAAGAAACCATTAATCTTTTCTCGACAGCGCAATCCATTCATTTTCGAAAAAGTAAGGACCAATGACCCCGCCGGAACATAAACCGCACCAAACAGTTGCATGTTTAGGATTTTCAACAACAAATGTTGGGTTTTCCGAGCTTCAGGTCCGACAGTTTCGCTTATCGACATAGCCTTCAAGGGGGAAGTGGGCTTCAACAGTCAAGATATTCTTTCGATAAAATATTTATAGAGAATTTTAATCGTTCCATTAATAAACTGGCGTAGGTTTCACCTGTCAAATGTCAAAAAACTACAGATTCAAAAGTGTCATCTACCGGAAAAGCAGGCTATTCAAAATAACACCTTCCATTGGATAATCCTTTACATACATTTATACCCTGGAAATTTCTTCATGCACCAGTATTCTTCTAATTTAGAAGTTGAAAATCGTGCTTATACTACACAGGCAAAAAGATATATATATGTATGTATATGTAAAATACAATGAATTAAAAAAAAGCTCACCATATTTAATAGGCAAACTTATCTCGAAATAAATATTTTAAAAATGACGAACGGAAGTGACCGTTTACAATTCTAAGAACTCAATATCTAATCAATAATAATTGCCTAGCACCTCTATCTGTAGTATGGTGGTGTTAAATATTTGAAAAATCTATACGATATTTAAATATCAACGCTTTGGTTCTTTTTTTTTTTTTTTGTATAGCTATGCAAGATATTTATGGTACAAGAATATATTAAGTAGTTCTGGTTTACCCCGTCAGCCTCACACTCACTTAACTTATAACAAGTAGTTCAAAGAGTACAGTCACCTCCCCTCGATAAGTTGAAATTTGGAAGTACCAAAAGATGGAGATAGCAAGACCAACAATAAAATACCAAATCAGGATCAACTGAGAACTTCAAACTTTGCTTGCTCTGCTATTTCATCGCCATCCAAAAAATGCGGATAAAAGATGAACGGGAAGTTTGGCAAGTGACGAGTGAAGGTACAAAAAATCGTTGCTGTTTTTGTTTTTTTTTTTTGGAAATAGAGATTCAACGACTCACATATCTGCAATTCACGCTATCCTATCTCTACCGCTAAGCTCTCATTGAGTCAATACGATATAAAGCATGTTATTTCCCACTAGTGACTATTAATAATACTTAAGAGTTAGTGTTAAATATAGACTTGATTTATAAAAATTAAGGTTTATTATCAGTCTATTTTATACTCTACCTCGTCGTCATAATTAAAATTTGTTGCATAAATTATAATATAATAATTACTTATTTATGCTTGAATAAAAAGTTTTTCTCATTAATATGACCTCTAAGATAACACGCATGCCGGGAAGTTTACAACGGAACTTGTGCAAAGCTGCTTGAGCTCATCAAAATAGCCATTGTCGGGGCATGTACCATTTCCGATTTTTACGCCATCTTGGCAGACTGTATAGCCGTGACATCCATCGTTAGACTCGTTGGCGAGCTCGATTTTATCACTGGCTAAACCTACACAGCGATTATAGTTACAGACGATATCAGTGCGAGGCACACATTCGCCACCGTTTGCCGCGTTGAAGAATCTTCCACTCGAACAGACACCATGCTGCAGCACAATACCCGTCGTACCATCCGTTGCTGCACGACAGTAGTAAAAACCATTGCAACTTTGACGATCTGATACGAAAATGCCAGTCTGATTGCATAACTCAGAAGCTGGTAGATCTGGTGCTACAGTGGTACTCTGACAATTCACATTTGATGGATAATCACAGTCGCCCTTAACTGCATCATAATAATAACCCGCTGGACATGAACGGGATAATACATTTCCCTTCCAACATAGTTTATATCCATCACAGTTATTTGGATCTTTGATAAATACACCATCCGGTAAAATGTTACAGTAGCTTTCTGGATTGCTAGTTTTGCAAGGGTAACCCCTGACACATACTTTGGTTCCTGGGTCAAAAGTATAATCCGTATCACAGTAACCGGGTGTTGCCGAGCCCTTATTACAATAGTAATAGGTACTGCAATTATATGGATTGGCATTGAAGCCAATTTCACCATTCAATGCTGCGCAAGGATTACTTGAAAGGCAATCTATGGTGCTCGAATTCACGCACTTGAAGGTGTTGCGATCGTAAAATAGATTATCTTCACAGGTGCCACTAACCGCCTCTCCATCTATACACGTTATCCATGCATTGCAGGCGCGAGGATCCTTAATACGCGTACCGTTGGTAAGTAGGGAGCAAAACTCTTCCGGATTGAAGCTGGCGCAATTCACAGTGGCAAAGAATAGTGAGATCAACAATATTCCTTGGTATACTAATTTACGAGTAAAATACAAAATATGAATTTTTTTAATTATTTAATCTGAAAAAGGTATTGAAACTTACACATTTTGATTTCTTAATATTTCGATATAAAAATACAGAAATGACTTGCTTCTCTCTATTCGTACCTCCAACTCAATGAGGACTTTTCCGTTTCCAATGATTTTAAATACTGAAGTCAAAATACTTCACTCAAAAGCTTTTGTGCAGGCGTCTTAAAAAGCATTGTAAAATCAAAGCAGTAATTCTTGGCAAATTAGGAACTTAGATAATTATTATAAATAAACATTACACAAAAAATTAAAGTGATTTTAAGGCATTAAATCGCAAACACCTTGACTGCATTAAGCATTATGTCATAACTCCATTTTGGTGCGATTGTGCAAATCACTGCTTTTAACGATTTTTAAAAGATCAGAAAAACAAAATATCGATTTTCTATCGTTGTGTCATTTGCTTCGCTGTGTACACATAAATAGGAACAGTGGTACGTTTGGCAAAGATATAGTATTTTAAGTCAGTAATTGCAAAGTAGTAGTAACAAACTTTATTATAATTTAGTACATTTTTTCCGTAAGCAAAACTTAACTTTTAACCGTTTGGACTGAAAACTATTGTATATAGCGTTTGCAAATACCGGTTTAACCGGTAGTTACTTATAAGCAAAAGTCATGCGGCTAAAGTGCTCATATTTTACATAGAAGTCATCCATCTTACCCCTAAGGGGTTTGCTTTTTGGAGGTTGTGCAGCGTCAGATACCTCAAATGACATTTGGCCAAAGGCTTTTTTTTGTTAGCTGTGTAGTGCTGAAATAAATTGTACATTTTCGCCTACCCGACTAGAGCAATAAAACATACATGGACATGCATACGTAAATATATATATATATATATATATATATATATATCTTTATTATATATATGTTTCTTTTATTATGAAATTATAAATTTTATACCTATCTTTTTTTAAACTTCTATCCACCGTACGTTAGTCACGTTACTTTCAGACGAAAATTCTCAGGTATAATGAATTTAATGCGGTTTCGGCGAAATTCGCCCAGCGCCTAATTTGTAGTTTATTATTAGGTATCATCTAATTAACTAATTATGTAGCTTATGACTCCTTCTTATCACTGCCTTCGATAAATACTTGTCAAATGCGGCGATAAGAAACGAGGCCGGACTGCTCATTTCGAATCTTGGATATGTCATATAGGGAAGTTACTTTGAATCAATGCACCATGATAACGGACTACTTACATATTGTTGCTTCTGTGATAGCTCTTATTATTATTATCACCGTAAACCTCAGGCTTAGCCATAGAGAAAATATTTTTTCACTTTTACAAAATAATAAGCCCACAATAGACAACGTCGAGAAGAGAAATTATACCTGAATAAATATATAATTTTGGCAGGAACTGAAAACACTTTTTGAATAGACCTCGTATATATTCGAGTAGGTGGCGGCTGCGATAGTCGAGTGTTTAGTACAGCGTACTGCCATTCGGAAGACCAGGGTTCTTCTAACATCTAAACCCCTTGAAAATTAATTTCAATCAAATTATTGTATAAAAAGTGTATTTATGCTTCCCATTTCCGGTCGTCTCTCGGCAGGGAATGCCAAACACTCTGAGTGATTGATAATGCAATAAACCTGTTAAGGCAATTTCCAGATGAGCTCCTCATCCAATTCATTTCAAAAAATACACTGGGGGCCGAATTATCAAATATATATGATTCAAAAAACAAACTTTGTGTTGAATTGGTTAGGCCAAATAGGCCCATTTTGATATCGATGTAAGGTTTCTGTCTTCACTTTCTCAAATGATCGAACCATTTTGTGTGCCTTATAAAGGAAACTAGACTTGAAGAAGTGTTTTAAGAGAATTTTTTGTCGCGCAGATGTCAGGGCTGGGCCGTGACACAGGTAATGCTCGATAGACAACCCCTCTTCGTCGGCAAAAATCATTAGAGAAATAGCCTATTGTTTTCCCGTGAAGCCCCGTTTAACGATGGCCCGTTATTCTGCCTCTTTTTAAGTTCATGTTGAAAACAACGTATTACGAGCCCACATTTTTTTTAAGGGTCTAAAATGAGTTTTACCTATCGCAAGTGGATAGGTAGGTAGCCTTTTTAAAGAGAAATATAAAATAACTAAAAGTGATTAAAAAACTTGCACGTTATCAAAATATTTACTACGACGGATAAAATTGTTAACGTGATATCACTTTTAACGATAAAACTGAGGAACAAGATTATTGGTGTACGATTATATAATCGAACATTAACAATTTTTAATATAAACAAGATATACATTTGATGGGCATCTGAAATGTTTAATGGAATACTTCGAAGTGTTATATGTGATTTAACTTTTTCCTTAACTTGTTGACAGTCGAAGACAAATTGGCTTTGGGCCTGCAATATTATCAATATTTCCGTTTTGCATAAAAAGTGATCAATTAAATATATCATAAAAGTAGAATCTCTTGTTGAGACTGTCAAAAATTATCAAAAACTAAAAACTTGCCGATTATTATGAAAATAACACGCGTGCCTTTCTGCGTATAAATACAGGATGGCTCAAAGTGAAAAAAACAGTTGTAGAACAACTTTCGTGACCGCAATATAAGTACATACTTGCAGTACTTTAGAAAGTGAAAAATATCTAAAAATGCTTGGTAAGAAAAAGAGGAGATGAAAATATTAAGTTATTTGTACATAGCATAAATTGGAGTGGGAATTCATGCAACGAAGCAAAAGAAAAAACGCAGTTATTCAAGAAAGTCGATTAATCTTTTCGTTGGAAACAAAGGACCAACAACCGAGACCACCGTTTTGTATTATGTTTTGGAAAGACCTAACCTATTGCAGTCTCAATGGTTTGATGGAAGGACTGATGGTTTTTGAATAGAAACTATTATTTCAACGTACAACAGACGCCATAACTTGGTGGAGCAATCCATGCCACGATCCGGAAGGTCATAAGAACATAAACTAATGACACTTTGGAGTATAAAAATGGAGATTCAACAGCCTCTCTAGTGCCGCTTAAAGTTAAGGACTCCTCCCTATACATGTTGTCATTCTTATTGGATAAACCTTTGATGTGGATTTTAAATTTATATTTTCTATATAAGATTCCATTCTTTATTGTATGCTCTCATTTCTGTATTACAAACTTTTATTTAAGAACAACACTTGTCTTTATGATTTACAGGAACGTTTAGTGCATCTATTTTAGCACTGCTGCTAATTTGCGGCAATGCTTTTACTGCCTCGGGGCTTAACATGACCAATATCTGTTTGCTACTGGAGGATAATGCTCTGATTGCTAGTGGCGAATCTTGCTCAACATATTACTTGTGCTCCAACAATGTTCCGATTCTTCAGAGTTGTGCGAGCGGCACCTACTTCAACAAGAATGTCCAAAGCTGCGTCAGCACTGCTCCGTCTTATTGCGCCGTGGATGGCGCGGATCCCTGTACTGGACACGCTATTGGAACATACACCGCTGTTCCAAATTCGTGCAGCGGCTACTATTACTGCTCAGCTAAGGGTGCATTACGTAGTAACTGCCCCAATGATCTAGTCTTCAATCCTACTACACAAGCCTGTGATTACAAAGACACTTATAGCTGTGATGACACAACTGCTGATACTGACTCAAGCTCGTCAGTGATCAATTTATGTTCATACGTAAGAATTAACAAATACTTCGGCAATGCTTTCAACTGCGCAGGATGGCAAATATGCTCCACCGACAACTCTTTCAAAACGGGCACATGCAAGGATAACTTGGTCTTCAATACAAAAACCAAGACTTGTGACTACAAATCAAATGTTGTATGCTCTCAGGTATGTATTATATGTAGTTGATTTCAAGTCATACATATTAATGCTCCCCATGTACAGGTGACAAATGATCCTAACCTAGAAGTGACAGCCGCAAATGGTGGTGCTTGTACTGTGTCTGTGAGTCGATTTGTCAATTAGGGCTTAGGCACATTGAATTAAAATACTGATTTAAAACTTATTTTAGGGGAACGTTAAAAGTGCTACCGCTTGCAATCAATATTACTATTGCAACGGCGCCAACTATGTGCTGAAGACATGCACAGGCCGTTTATATTTCGACACAGTGTCTGGTGAATGTGTAAACCGTATAAATGCGGTCAACGATTGCGATCGCTGCCTTGGTAGCGACGATACTTTCGTGAATGCCTACGGTACCGATTGTAAGGGTTATTTGTACTGTTCAAATGGTTTTCGACATAGTTCTGCTTTATGCGCAAATGACGAGTATTTCAATGAGTTGCTGGGCGGTTGCGTTAAAGAGAATCCCAACTTCGAATGCTGTGCAAATTCAACAAGTACTACCATTGCAGCCGACTCAACTACTGAATCATCTGCAACAACAGCTAAAACGGAGTCCGGAACAACAGCTAAAACGGAGACTGGAACAACAGCTAAAACGGAGTCTGGTACAACAGCTAAAACGGAGTCTGGTACAACAGCTAAAACGGATTAAAATTGATTAATTCAAACTATTGTATTACATAAATATTTATACATAACATATGTATTTGACTATTTCTGCAGATATTGAATTAAATATTTGAATTAAAGTCGGAATATAGCATTGTGTCAAGATGTGCCCAAGTACCCATGTATGAGCGTATTTATGTGTAACACACTTGACACCAACATATAATATTAATATTAATAAAATTTTATGATTATGAGCATTCTAATATAAGCGTTCATTACTTTTTTCGTTCTGCTTTGTGGGCGAAAGCACCACCACTGGTGGCCGAGTCCACGTTAGCACCAGAGTGTTTTCTTGTAAATGATCTTTTCACAATAAACTTTCATTTATTTCTGTTGAAATACACTTCACACGTAAAATTTTGAAGTATATGAATACAACAAATCACATATTCATTGATTTAGAAATAGTGTGCCATGACTTTTAGAAAATAAGAAAATGTAGAGATTTTAGATTTACGCCTTGTTGGTAGTCTCTTTGTTATGCTGCTTGAATAAAGTCGTCAAAGGGATTTTTGCGCGTTTGTTTTTGGTCGGTCCAAAATCGGTTCCTCTAATAATTTCCTTTTTTATATTCATATTATATTTTTTTTTAATGTTTAATTATACCTTGTTAATTAAATCATTATTATAAAATTTTCTCTCAATTTCACAATTATGGCACATGATTAAGTAAATTTAACATACACCAAATACATAAATACTAGTACATGTATATATTATCTGCTTTAATCAACCATTTTAGAAAATTTAAATAGCCCTCCCCAGATTTTTTTTCTTTGATTTCTATCTACTTAGGTTAGAGTAATTGATTGCACTGCACTATAGATACGAGGTATGCTAATTAAGTGTTGAAATACACCAAAACAAATGTGAATCAGAATTATTTGTTTGAAAGGGATATTCGAGTTTGCCTGGCAGAAATGAAAGGAGACTACGAAAAAATATTGAGATCAAAGCTGATTTAACAACAGCGTACCATTCTATCCTTCTGTTTCGTCAGGTCTTCTTCATCTGGTCTTTCCAACGATCTCGAGGTATTACTCTTCAACTGCTTCCACCGGCGGATACTGCATTGAAAACTTTCAAAGCTGGAGTATTTGCTTCCATCTCGTCTACATAACCTAGCCAGCGTAGCCGTTGCTTCTTGATTAGCTGAACTATGTCAATGTCGGGACATTCAGAAGACTCGGGTTCAGATAATAAATTAAGTTAAATCTTCTAATTGCGGTCGCCCCTCGGAAGGGAATGTCCACCCCTCTGAGTGTATTTCGGAAATGAAATAACCATCAGCCGTTCGGAGGCGGCTTAGTATAAACTACAGGTCCCTCCATATGTTGGAAAAACAATAAGACGCAAAACCACAAATTGGAGGAGGAGCTCGGCCGAAAAACGCTTCAGCGGTTACAAAGCGCCAATTATGTATATAGTATATGTCAATATCAAAGTACATCGGCTCCGGTGTTCGCCATTGCAATCGCGATAGTGGATTTTAGTTTTCAATTGCCTACTGAGTCAAAAGATGCACCTAATGGTGAGTTGAAGTTGACGGATATATTTTCATCTGGCTGATGCATGCACCTTACAAGCTCTTCTCCGTCTCTCCCGCCACTTAGCTGCTTTTCAAGCGGGCGCTTGCTATTCGAACCAATTGAGTGTTGAGTTTAAATTAATGTTTTGGAATCGGATCTCAAACGAATTCATTGATTTTCTTGGGGAATATCGGCAGTTGTTTTCGAACATTGATAATTCTAATTATTTTCTTATCTCAGGACTTTAGCCAGCCCTCGGATACATACATATGTGCATGAGTAAGTACGTTATAAAAGTGGGAAATAAAATAAAGTGAAACCGGAAAAATGATAGGAATCACTCTGTGACCATATAAATTTATGATCGCCAATAATGATAGAGTTAATTATGTTTATGTTTGGTATAAAAGGCAATGATATCTTTTTTGACAATTTAGAATGAATCGGGAACTGAAATTTCAGAGTATAAGTATTTAAACCACAAGAACATAATATAATTGAAATGAAAGGCAAGTTTAAACCTAAATTTTGTTGCAATTTAAATTGCCTATCATAGTCGAAAGAAAGGGAATAAATAGTGTTAAACTTGCTCGAATTAATTTCGATATACATCCATTCCAAGTACATTTTGTAACTCAAGGAGAACATAAAAATCTTTGCTTCAAATTTAAAAGCTAAGCAAAAAGCTAAAAAAAAAATAAGCCTAAAACTTTTCTGAACTTTTCCCAAAAGAGCATTCCAGGAAAAAAAGGAATTTATTGTCGTTTAACAATGGAAAGTTGGTTCAAGGCCGTTCTGTCTTGCCAATGATAAAGTTGATAATGTTAGACAATAATATTTGATATATTGTTTAAAACAAGTACATTCCTTATTTACTTTACATATATTTAATTTCTTTCAATATTTCAGGATATTTTACTCTTATTTATGCAATTAATGTATTACATTCGATCACCCATTGTCGCGCCGAGTACGATGTGACGTCGATATGTACGCTTGTTAAAGATAATGTGCGAGTAGCTAGTACCGACTCCTGCAAAAACTACTTCACTTGTCAAAACGGCAAAGCTATTGCAGAAAGTTGTCCGGATGAGCAACTCTTTCATAAGGATCACCAGCTATGCAAACCTTCCACGGAGGTGGACTGCTATTGGGGAGTAGCCACACCATGTTCAACACGCGACGAACCAACATTTATACCGATTGTGGGAACATGCGAGGGCTGGATACACTGTAAAGATGGCAAGGAAGCGGGACGTGGCGAATGCGGTCAAAATTTGGTGTTCAAAGATGGCCGTTGCGAGTACGGCGAATGTCGTGAGGAGTATGATCCTAGTGGGTTGCAGAGCATTTGTCAGATTATGCCCAATAATAAATACTTTGGTAGTTCCATTGATTGTGCTCGTTGGCAAATATGTCGAAATGATTTACTTAAGTTTGGTTACTGTAAGAACTCATTGGTAAGTTCAAGAAATTCAAGCTGTAATACCAACGGTATAAGTCTAACAAATATCAGCGCATTTGTATATGTACAGGTTTACAATCCACTCACTGGCGAATGCATTTACGAAATGAAAAACACCTGCAACTATGTTACCGGAGAGTCAATTCTACCAGATGAAGAAATTAGTGGTACCTGTACCTCTTCAGATTCTGCCATAGCGAGCGTCATAAAATGTTCAATGTATTTCCAATGTATTAATGGAGAATGGACCCGCAGGGATTGTGCTGCCAATCAATTTTATGATATTGTTGAGAAACAATGTGCCGATTATGTTGCGGCTATTACGAACGACAAATGTGATCGATGTGAATTTTCCAAGGGGGATTTCGTAAACGATGTAGATCCTAAAAATTGTAGTAAATATGTTTATTGTCGCAATGGCAAAAGGAAAAGCAAAGGTAGTTGCCCGAGTGGCCGCTATTTCAATGAACCTTCGCAAGCATGCTTGAGCACCGGCGAAGACGTTAACAGCGCTGAAGAAGGAAGTGGTGAAAATGATATCGCTGGCCTAGGCACGTCCTTGGCTTTGTACAATAAATCGCATGGTGCCTGTAAGACCAATGACGTGTTGATTAGCACTCAGAGTTATATTATATAACAAATTATTCTATATTTTATTTAACAATTTTTTTGTAAATTTTTTTTTTTATATTTTCAATATAATATTATTAGCAATTAACCGCACCATTTCTTTGTGACCGAAAACCATTTAAAGGCCGATGTTCAAATTTAAAAAATACTCATATATAAAGACTTTGTTTCAAATATAAACTAAACTTCCAGCGATAAATCGATTATAACTTTAAGGACTTTGCGCGATGACCACTATATCAGATTTTATAACCACTTCTCCCACTTTCGAATCATCGTTGTTGACTTTGCCGCCCGCAAGAATATTTCAAACTGCTTCGAGGCTGATAAATGTATCCCCTTTACTCAATTGAAACACCGCATGCTATTTTCTTGTTTTCGTATAGTTTTTAAAAGTTTTGAGCGATGAATGTGGCTTTCTTAAAGCTGCTTAAAAAATTAAAAAGAAAATGGATTTCCAAACTTTGTCACTTAGGGCCTTTCTGCAATTCATCAACGAGTACATAGAAATTATACTTATCCTGTATCCATAAGTACATAGGCATATGTATAATATGTATAAAGCTATCAGCATGAGTTATTGTATGAATCACGCAAATTATTTATATATTGAAAACCTTCTACGATAAAGGTGCACCTTCAAAATGAGACGAATTTATTTAATTAAAAATATTTATATCAACTCAATTTGCTTTGATAAATAATTGTAGTGTGTTTTTATCATTGGGTGATTCTATTTTTGAAAATAAAAATCATCATTTCCGTGTGGTGAAACAAAAAAAATTAATTAAATATTATATCCTAAAATTTGATCTAATCACAAAACCAGCAGGCTCAAGTTAAGTTAGCTGACACTATAAAAGCCAAGCACTGGCACAATTGGCTATTAGTAAATTAAATTTCTTGAAAAACTTAGCACAAAGAGTATCAAGAAGAAGAGATTTGAAAATGTTAGGTAAGCAAAAATCTTTTACGGGAATTATGGTTGATTCCATAATATTTATTTGTATTTTCATTTCCACATCTTTTTAGCTAAGCAATTTATCGCTGGCTACCTACTTCTGGTGCTAGTTAACACGATTTCCGCGGAATACGACGTGGATGGCGTATGTACGTTGATTAAGGATGGCGGCTTAATTGGTAGCATTGAATCTTGTCAGAAATATTATAGTTGCAACAAAGGCAAGGCAACGGCCTATGTATGCCCAGACGGCACTAGATTCAGCAAGAATTTGGAAAAATGCGTAAGTGAGAGCAGCGTTGACTGCTACATCGGCGCAGCGGGAGTCTGCACTGGTCGAAGTGCGGCGTTCATTTCGAAGCCAGGCACCTGCAACGGCTGGATCTACTGTAAGAACGAAAAGCAGGTCGGCAGCGGTAGTTGTGGTAGCAATTTAATTTTTCAAAATGGTGAATGCCGATATGGCGAGTGTACCGTGGATAGTAGTAATTTGAATACAAACTTTACATCGATCTGCCAGGTTATGCCGAACAACAAATACTTTGGCAGCACAAAGGAGTGCAGTAAATGGCAAATTTGCAGGAATGAAAAGCTGGTCGGAGGCTTTTGCAAGAATGGTTTAGTAAGTATTGCATGATTATTTCCGTTTCAACACGGAACGGATGGGAGGCAAATTGATATATACATTTCTAATTAATTTCTCTCTGCAACTGACAGGTTTATAATGTTAATTTGGCTTCTTGTACCTACGCAAGTTCAAGCTCTTGCTCTCAAGTATCTGGCATAACCGTACAACCCGATGCTGAAGTATACGGAAGTTGTAATAATGTTAACACTAAGAAACCATCAAATATATGCAGTGACTACTTGAAATGTGAAAATAATCTATGGAAACGGTATTCGTGCAATAGAGGTTATTACTTCGATATTACAACGAGCTCATGTGTAGCCCGCATCTCGGCTATAACAACTGATTGTGATCGCTGTCTGTTCTCGACAAAGGAATTTGTGAACGCTGTCGATGAGGAATGCCGCAAATATTTGGTATGCCAAAATGGTATCAAAAAGACGTTCAATTACTGTGCTACCGGGTACTACTTTGATGAGATCGCTGGAGGTTGTGTTAAATCCACAGACACTGTGAGCAAGGCATCTAATGGGGCTTGCCAAGCAGCTACTTCTAGCGATACAAGCTCTTCTGCTGATAGTGACTCTAGCGATACAAGCTCTTCTGCCGATAGTGACTCTAGCGATACAAGCTCTTCTGATAACAGTGATTCCAGCACTGATGAAAGCGCTTCTGACGATACTAGCGAAAAGTGAAGCCCAAATAGTTCTAGGACTAGCTCCAAATCTCTTCAAGCAGCATTTTGAATGAATGTACTATAATTAATCCCACAATAGTAACTATATATACACATATGTATGTACAAAGTGTTACTTTTTTATATAATTTTGTGAAACTTATTAATACCTTTTAAATACAACAAATTTAATCTTTCATTAACGCAATAACCGCTATCGGTTTAAAATTCATAAATTTCTGAATTACATGTTTCAAAACAGGTGAACCTACGTTACCTGTACCTACGCACTTTTTAGTATCTCTAAAACCGAACGGTTGATTTTTATAAAAATCTCCAGAACTTCTTAGATGTTCGTATGATCTGGACCTAAAATATACGTTTACATTAGTTCATTTTGAACATTCGTCATTTTAATAAAGAAAAAATAGCTACACATAAGCTGTGTTCGTTAAGAAATATCAGTAAAAACCAGCAAGTAACGAAATTGAGAGAGTAAGATGTTTTACTCTCCGAAAGAAAGACGTTTTCCTCGTTTTTAACGAACAGGATCCAGTAAAAATTAGGCAGCAAGTTATTCAACAGCTGTTTATTTTGGCGGTTAATTATGAATTCGTTCATTTATACAGTTTTTTTTTGTATGATTTCAAGCTTACGTAAGTGTTTTAATGAAATTGACAATTATGTGACATTTTTAAATTATTAATTGTATTCTAAATTGTTTGTATTTCAACAGTGCAGTTTTTGGTTGTCCAACGATAAAAATTTCAATATGTTTTTTCTAATAGTCCTCTTTCTAAAAGAACGATGACAATTTGTCGCATGGATTTTCAGTAAAGATGACTGAAATATAAAAATAAGTTTGAAATTGTTTTTCCGTGTAAGCCGACTCGACATTATTATAGATTTTATTCGATTCTGTTTAAATAAAAACCAAACAAAGAGCTTTATTTTTCCTTCCAAATGCTAATAATATTTCATTTTGTGCATCGTCGTCGATTCCGGAAGATCAAGAAGGAAGTATCCTAATTGTGGCCGTAGCAGCAACTTGGCTCCAAATTAGTTATGCTGCTCCTTTGGTCACCACTGTTTTCTGGTAAATTATAGAAATCCGAAATCGACCATTGTACTAGAAATAATAACATATTTTAATTCTATGCCTTCCTAACTTTAAATTTCTCTACCGAAGCTGGGTGTTGTGCGGACGATGATTCAACTCCCCTGCCATCAGGTTTTCGTTTAACGAATGCCTTTACTATTGGTTAAATCATTGATATTGTTCAGTTAAATTCAACATTACACTTGACCACTTATTTGGTTGGCATATCATTCATATTAAAGAATTAAAATTACTTTGATTTTAAATCAATTTTGTTTTGTTAAAAAAATTCAATCACATGATCACAAATTAGCTGTTTTTCATGCTTGCTAGTTTTTACTGGCTGATATTTTCCCGGCACCAATTTTCCCACCCTTTAGTCAACGAACAGAACCATAATTCGTACAATTTCTCACTTACGGCTAACAAAGAGCAAGACATTTCGCGTTGTCTTCTTTGCAAGTGTAATTCCTTCATTAACAGCAGCATTCATCTCCAAAGAAACAAAAAGTGTTGCTTACTTAGTGACTAACGCCACTCCATTACACTTGACCATGAAAAAAGTATAATATTGCGCAACTATCATACGATTCTAAATTTCGTGATAAATTCAGCTTTATTTAATTTTATTAATTTACAACACTGTTGTAATTACAACGCTTTATACATTAAATGCAGAATTCTATTGTAAACTCTCTCTATACTATAAAATGCGAATTAAGCACAAGCCGGATACGATATATAATCTGTGGTGCATTTTCCTTCCAAAGCATTGAACCACGTACCAGAATCGCAATCGTATTCCTCAACAGTACGATTGTCTTTACAAAGCAGATAATTTTTGCAGCCCGATGTCGAACTCAACTCATAACCTTCCTTTCGACCATCACAGCGATCTTCAGTGCATTTTACATGCGCACGTGGCAGACATGCCTCTTCTGTCGAATCGAAAAATTTCGACTCAGGACATTGTCCCCAAACTGGTGCTGTATCTGGTTTACCCACTCCAAGGTCTTTGCAATAAAAGTAACCACGACAGGAAGCGTCATCACTAACAAAGCGATTTCTAATAGCAAGCTTTGTATTGCCGCACACCTCTTTGGGATATGGATATTTAGCGCAGATAACTTGGCTCTTAGGCAGACAAGTACCGGTGTTAACATCAAAATATTTACCAGTATCACATTCCTTAATCGTAAGTACTGTTTTTGATTTCTGTACAACACACTCATAGTACGAGTCACACTGGGTTTCGTGCAGGAAAGGCGTTGAATTCGGCACCACATCACAAAGGTCAAAAGTAGCTGTGCAGGATGAATTTTCCGGGTAATCACACATTTTATTTGTAGAATTGAAAACTAAATTAGCCGTACAGAGACCAGATTTTAGCATGGTTTTACCATTGCAATTATACCATCCCTGACAATTTTTCGGATCTGCAACATAACCACTTGTCTTGGTCGTACATGGATCACTGCAATAGCTATCGCTAGTACTTTTTGCACATTTTTTAGTAGCTCGATCGTAATATGGGGTACTACCTGAGCACTGCAGCACTGTAGTGCTTTTAAAGCCCTTGCACTCGATGCCGGCGTCGCAATAGCCTGGCTTTCGCAACAAAACGCCATCTTTGAAAAGTCTACATATATCCTTGCCCGAATTTAGGTCTTCCGCACAGCACACATTAAAGAGTATTCCAGCGACAACAAGTATTACCAGCAACACCATACAAGAATCTGTGAAGTTACAAAAAGAATATTATAACCACTTCACACATTAGTTATACATATACATATAATATTTAAGTAGAATTACGCCGGTTTTGAGTTTCTGTCTTTGCTTCCCTGACAAGAAAAGTGCAAAAGCAAAAAAAAAAAAGTATGTTGGACTCAGACCCAAAAATCATGGTGATGGGTGTTATAGTTATAATTTTCGCACACCTTCCATTCTCCACACTTTAATAGCTTGTTTCTCCACCAAATTCTTCAAAATACTGACTGAATGCACCACATGGATGTTTCTTTCTTTTATAGCATAATAAATAAATAGTATGTGTCTCAAATTAGTGATTTATTAGCAACTTAATTAATATCACAATTTTTCAAAATTTTGTTTTGTCCGTTTACGAATTGCAGATAAGATAGTGATACATGATTCAGACACAAGAGAGATCCTTCTGTTTGTAGAACCTTTATAAGAAGTGTGTACACCGTATCCATAAAATACAGGCGTAAGCATTTAGCAGTAAGACAAATTATTTATAATGCTTCATTATATGAGGAATTTATTTTTTATATGGTACTACACTAAGTTTTTTGGCAGCATGAAATAATCAACGTATATATAACACAGAGGTATGCTTCTATATCAAACTACAATACAAAAAATAACTCCGTTATTATTATTTCCTTCATGCTTCATTTATTACAGATTTTAAAATATCGTTATTAAGTGTTACTAGATTGTTAATTTCTATTATTATTCCGAAGGCAAGGGTTCGAGTCTTGGTCCGGCTAACCTCTAAAAATTATAGAAAATTATTTTTATAACTTTAAGCTTTCTAAGTGGTTGTCGAGTTTTTAATTTTAGCTTTCATTAATTTTAGCAGAATTGTTATTGTGCAACCATCTGTTACGGATTGTTACTTGATCTTATCTCAGAATCTATCAAAATTAAAATGGAGGAAGAATGAGACAATACAAAGTCGTTAATAATCTTAGAAACGTCAATGCGTGCTACCATTGCTAGTATACATATACACACAAATGAGCCCAATTATCGGCAGCAATAAATCTTATAGGATTAGCATTAAAGAGTTTCATATATGCGTACAGTTATGTGCAAAAAAGTCATTTTAAGACCTAAGTGGAAAATATATGCAATACATGCATGTATTCGGCCATTGATATGTATCATTAGATACTTGGATTTTTAAAAGCTTTTATTTTAATCATAATATGCGAAATATTCTAATATGTGGTCTACCTCAATTTCCAAGTTAGCCGAGAGATATTTCTAGGAAACTTAAGTTAGTAATCCCTTTATTGGACTTTTTTGCACTTTACTGTGCCAGTTATGTGCTAATAAACTATGTACATTCCGATGTTTGTATGTATATGTATATACTTATTTATTCATCGATTATCTTGATTTGAAACAAATACAGGTGTCTAAAATAAAAGCGACAAGCAAGGGAAAATATTCTTGCAATAGGTGAACAGTTACAATCGAGAAAGCTTACAAAAGAGTTAAAAAGATTATTAAAACTAGGCTGTCTATGTACGATTGCAGTATGAAAGGTGAGACATTATAATTATAAACTCTAAAAATTTGGACAAAATAAAATAATAATAACAAAATAATTTGAAATATAACTCTTTCTTAAAAAGTAATCTTAAAATCACACAATACTGAATTAAAATTGATCTTAAACTTACTATTTGTAATACATCACATCTACTCATATACAATACATACATATATATATACACACAGAGTTAAAAAATCTTCATGTACAATTGGCTTCGCTTTGATTTACGTTTCAGCCGAGGCCATTATATTTGGACTGTTGGTCTTATCAACAGGATTTGCTGCTGGCTCTTCTACAACCAACAACGGTGACCTTTGCCGCTTCTTTGCCAATGAAACAAAGCTTCGCGATCCAGCGTCGTGCAATCAATATATAACATGTGTGGATTTCGTCTCCCAGTATCAGAGTTGCACTACAGATAAGCCTTTCTACGACAAAGATACGCAAAAGTGTGTCACTACATTATCTAATAACAGCACTTGCCAGATTTCTTGCGAAAAATATGTGGGTGGATTCGTAAATGATCCATCATCATGCAATGGTTATTATTATTGCAAAGATGCCGAAACAGCTTTGTATGGAAAATGTCCAGAAAACATGCACTTCAACGGCACCAACCAGATGTGTAGATACAAATCAGATTCTACATGTAAGGTCAAGGAATTTGATATTTGCTCAATAGCTAAAAAGGAGACAAAAGTTCTAGATGAAAATGATTGTCGTAAATATTATGAATGCTCATCTAAGGGTGTGCTAACCGAAAAAACATGCGCCAGCGGTAAATATTATAATGCCATCACCGGTACTTGTTTGGATAAATGGATGGTAGACTGCCCGAAAATTCCGTTACCCGATAATATTTGCGGTACAAAAGCAAAACCAGTGAAAAATAAATTTGTTTCGGATGATGCCACTTGTCGCGGCTACTTCTATTGCGGCGACAAGGTCGTACCAGATCCAGCTCCCATATGGGGTTCGTGTCAAAATGGCACATTCTTCGATGCCACAAGTCAGTCTTGTGCAAGTCCTCTACAGGTTAAATGTCCCACTGGCGCAGATCGTTGCGATGGTCGTTCAGAAACATTTGTCAGCGGAAGTGAATCTGGTTGTCGTCAATATTTACGCTGCAAAGAAGGCAAGACGGTAGAGCAAAAGAGTTGTGGCAATAAATTTTTCGATGAAACCAAAATAGCCTGCATCTCAACACCAATTACATATCAATCGTGTGCTCGAAGCTAGCTGCCAGACAATAATGACATGTCGAATGAAATATTATGAATTATTCGTACATTTCTTTCGTAAAAATCATTAAAATGCAAATGTATATGTGTTTGATGTATCGTTTTCAAATCTATTCAAATCTATTTATATATGAATATATGATCTTATAAAGAAATTAAATGAAATATATCCTCCTCTTAAGTATGGATAATGGTCACTTCGGGTACCATATCTCCACAATAGAAATCCCCAATGAGTACTAGCGAAATGAATACATTTAAATCACATCCAACATATTTTTGTATTCTTTCAATTCTCCTATTTTCAAGGCCGTCGCTTTGGAGATAAGAAGCTCTACATACTGTGAACGATGCGTCACTAATGTAAATAAAATTTTCCCAACATATATTCTGTACCTGATGCAATTCAGTAGATAGATGGACCCCGCTTATAGAAAATTATCTTCTCATTGCTGCCCGTTAACGTAGCAAAAAGCTTTAAAATAAATATTATTCATACAAATCTAAATTTCTTATCCTTAAAGCTGCATAAAATTAGAGCTTTTAAAAAGCAAGCTGAATCCGCTTACTGATACCTCGTCGGCGCTAATCAAAGAAAAATTTGGAACAATCAAAAAACGGACGAACAAAATCAGTTGTAACCTCAATTAAATCAGTCTAAAATTACTGCGCATATGTTTGCGTGAATCAGAGTAACTGCGTTCGGCTGACCATTAAAATACCATTCAATGAAATGTAAGAATTTTCCCAACCCTTTTTACTACTGTTGCTAGCACCTGAAATCCTATAAACGCAGAAACATGTTGTTTTAAATCACTGCTACACGAGGGAATTAACAAAACATGGATCAGTTGGTGACTTGCAATTTGTTAGTCCTTTTTTATATCTTCGAATAATCGGCGAAAATGGACACGAGAAACTCAAGATAGCTGAGGATAAATGAGACGAAATCCCTCCACCAACGCAAACAGAAATTCCCCATGTGATTCTCTTCGGGTTTCGACGTAATTTACTGCCAATACAAATATTCAGTGAATGCCAAATTGCGTATAAAACGATTTTACCCTCTTTAAAGACTATTTCTAAGTGATTCCGAAGGTTCTAGAAGGGGCATTTTTCCGTAGAGGACGAGTCTCGAGAAGGTCGACTAGAATCTTCCACTGATGACGTCACTGTAGCTCTCGTGAAGTCCAAAATTGACGAAGACACACAATTGACACAAGAAATGATCGCTAATGAATTGGGCTTGAATGTCATGGCTGTATCACGAAAATTAAATAATTATCAAGGATACACGAAGAAATCTGCTCGATGGGTATAACGAATTTTAAATGAGGCATAAAAAGAGCCTTGAAGGCATTTTGCTCAATTTTTCCTAAACAAATTCGAAAATGGTTAGTCTAGCAACTTTAGTCAAGTCATTACTGGTGACGAAACTTGGTTCTAAAAGTACAATCTACAAACCAAACGGCAGTCTATGGTATGGAGCCCAATAGGAGTAAACCCATCCGTAAAATTTAAGCAACCAAAATCAGCAGCAAATGATGTCAGTTTACTTCACCCGATCTAAAATCGTAGCTGTTATTTCACTGGAAAAGAGTCAGACGGTACACCGAAGAGTGCTTGTTTGGATTATTAATTATGTTATTTTAATAACATAAATAAAGTACAAGCTTTGGCCTTAGATGTGAAGTATTACACCATTCAAACTTCGATCCGTTTTGAGATAATTTTCGACTACTTTTTGGCACATATTGGCGGTATCACAGCCATAACTTGATGAATTTCAATGTTCAAGAGCTCAAGATCTAAAGGTTTATCTGTTCGAGTGTAAAAATTTTATATCGCGTAGTTCCAAAAAAAAGTTCTAGAAGCCACAAATGCTATTATTTTGCTGATTACTCATCGCTGAAGACGTATATACAGCATTGTGAATGGTCAGCTAGCTTCAGTTGTTGTGTGATAGCCCTATACATGTATAGATATATGTACATATGTACATAAATATATTGTAATACATTATTCCCTTAACAAAAGTGTTTCATAGCTTTCTCAAATCAAAGCTATGTAAATTAATTTTAGATGGAAATATTGATAATAATGCCAAGCGCATATCTGATAAGAAGCGTAATACAAGACAACTGCTATTTTTTTTCATTATCGATCCATACCTATTTTGATAGAAATATTTTGAATTGAACAATATTTATTATCGGACCGCCGGAGTTCTCCCATACAATAAATTTATATGTAATCTAAACGGATCAGGGACATAAATAAATAAATCCGTTCATTTATGATTAGCTTCTGAACTAAACATTTGTATGTACATAAATATTTAAGTTAGAAAGTCGAATGTATTTGGCGTTAGTCCGAATTGATCATCGTGCGTTAAACCTCTTGGTTGAGATTTCTAAACCAATCTCTTGGTTTGAGTTTGCAAAATGTTAAGAAAATGTGCGTAAATTTACAATGTTTTTCATTAAGTACACTCGTCCAAGCGAAAATTAAAGGAAAACTCATTAGAAGATGATAACATTTCGTTAAAAGCCATCCGTAAAGAAATTAATAATTTTTGCAAACTCTTTACAGCATTGGTGGCACTAATTTTGTTTAACTGTTATCTTAGTAACAGCGTAAGTGCTATTGTACTGCCTGATCCAACAGGGTTGTGTGGTCTTTTTAAGGTACGCGTTGAATCTTTTAATATACAAAAATCAATTGATTTCCAAACGCATCTTTCTTTCAGGATGGTACACGACTCCGGAAGCCAGGCTCATGTACAGAATATATTCATTGCGCTAATTCCTCAGGTATTGTTTACTCGTGCCCCGCTCAGCAGTTATTCGACCGCAAAACGCAAAGTTGCGTTACAGAAGAAAATCTCTCCGATGTAGACAAATACTGCCGCAATCGATGCGAAGGCATCAATGGCAAGTGGATAACAGATCCATTTTCTTGTAAAGGTTATCTCTATTGTAAAAATGGTGAGCCACTGCAGGGTTATTGTGATAACGGTTACAATTTCGATGAGACAAAAGCGATGTGTGACTTCGAGGATGAGAGCAGCTGCTATATAGTGCCAGAGATTTGCGACTTGGTACCAGACGGCACAAAATATCGCAATATAAATGACTGCGCTAAATACTATGAGTGTAAAAATGGCAAAAGTTCAAGTTCTACTTGCAGTAAAAAGCATTTCAATGTGCAAACCAATGCTTGTGGTGATCAATGGATAGATGATTCTTGCGTGCCTAGTGCAATCACTTGCTATGCTAACAGAACCATAATAAGAGGTTACTTTTCCGATAAAGCTACATGTCGTGGATATTTCATTTGCCGAGATTTTGGAACTGAGCAAGACTTGGAACCTGTTTTCAGACAATGTCCTGTTGGCAAACTCTTTGACCAAACAACGCAATCATGTGTGGATCCCATCGATTCGGATTGCCAGTATAACAGATGTCAGGGTCGTGGTGACATGTACATTCAAACTAACGAAGATAACTGTCGCAATTATATCACTTGTCAAGGCGGGTTTGAAGTAGCTAGAAAAAGATGTAATGGCGATAAATTCTTTGATGAGAAATCACAGGGCTGTGTGAACGCCATCATCAGTTATAAATGCTGTGATGGTAAATAATATGTGAACATTTCTAGGTACGAGAGGCGATTGATAAGTTCGCAGCCTACTTAATGAAGCAAATGTATAGTCTTACGTTTTTTTTTCCAATATAGCTTCCTTCAAGCGAATTACACTTTTCACATCGTGAATACAATGACTTTATAACACTGCAAAAACATTTTTTAGATTTCTTCTTCTGGTTTTCTACTGCCGCTTTCATCTCACTAGTCTGAAAATCTTCGATCCAGTTTTTTCACCGTCTTATATGAAGAAGCAGAGTCCTGATGACATCTCTTTGAACATTTCTTTCGGCGTACTTCCTTTTTTACAAGGAAACAAGCGCGCTGCTCCAAATTGCGAAAATTTCCAGTTTCCGCTAACATAGTGTTATTTCTTGTTCCAGGAACGAAATGTTAATGTTACTTATATTAATAATGAGTCCCTTAATTTGTATTATCAGCAACGAGACTACCACTTAACAAGAATTAAGTATTAAACACCTGGACTGTGACGGTACTGATAATATACAGTGGCTCACAGCCAAAGTGATGCAGCTGTGTAAGAAATAGTATAATAAATTTTCTTAAAAATTAAATAAATTTTCCAAAAAAAACATGAATGACAGTTAATAACGGCAGATATACACATATTTTTTTGTAAAGAAAAAAACTAAAATTGTATGTTGATTAATACTTACTAGGATACCCTTTGCTGTCTATGACTGCTTTCATACGCTTGGGCATGGATTCCACCAACTTCTTCGTGTAGTCATGAGCAATATTGTTCCATTCTGTTTGTAGGGCTTTTTTTTAAGTTGGCTTGATTTCGAATCTCTCGTTCCAAAACTTACCACAGATACTCAATCACGTTCAAATCTGGACACTGCGCTGGGGTTTGTACTATGTACGGACAGTTCCAAATAAGCCAAATTTGCACAAAGCCTGATTTTTGTTTCGGATCATTATATTGAAAGTACTGAAACTTGTCACGAATATTAAATTCCAAATACACAGTCTTATCCATAGTACTATTGATGAAATCCCAAATTTCCAACTCCAGAAGACGACATGCAGCCCCATACCATAACATGCCCTCTACCATGTTTTACATTGCTACGTAAATTTTGCGGTTGTAACGTAGCATTTGGTTTTCTCCATGCGTAGCTCTTTACATCTGATCCAAACAAGTTGCATTTACTTTCGTCCGCAAAAATTACGGTGCCCCAGAAACATTCTGTTTTATATAAATGGTCCTTTGGAAACTTCAGCCTTGCACCTTATTTTTTAGCATTGACATATGGTTTATTTTGAGCTGTGCACGCCCATTAAAATCAGCTTCTCTGAGGATTCTTCGTATGGTTTCTGGGTTAGAGCTTTTTCCAAGATATTTTACCACTTCTTTACCTAAAGCTGGAGCACTTAAGTAGGAGTTCTCACGTATTTTTCACTTTTTTCACTTTTGTTAAATATTTTATTATGAGCCGTTTTAGTTTTATTTGAATACTTGTTTGGCGACACATTTTGATCTACACTCAACTAATGTAAATACTATATGTCAAAATTATCTCATATTGCATCAAGTTTGCTCGCGATTATAGCGGTATTTATTTTGTATTCAATTATTTTGCATTCCGCCACTAACGGTAAAACTTTGTGCATCATTTCGATGTGAGACACAATTTAATACTGAAGTTTGTTTTTGCTGTAAATTACATAAAATAAACCTAAAAAATAAAATTTTTTAAGCATCAATGAAATTAATTGGCATTCATGATTTTTGCGAAGTTTATTTAAATTTTAGACAAAACTTACACTATTTCTTAAATAGCTGCATCAATTTGGCTGTGAGCCGCGGTACATGCACTTTGGAGCGATTTTCAGCCGAACTATTTATGATATGGGTTCTGATGTTTTTCCTACAAATTGAAGGATCCACAGTTTATTCTAAGTCGTCCCGTACGACCGATGGATGTTTATGAGAAGTTTTTGTTTCATGAAGAGAATTACCCACGGAGGACTTGTCATTTCTAAATCCCAGACGTTCAGAATGGTAGTACGCAATACTAGCCACTCGTCTATTGCGTCCGGGATACATTATATTATATCTTTAACGTTCTTGTACTATAAGGGATTGATTCTTATTGTACTAATGAATATCCAAAAATAAATTAAATGAAATGAAAATTCAGCATGTATGAAGACACATCCTCAAATGCCCGAAATATGTAGAATAGTAAATTACCACATGCCAGCATAACAGAATTCATCGAGCTACTAAATGTTTGATTTAGATCTGGCAAATCCACCATTGTTCCATGCACGAAATATCTTAGAAAATACCTGTGAGAAAAGGATCGACACACACTATCTCTTCGTTCATTTTAAAGCACGTTGTTTGACCATGTTGACATATGTACGTTCAAAAACGGATCGGTGATTATGATCTGGTTGCGCCATTCAGGTCACCTGTAGAAGAAAATGCCGACAATTTTCGAAGAACCAAAGGGTACTTGCAAAATGGAAATAACGGACTTTGAATGGAGGTGACCTGGTTCTGGACAAGTCAGCATTATTTTGTTGAATGTTTTTACAATTAAACTTAAACCCGTACTCGAAATTAAATGGAGAGAGGATATGGAGTATAGTATCCACTGCTATCCTTGGATTGAGTCTCGCTCAGCACAACTATGAACATAATTTTTGCTTGTGGAGTATTGCTAATATTGCCATCGAGAATGACTCTAATTTGGATGAAAAAGAAGTTCAAACTCATGAACCAGCAGAAATATTCATTGATGCCGACGAAAACATAGCTGAGGTGCAAGGAAGCCATATACATATATGTAATGTATATATATTTTATAAATGTAATTTAAAAACCATAGTTTCCCAAGTAAAAGAGTTAAAATGAATTTCATTAAATTAATTTTGCATAAACAAAAAAAATACATACAACAGAAAACGAAAGGTCATAAAAATTATCTACTCAAACATATCGTATGGAAAAATGAAAACAACTACTAGCTATAATGCATTTTTTTATCTATTCACAACAGAAGTTTTTGTAAATTTACCACTAACCAGAAGTTAAGTAACCAGAACTTGGCGAAAACGAAAGTGTCACATCAGTCTATCTGGCGGTTACCTATCCTTCGGTTACAGATTAAGTTAATCTAACATTGTGAAAACGAGCCTAATCGGCACTTTGTAGACAACAGACACTTGTCGTCGTACTGTATGTCGCTTAAAGCGACAAACTTACCAACTGTTTGTAAGTTTGTCGCCACTTCTAACCATTTATAAAATGGCCGATGACGATGAGCAGGCGAAGGGTTGCCACTAGAATTTGTGGTGAAAAAACTAACAACTAGCCAATGAAATATTTTTTATCAAACGTCCTCCTTAAAGATAACAAAGTGATGATTTGCTTGGAATTATTAGTGTGTACTTGTCAGCTCTCAACTTGATGACACATATATGACAACGAACGTTCCGGAGATTTGGGTAACACCGTATCTGCACTAGCGATCTTCGATTGCTGAGCAACTGTAATTTCGACTGATAATTGCCAGCCATTTTATTGTAAGGATCTGTATATGGAAGAAGAAGTGAATGAAGTATTCTCTAATTATGGCTGATGATAAAACAACACGTTTGTTAAAAAGGTTCAATACTTTATTTGACGATCAAATGAAAGTATTCTTAAACAGAAAAGTGCATCCGATGAATTTTTTTTATACTTAAGTTCGAATATAACATTAAATACATAGACAATTTATATGTTTCCCTTTAGAAACTCCAATTGAATAAATGAAAAGGATATATAAACCGAATTTAACTTCGCTCCAATTGGATTGTTTCTAATTGTTTTTTTTTTCCAAAAGCTTCAATTCAGTTTATGTGTATAAGTTCTGTATTTTTATGTTTCTTGAACTCTTTTCATTAGCTGGTATTCATATATATCTACACATTGTTTATTTATGTAATTTTCACATTCCTTATTACTTACGTTTTTAATTTGGTTATTTTCTGCGATTTCAGCGAGCTGGCAACTTCTAACTTTCTTCCCAGAGAAATTCGTTCGCCGTCGTTTTAGTCGTTCCATTGCTCGCGTGTGAATTTTCTATGTGAAATTTCGCCTATATTTGATGAAAAATAAATGCGAAATATAATTTAAATCATTTCATTGTTAGTTTTTGCAGTTTTGTGTATATAGGTAAACAATATTTTCATACGAAAATAGATGTCACTAATTTTTCAGAGAAAATGTAAGGAGTATAAGTTACAAAAGTTACTGGTGAAAAAATTGAAATGTATTGGGAGTATTTCTTGGCACTTGTCTAATACAATAAATACTGAAAATATATTAAAAAAAATAATTATTTGTGATTTCAAGGAAATACTGATATTAAAGGTCGTGATTGTCTCTTTTTTCTTCAGCAGAAAGGAAGTGGTGATATATTTGCTTCAAGTTAAACTATTGAAGTGTTTGATGTGCTCCTTTTCCAAAAGTGATCATCTAAGCAATTTTAACTTAAAATAAGCTATTGCCGAATACTTCTCAAAGCAATTTTGAGTCTTCGCTATAGTACAATACATAGACTTCATTGATTACAAGTAAGTATATGGTTGGACTTTATCTTTTATCTAAACAGACAGTAAATACGTATAATACATTTGTTTACATTCCTTATTGAGCAAAAGTATATTACAAGTGTTTCTCATATTTTTGAGATTTGTGGCTCTAATCATTTACAGTTTCCCATCCTTTCACATGTTTTCTACAAGAAGTAAACCTATAAAAATTTTTCTTATTTTGATCCGATGTCTCGGAGAAAATGATCCTGTTATCTAAAATTTTTGTTTATTTCGGCATATACATTCGTTTGACATAGTGAGGGAAAATATAAAAAAGGTGTTTGTGCGCTAATGAAAGTTTAACACATTATAAATATATACATATATAATGGACATATTAACACTTCGATATTTTATAAAAGTTAATTCATTTGAAAAATCATGGTTTATAATACAGGATTTCGGAATAACTGAACTCACACTGTATCTAACGGTATAGAATGTTACAACTCGTTTGGAATAAACTTGATCGCAAACACTGTTAATGAAAAATTTTATATTAGTAAGGGTCTATTATCACAACTACAAACAGATACCTTTGAGCAAATCAGTTACTCATGTGTAAAAATTTCATTAGCATGACATCACAGGCTTTATTATTACACACCTGATGTAGATACACTAATGCGAGATAATATGCAAATAGACTAAAATAAAACCGATAGACTAATAAGATAGAGTGTATTGCTAACAATTAGTGCTTAGTTTAAATATCCTTAAAATAATATATAGATTTAAAGAAACATGGTGAAAGAGTAGGCTCCAGTAGTAAGAATTCAGTCTACATATTTACGCTTAGGGTAATAACTTTTTTGTAGTAGCATGGGCATATAATACGTTATCAACCTCAAATGAGATATGTACCTATGTCAAAATACATATATGCGAACATACATTTGTGTGCAGTATTTAAATGTGCCAATAGATAAATCCAATTAGAAGCACAAAAAGTTTACTGGCGAAAATGCGAATACACATTAGTTAAGAGAGTATTATACAAGAGAAAACGAATTGGAAGAGTATATCATTGGTATGAAAAAAATTATCAAAGCGAAAGTACCACAAAACAGCGTAGTCTATATAGGCAATAGAGCAGAGCATAAGTGTAGCAAGGTGAGAAAGAAAAAAACTGAATGCAATGACCACTTTTCGGCTCAGGTTCTTTGTACTCACAAATGTTATCGAGGTTTTCAGTGAATTTCGGGACACCAACCTAACGCGAGCATTTCGTTGAGTGTGCTAAACTATTGCTCTATCCATTAAAAAAAATATGTGTATATGTATATACTCGTATTTATATTTCTAATAACTTTCCATCTACTTTGCTTTTGAAGTTCCACTACTAAAATAAAAAGTCTGGCTGGAGTAAAATCATAAACAAATAACTATAATATGTAAAAGTATTTTTTTTTGATTATTGAATTTTTGTGAATTATTTATATAAATATGTTGTGTAAGCACACAATCGCCCTTTGATAAGTTTTGAGCAAAAAACATGAAATTATAGTACCAACGAAAAAATTATTTTATTTAATTCTCATCAACGATCTCTCGCTTTTTTTTTTTTTAACCAAAGAGTGATCATGTCACCCTCTTCGTTAACAGTTAAACACGTCGGCAGTTCCGACTAGAAATCTTTTGAAATTGTTTTCCTTTCAGTGAGATAAATTTACCTAATGCGTACACATCTATGAGATTCTCGTTCGTGTAACGCTAGTATGTTGTTTTTTGTCCGGCTTGTGTTGAGTGTTTATTCTTTTTTTTTTGTGCTTTTGCGTCTGTCAGGTTTCAATTTGAATTGCAAATAAAGTGTGAAGATAGCGCATATCTTAGAGATAATAATCATAATTATTTGCGTCAATGTGCTTCGAAAAATGTGTACTAAAAATTTAAATTTTTTGTTCTCGAATAGTTGTTAAAGAATTTCTATTAATTTTATAGGTCATGTCGCATCATAGCGATGATCACCTTCTGCAGGCCGGAAGTGATTCTTTCTGGGAACCTGGCAATTACAAGCGTACCACCAAAAGAATCGAAGATGGTTACAAGTGAGTTAGAAATGCCCAATTACATTACTTTGTGATTTATATGAATGGAAATATTTATATTCGCTTCGGCAGGCTTTGCAATGACTTGCAAACTTTAATACAAGAACGCGCCGATATCGAAAAGGGATATGCAAAGAATTTACGTGCGTGGTCGAAAAAATGGGGAGAGCTGATTGAAAAAGGTAAGCGACTGCATGGTATAAAAGAATTTTTATTTTTAAAGGGCTATTATTTGGGTAGTTAGAAGACTAAAGAGCTTAAAAGAAAATGTTGTATTTGTTTTCAAAAACACGAGGTCTACATTAAAAATTCAATATCAGCATATCACCTTCTTCCGTGTAAATGAATAACGCTTTATATGAAACGAATTCGAATTGTTGGTATGTTATGTGGCACAAAAACACCGGCTTGCAAAAAACGTAATAACAACATTCCAAGATATGTACTTTAAGTACGTATGTATATACACATATATTTGTTTTTGTCGCTTCTGCAAATATTCTCTCTACATAGCCTTTGTCTTGATTGTAACTATAAATGGCCAATAGCGCAAAATGCTGTATTTCTTAACTGTGTATTTATTGTGATACTACAGTGCCCTCTTAGTCTCTTTTCCATTCTATATGCCTACTATTGAATTCATTCTTATATATTGTTAATATTCTTAATATTTGTTTTTTGTGTAAAATTTTGTAGGTCACATTTTACCGTGAAATTTATTTATGCATTTTCTTATTTTGTTTTTGTGATTCTATATTTTGGCTCATTATGATTAGCGGTTATATATTAAATCATATAATGCAACCTATATTCGAATAAGGTGTGTGGAGAATCAGCAGAAGGATCGAATTACGTTTCGTTATAAAAGCCGAAAGTAATAAATACATTCGTACTGTTTTTGAATTTTAGTTTTCAAAGTTTGCAGAATAATATAGGAAAGCTTCCCTAAGGTTATCAGTGCGATATATGACTGTTTGTATGTTTTCCTTATTTTATTATAATATATATTATTATTTCGATTTCTTTTAAGCTGTCGTATACACCAAAAGATGGATGAATGTATGAAGTTGTATATATTTTAATTTATTTTCCATTTATTTAATACTGTCTCCTATAAACCTAAATTGGCAGAATAGGCGTAATATACCTCGTGTAGACAGTATATTTAGTAGTAAAAATGAATTAATTCCATAATAGTTTTTGTCGCGATTGGTGTGACTAGAAACTGTAATTGGTCAAATGAAGTCATGCTTTAGTGGCAATTCAATCGTTTAGCGTAGCCACACAAATTTGCATCAGCGGATTCGGTGAGGGTATCTGTGAGTTGTCATTGATATGTGAATGTTGTTATTGTTAACAAGCTTGTTGTCATCGTTTATTTCTCAATATTGTTCATTCAAAGCTTGATATTTGTACCTATCTATGTACATATTTAGGCATGTGCAAGTAATGACAGCGGGTGTAGGGTATAATCTAGGTGCTAGTATCGATGTCATTTATATATGTGAACACCTAATGTTCAACAAAAATCTATTTTCCGTAGTTTTTCATTGAGTTTATTACGAAAGCTTTCGTTTTTACTTCTGCCACAGCTGACTATTGCAAAGGCTTCAAAAATCGATTACAAATGTAGTATAAATGCACACAAGTGCAATCAATCAAAAACATTTGCTATAGCATAACATATGTGCTTGTGCCGAAGATTTTTACTTGTAAACTTTTGGAATTCCGAACAAAACAAGGCTTTAAATGGAATAAGTACATTTTCTTAATGCAATACGATCAATTTCAGCTTTTATCTTAGCTCCCGCGTATCCTGTTATTTGTTTATATGTTGTTTTCTTTGCAAACAAAATTTCTAAGTTTGTGTGATTATATATTGAACAGGTCCCGAATATGGTACTTCAGAAGCGTCCTGGAAGAGCGTACTCACCGAGGCTGAGCGTATTAGTGACGTACACATGAAAATAAAAGAAAATCTATGTAACGATGTGAGCAGTCAAATAAAGAGTTGGCAAAAGGACAATTACCACCATACACTAATGCAAATCAAACAACGCAAAGATATGGAGGATATGTTTAAAAAAGCTCAAAAACCTTGGGCTAAATTATTAGCTAAAGTAGAGAAGACAAAGTCTGATTACCACGCTGCCTGCAAAACAGAACGTAGTGCCACAAATCAAGAACGCAACGCCACAGCGGATAGTTCCCTATCGCCAGACCAGGTTAGTATGCACAATAAATGTCTAAATATATGTTTATTTTCCCAAATAAAGTACCATCAAACAAACAGCGTTTCAATGTACATATACGACCGCCAATTTGAAGCAAATTTAGAACGTGAAATTGTCCAATTCAACGCACAACGCGTTGAACTGTCTAATATACATATATAAGCTGTGTTCGTTGAGAAATTTCAGTAAAAACTAGCTAGTTACGAAATTGAGAGAGTAAGATGTTTTACTCTCCCAAAGAAAGAAATTTATTAAATAAAAACCAAGCAATTTTGTGCATCGCCGTCGCTTCCGTAAGCTTAAGAACCCATTGTTGTCACTGTGACCGTTATAACAACCGTGCAATAACAACATATGCTAATACCATGCCTTCCTAACTTCTAATTTCTCAACGCAAGCTGGGTGGTGTGCTGGCGATGATTTTACTTAACTGCCACCACATTTTCGTTTAACGAGAGCCTTTACTATGGTTGGAATCATTGATATTGCTCAGTTAAATTAAACAACATAACATTTTACTACTTTTTTTTGTTGGTATATAATTCATGATAAAGAATTAAAACTATTTTAATTTCAGTCAATTTTTTTTTTTTTTTTTTTTTTTTTTTTTTTGACAAAAATTCGATCATATTATCACAAATTTGCTATTTTTATGCTTGCTAGTTTTTATTGGGTCAAATTTCCCTAAGACTCTCTCCAACTAAACGTCAAAATTGCGCTCTCTCGTACCATTTTTTTTATACTGAGTTTTTGGCTCAACGAACACGACTCAGCAAAGTTTAGTAAAAATTGTTACTGCCCATCTGATCAACGAACGAAACTAAAGATAAGAGTAATTCTTTGTTCGCTTATCTAACCAAACAAAAAAACGGTCGCAATTTGAACGTTAGATAATTTAGGGTACAGAGTAAGTTTTTAGGAATTTCCCATATATATTAAGATATAACGGATTGACATTTACTATAATAGAAGCTACATATACATATTGTTTGTAGTTTACTATATGCTCACTTACTGATTGTTTTTTAAGAAAAAGTTTGGTTCCTTTGTTTTTTAAATATACCGCCGCAGGTTAAAAAAATGCATGATCGCGTGCAGAAAACTAAAGATCAAGTAGCAAAATGTCGAGAAAAATATGAACAGGCCATTGCAGAGATTACCAAATATAATTCGGTATACATCGAGGATATGACGTCAGTGTTTGAAAAGTGTCAAGCCATGGAGCGAACACGATTAATCTTTTTTAAAGATGTCCTGTTTAACATTCATGGCTGCTTGGATCTAACCAAGGTGCAATGGTATGTCCTCTGAAATTTTTAATTTATAAAAAAAACTTATTAATTTTCCTACCTAACAGTCTGCCACAAATTTATGAAGAATTTTATCACACCATAAATAATGCAGATCAACAGAAAGACCTTAAATGGTGGTCAAACAATCATGGTGTTAATATGGCTATGAATTGGCCGGCATTTGTGGTATGTGCTTTTGGTTTCAGGACAATAACATTCCCATTTATTAAAAAACGAATGTCATTATATATTTTTTTACACAGGAATATACTGAAGAGTTTCGCGATATTGCAAAGGGTAGCAAGTCAAAGGAGGCACTTCCAGCAGCACCAATCACACTTATTAATCAGCGCCCAGTCTCTGAGGATCCACATGTATTTGTTTAGCTGAATTATACATAGGACATTTAATTTAAGTTTATATTGTTTTTCAGGAATATAATACGAACAGCTTAAAGAAAACATCAAGTTCGAACAAATCCAGTGGTAGAGCTGCACAAGATTCCGCATCTTCTCCTACAACCGCAACAGCATCAACGGTGATTGGAAAAAGCTCTAATTCAACATCAGCTTCAAACAATCGCAATTCAGGCGTAACGTAAGTTAGTCTATATGAATATATTATATATATAATAGTACATAATCGAGAAACATAAACATTTTATTTAATGTTCAAATTTTTCAGTAACGGTAATGGCAAACCCGAAGTTAATCCTTTCGAAGAGGAAGAGGAGTGGGATGAAGGTGACAATATTCTAGTTGATAACGGTGAAAAAGGTGTGCCAGTCAAGGCTTTATACGATTATGAAGGCGCAGAAGATGACGAATTAACATTTAAACAAGGTAAGGTTAAACATTTTTGTGAACTGCTGAAATGAATATATATACATTCATTTTCCACATTAAAGGTGATGTCTTTGAGAAACTTGAAGACGAAGACGAGCAAGGTTGGTGCAAAGGACGCATGAATGGACGCGTTGGACTTTACCCTGCAAATTACGTAGAGCCGCTACATACGTAAACAATATCAAGCATACATTTTTAACAATATAACAATATCAAATTTGAAATAAAAATCTATTAGTTACAGTTGATTGCCAACTAGGGAAATTTCTAGAAATGTGCATTTTGCTACATTGTTAAACTTCTGGCGAACACATATATAAAATTATATATAATATTATATAATATATACTTACATTTCTTCGCAATGTAAAAGGAACATGAAGCCCAAAAGAAATTAGTAAGCAATATTTAAAACACATCACCATTCGAACCATATTTTGTGATTGTAGTGTACTTGTTTATTTTTTTGTTGTTGTAGATTTTTCAGTGATTGTTTTAAACAATTCGAAATTATGAAAAAATAAGGTTGAATAAGATTTGTCAGCTTATTGATATTAGCAGTGAAAATTTGAAAAATGTGATTATAATCATTTATTTATTAGTCGTTATCAAGCTAAAAGCATTTCAAAGCTGGAAGGGCAAATTTATGATTACATCCGGAATTCCGCCTATTAAAAATCTATGCGAGCCTTAGAAAAAGGTATTATTTATAAACACTCCGCTCTCTCGTGGAGAATTTTTTTTTTTTGTATGCAATACAAAATATATATGTTACAAAATATTGAACAAAAACAAAGCTTAAAAGAGGGATTACATTATCACCCATTTCCATCAAAGGCGCAATAATAGTTTTTTTTTATCGCCAACCCTCCATTTGTTTCAACTACACAAGTAGACAAACACTAAACAATTATATTGAAATGTATGGAAGGTGTACATATCCCTACAATTTTAGTACCAGCAGTTATTAAGATATTTCGAAATTTCATGTAACGGTGTCAGGAACAGTTTCGGTTTCAAGTTGGACATTCTATACAAATTCACTATAGAAACTTTCGCTGCCGGTGTGAAAACGGCGCTGATATTTTGATTGCTATTGGTGCTGACCGTGAAATTTGATATCAGAACCAAAGCGAATTGCTTCCGTAGACATAATAATGAATATCACTGATACTATTTATAATAATTAGAAAAGTTATTAATTTTGAATTTAAAATTCGTTCCGTGTTTAGAAGAGAAAGTCCAATATGAGTGCATAGTTTGTGGATAAATGTAAGTCCAAATAGCAAATGTAGAATGCTAATAAAATGTAGTTATACTAATAATGATTCATATGATCATATAAATATTTTCTTTTATTCAGTGTTTCCTCACAAAGAGATCGTTAGAATGGATGATATATTTTATTATTTAATTTAATTTATACCATATTTTATTTAAATAAAAATCATGTTTTAATGTATGTATTATATTTTACATTGGTCTATCTTTGTAACATTTTACTCTTGTAATATGTATAACAAAATTTAGTTTTCTTGCTGCCGTAATTTTATTAAGGTTGACGTTAAAAATGAAAAAACACCACCTAAGAGCCAAACTTCAAGAAAAAAGAATATATTAAAATTAGTTAAAAGCATATACAATACTAAACAAACGACAGAATGTAACAAGTATTTATACATATAAAATTATATAATTTACAAAACATTTTCAAAGAAGAAAGGAAAAATAAAAGAAATTTGAATACATGATGAATGTAAGTTCTATGTATATAATTCAAAAATAATTAGGTAGAGGGTTTGAGAGCGTGTACTAGTATTATAGCTTGCGAGCCGAATGGAAGTTGCTGATATCATTCGTTTACGCGAATACGCATTGTGAGTATCGCCTAAACATGGTCGACAATCATGAGGCGCTGATATTAGAATTAAATGAAATAGTGAACTTGACAATTTGAAAGGCATTAACTTGCTAAAGCTAATAAAAATAATAGGCCTTTTTATCTTAGGTTTATATACCTTTTGAAATCATATATTTGAAAATATTTTCAGCTGAAAACCTCTGCAGCGCTTCGCACAACAGGTTGTATAAAAAGTATTATAATACACAAATTTTAAAGTAACGGAATGTCCGTCTGTTTCAATATTAAACATTGTCTACGCGAGGAGCGTAATTCCTTGCATAACTTTTGGCGCTGCGCTAATTGCTTCCTGTTATTTGGGTTTTTTTGCTTTCTAGCATATATGTATGAAAGATTTTGCATTTATGCATATATGCAAGAAGGCGATTCTCAAATGATCAGTGAAGTGATACGGCTAAGTGTTCATAGTTTGCAATGGAATTTACCTTCGTAAGGTCCAGATCAGATACATATTTATCTGATCTGTTTGCGTCTTCCCAGCCACGCTCCTTGAGTAAGCGATTGGCGTCTGCGCAGCGTCAGGCGCCTCCTATGGCATTTTTTTGCAACGAGCCTAGTGCTCGACTTGAATACATTTCACATTCTCCCCCACCCGTATAGACAAACATTATTTTTTATTTAATTTTATTATAAAAGGGGTGATTGTAACGCAAATACCATAAACACTTCTCTACTGGATGTTGATGCTGAAGAGCCCTTCTTTTTCGCCACCATATGTTTCTATCAATAATCTCCACCTCTCCTTGTAAGTTCATCGTCCACCGTGGTGTATAACATGGCACACATATATAATAATTGGCAATTTTACTAAGCGATTTAAATTGATGTGAGCGTAATTTCCACCATGTTATCGGGCATTGTTCCAAATCTAAAGTTGGTTCGCATTTATACCGGTCGAATTCCAAATCGATGCTTTGCTTCGGTTGCGATTGCTCTGAAGATGTGCTGTTGGAATTTTTGCGATTTGAAGAACTCGCAACATCGTTTATACGTTGGAAGAATGAGCGCAGGCCTGCCATACGAGAACATATAGAAGTATTCTAATATTAAATCCTCTACTTGTTACTTACCTGATTTTGGCACTGTTTGCTCATTTTGTTCAAGTCTTTTTTTAAAACTTGGCTCTAGTATACGATGTTGAAAACGGTGGCAAATAGCAGCTTTTATTTCCGAACGAACAATACTGCCGAAAGAGCCGCCTAGCTTTTGCTCTGGCATTGTGTGTATATCAGCTAGAATAAAGTCGTGTTGAAATCGCGCATCAAAAAACACCGCTTCAGAATAGTAAGAGCATTTAGCGATGCTAATTATGCAATGGAGGAAACCGTTTGTGAGTAAATATTTTTAAGTCAATTTCAAACAGATTACATGTTTAGCATACCTATCGTGTAATTCTGTGTTGATCACTTTTTGTGCTGCCTGTGTAAGTGCATTGCCGTCGGTATTAAAGATTAAAAAATGTTCATCGAATAGTTTCATAATCAATGGGCGTACAATAGTGCAAAGTGGTATCTGCTCCGAGTTGATCGTATCAAAAGCGATCTATTAAAAATAAAATATGACGATTTCAAACCAACGAAGCGAAAATAATAAAATAATGTTTTTTTAGATTACCTTAAGGGGATTAATGTATGACATGAATGGTTCCAGTTGAAATATAATTTCGTTGTAGCATTGCAGATCGCAGGCTAGGGGGCTATCCATGAATTCTTGAAGACATTTCAGTTTCGACCATGGACATTGTGTCTGCACTTCAGTTAAATTTAATTGCTGTTGGAATAAAAAAATTAGTAATAGTTTAAGATAAAGCTGTATAATTATGGAAGCAGGTTAAAGTAACGTATATTTGAAATTTGAGTTTTGAAAGAAAAACGCAAGCTGTATAATTATGGAAGAAGGTGGTTAAGTCGTCTGTTTGGAATTTGAGTTTTGAAAGAAAAACGCATTTTTCGTTAAACACAGACTTAACTTTACTTTTATGACTTATTTGAAAAGAATTGAAGATATACATACATATTTAGTATTTTTTGTAACAACCACAATCGAGGAGACATAAACAGCTCTATTTTAAATAAAACAAGAATTTCTTAGAGGAATACCTACCTTCCATAGGGGAGATAATTTTAGAAACCTGCCCTAAATATTCATTAAAATGTCTACCTCACTTAGTTTATATATCATATTGAAGATCTCCAAAAGTGTATCCTGGTTAAATATTATGCTGAGACATCGCGTTAGCATTGCGTCCAAACAAGAAATTACTGTAATACCTAAAAAGTCAGAAGAGCCGATTTAAAACATTTAGTTAGATCTTCAATATAACGTGTCCATATTTACTATTTGCTAGGGCAAAATCCTGAATTAATGAATTATTTTCATCGTTAGTTACAATAGCTGCACAGAGATTCAAATTAAACGCTTGCAGTGTATGCTGTAAATCTAGATTCTTGGTGCAAACAATTTCTTCTAATAATATGCTTTCCAACTTGCACTCAGTATTGGAAACGAAATTGACGTAAATACTCAATATGTTCTTGTCCTCATAATTTATAAAGTTTTCTATACTAAAAGAGTATGGTTTATTTGGACGTAATAAATTGATATCAATATATTTGTTAAGAGTGTATTTCATTTGTTTGTACTCTGTTAGTATTTTTCGTTCCACGGCATCGTTATTCACATTAGCAAAGCCAGTGGAACTGAGTAATTGTCTAAATCCAAGTCCATGCAACAAATTAATTGGCAGCAGATCGTTTATCAACATATTTGCAAGTAATTCCTTGTTGGAAGTTTCTTGATATATTTCATAATTTGACTTATCTACAACCCCAATGGCGCATGATGAAGAATCGCTGCAATAGTCGAACATTGATTTCTGAGTAATTTCACTCTCTGGTGCTACTGAATCGTTTTCTGACAGCTCATCCACTTCATTTTCAATATTCCCAACATTGAAGTTTTTATCGCAGTTGGGATTAGCATCTTGCGCATTTGGCAAATCATTGATAGTATCCGAACTGAGTAATTCATAAGTGCTAGCTTTTTGAGCAATATTTTTCTGCATACTGCCACCACCGTAGTTACGGATTTTTCTAGTCTGCAAATGCTTTGTTTTGGGAAGTGTATTTTGTTGTTCATAATCACATTCCAGCCTACAATTTCCGACAACAACGGAATCTACTCTACCTTGGTGTTGGGGATTGAATAATTCTATTTCATGAGACTCTCGAGGGATAGCGTTCAGTCGTGTGATTTGTGCGCTAATAGAATGTTTAATTGGAAATCGTTTAAGCGATTTGAATGCTTCGTCATCCTTTTCGTTTACATCATCAGCTAAAGCACCATCGCTTTCACCATTACAACCCGAGTTACTACTGACAGACAAATCTGTGCTCTTTTTGCGCTGACTATGATGGATTTCATGCAGTTTTTGCGGATGTCGAGCTATAAGATGTGTTCGTAAATTTGATGTATTTTTATTGTATGTGATAGCGGTACCACATATAGTGCATATAATCTTCTGCCGTGTTAATATTTTGTTAGCATTATTTGAAGGAAACCCGAAATATTTCCAATAAGGACTACGCATTGATGCAGGTACGACTGTGTGCGTATATTCGATTGTTTGTTTATCAACGCTTTTTTTATACATCACCTTTTTAAATTTTCTTTTCGTTCTGCGATTATTTCAAACTATGTATTTGTTTACATCAATAAAGAAGTGAATTTTCTTGAAGCTATCGGAAATCTTCGTAACATGAATTATGCTGGGTTAGCACGCGGCAACTATTGTTATTGGTTACTTATTTTCTGGACTGGTTTTTCACATTCATAAGAGCAACTTTGTTTAGCAACTGAGGCATCATTTGATTCTATTTCCACAAATTTGTGTACACTCCACCAATTAAAATTATATGTATCTAGCTACCAATACTCCATTTTATAACGTTAGATTAGCAAGGTTAAGATGTACATAAATGCTAAATATTTATATATATAAATAGGGAATCTTCAACTATTTCTTGATATTTCGGTTCACATCTTGCTGTTAATTGCGTGAAACGCTTTCACCCTCATAAATTAATAAAAAAAAACAATATGGATACAGTCTTTAATCCGCTCTTTAATACTTTCTGCATTTGTAATGCTCAACTAAGCAGATTCATCTAAAATTCCAAGCGGTTCAAACACAATTAATGCCAGTGAAAGTGGCGTCTAAGCTTATTCCTCCACTCTTGACTAAGCTACGGTGCGTAAGGACGCTATCTTGGTATGTGTAAGTTACAAATACCAAAGTTGTTCGCGCCAGCTGTCAATGCAAAGAGGATAAATAGCCAAGAAAAGATTTCTTCTCCCTTTAAAATGGACATTACAAATTGCCGTGAAAGGTACTATGCCTATTAAGAACTTAAATCTCCGTATCATTTTCTGTACATACATAACTATAATTATTTTCGAAATACACATATTAAGGCAAAGAAAATTAATTTAAAAACATTTTGTTATTTACATATGTAAATTTTTTAATCTTGATTGGCAGGGCAGTTGTGCACATGTTCGGGAAAATTACATACATAATTTTCATGATCATACCACTTACCCCGTTCACAGAAGAGCCTAACTGCACTTCCGCTAACGCATTGCCAAAAGAATCGGCAATGATTGCAATCGAGAAATCGAGTGCCATCTGGCTCAGAACTGCAATCGATATCGCAAGTACCCATACAAGGGGGACATTTTCCGATCTGACAGGATCGTGAGGCAGCATAGAAACGGTGACCATGTGGGCAGTACTGTTGTATAACCTCTTCGCCATGACAGATGAAATATCCAAAACAATCTGTCTCATCCGCAATTTTATAACCGTATGGTTTATCTTTGCATCGTTGTTCAGAAAGCCCATCCAAAGCATTGTAAAAGCCCCTCATGGTATCGTTTCTAAAACATTCGCATCCTTTGAAAGATGCTAAAGTTATAAGAAAGTATTCGAAAACTATTGGCAATGGAAAATTTATTAAACGAAATTATTGTAACTATTTAAATGCTTTACAACAATTCATTGTTCACCTTTCATTTTATTGGAATTTTCGTAACGGCTTTAATAATAATTTACGCAGCAAATCGGTCGAAGGATTGTGTACAACTAATGTAAAGACCATTTCATGATTCTTATATGAACTTATCATATTCATTTATCTGTGATTATCCACTATTTACTTAAATAAGTTGTTGACAGTTGATAGATATTATTATATCTTTCGTTGTTCTTTGTTTTGATGTGTGTTTATTATGAAATATATGCATATGTACATACGTATTTGTCTCATACTTGGATATGTACTTTTATTATTATGGCAACACCGCAACGGGTTGCTCTGTCAGTTTGTAAGCCGCACCATGAAGAACTTCAGAAGAATGTATAAGGAAGATCCTTCCGATAAATATGGAGAACCGTATAATGGAGTTTTCAGCTGTGATGCGCGTCTTGATATTTTGCTCTAAATGAAGATCCCACATTTACAGCTGTCTCCAGACGTGATGCCTTTTCATTGTAGAAATACCCCCGAAGTAGTTAAGCTTACGTGGCGAGGGAAGCCCCTATAAAATAGAAACAAAACTTATCTGAATGTTAGAATTTTGACCAGGATTTGAAGCTGGTACTATGAAGGTGGTACTATACCTCGCTATCTACTCAAGTACAACGACGACTATGAATAAAAACAGGGGTAATTTAAGAGAATTATATATCTCTTCGGTTTTATTAATGCATGTTACAACAAGTTATTACTTCGCAATTAATTTCTGAAAATTAATATTTAAATCGCGTACACAGATGGCGCTCCTGCGCCATTTGCAACTTTTTGACACAATATCGAAATTGTAATAAAATGGACACTGCTGCAGAATGGCATGCCCTTTGATACAGTAAATAAAATATTCGCAACGCGACATATGTGGAAATACATGTTGTCCATATATTGGACAATTAATCAGTTCGTCAGTACTCGATTGTCCCCCACTTTGGCTGCCTATTTCCGAAGTACCAACACCATTGCCACTATTTCCATTACCGTTAAATGTTTCAGATGAGCTAGCACTGGTATCACCGTTTTCCAATTGACAACCAGCTTTTTCGGGCAAATCGCATTTTGCGATATTCGCATTCCAGTGTAGATTGGCACTGCATTCCTGCAGAACTGCTTGTCCATAGTAGCACATGAAGTATTGCTGACAATTTATGCTGCTACCAACGAAAATTATACGATTTTGCTCGGTTGGTTGGGAAGCACAGTATTGGGAGACGTTTAGCAGTGCATTACCAACACTATTTCCATTATTATAACTGTTATTATTATTATTGTTGTCGTTATTACCATTATGGTTATTGTTATTATTATTGTTCGAAACGTTGGCCACTCCGGTAGTGCTAGCTTCGCAATTGACATTATCAGCGGTGTCGCAGAGCTTACTGACCGGATTGAAAAGCATTGTTGGAGGGCAGGGGGCTAAGACCGCCTGTCCGTTTTCCAAACACAAATAGAATGAACGGCAGTCATCTGGATTTCTATCAAATTCTCCGGCTGTGTGATTTAAACATACATTATTTTGGCGCTTCGCAACGGTCCGCAGGAATAAATTTGACGTGAGCGCGTTGGAAATATCCAACACTGCTGTTGCCCATGCTAAGCAAATGAAAGCGACTGGAATAATGGTAAAAGGGAAACTAAAATATGTAATTTTCATAACCGACAATTTGGTGTTCGCGCCATTTACCTCGGGAGAGCTTAATATCCATTGTAAAATTTACACTTTGACTCAAATATTTCAATGATTTCTTATACAAAATTTTCAATTAACTAACGAGATTTATTTGTAAAGCAGAACGCCATCAATATGTGTATTCATATTCGTTGCGTATAAACTTGATGTGATGTGATGTGCTTCACAATTTCCGTTTTTATTGCTAAAAGATAATATCATAGCTAATATCGAAACAAGTAAAAAAAAACAGCTTACGACATACCAATTTCCGTTCAATATTTAAATAGCGTACATTTATGCACTTACATACAAACATATATGTATGTACACCGTTGAATGATCTGACAGTAAAAAGTTTTAACTTTGCCGACCAAATTTATTATCCTGAGTAGCTGGTTATAAGCAAATGAAGCAATCGGTTAGGCTAGTAATTTTATATTTATACATAAGTTAAAAGCAATAAGTGGATTTATAAAGATATTCTTTCGGTAAGGACATAGGAGTGCAGAAATATTCAATCATAACTCCAAGAGAAGACAACAAATTGCCGGGCCCTATAACGTTTGAGGAAGACCTACGTCCGACCTCCCTCGTTTGTTGTCAACTCCGGCGAGAGAATCGAGATTACAAGGGCTGTTGTCTTCAAGAATTCACCATATTTGAGTCTTTATTATAAGTATAATAAATACCGATTATGCTGATTATCATTAATATATATTTAGGCATGTACATAGAAAATCTACTCAGTTCCTTTTTACGTTGTAGCATTTAGCTTGTTGTAGTACCGTACACGTGCGTCTTTCATAGTCCCAGCCGTAATTAAAGGGGCATTGCTGCAGCAAGAGATATCCCTTTCGACAGTTGTAGAAATAGTTACAATTAGTTTTATGCGGAAACAAGTCGACAGTATGCTGCTGGCAGAGCTCTCTAGGATTGGTAAAGTCAGACTGAAAAATTAATGTGAAAAACTGAGTTTGTTTTTAATCCTTTTTGTGGGTGTAAAACACGGTTGTGCTTATGAACACACTCACACATGCAAATGCTTTCTCATAACATCTTTAATAAATATATACTTACGCGACATCGAACATTTTCCGGGTAGTCGCACTTCCCAGAGTTAGAGTTGAAATGTAGCATAGGAGAACAGTGCATTGCCAGTCTTTCGCCACGATAGCAAATGAAATAATCGGAACAATACTTTGTATGTGGTATGAAAATCATCTGTTTAGGGTTATCCGTTTGTGGGCAATCAGTGGATATTAGTATGAGCGTATCACCGGGCGAAACAGCTGGCGCCATTGTGCTCGTAGAGGTTGTATTGTCATGGAGTGTTTGAGTGTTATGTGTCATAGGCACAGTTGGTATGAATAAATTTGTAATGGGCATATCTCTAGTTACTACCGACGTTGGAGTTATCAATGTACTCGATGTTGTAGTTGTTGGAGCTGGTGTCGTGGTAGTCGTTGAGTTGGTGCTGAAGCTATCGGAGTTATCAGGTTTACAATTGACAAGATGCTTTGGATCACATGTTTGTAACAGTTCATTAAAGTAATCGTCTTCGGGGCATTCCCCTTCATAGGATTCAGCACCAGCGCAGTATATGTAATGATTACAAGAAGTATTGCTGGCTATGAACGCGTGACTTGGTTTATCATTGCACGCTTCGTAGATGTCACTTTGAACATAGCGGATGAAATTAAAAATAAGGAGTACAAAAATCTTAGGAAAGCAGTAGTAACACATTCTTGTTAAGTTTGTATGTATGTATGCACGTATAAATTTTTAAAGTATTATCATCTATTTGAATTCGCTTGACTATTTTCTATGTTCTTTAAATGATGCTTTAGCGGTAACTAAAAATCACAAACCATCTTTGGTAGATGCAGGCCGAATGAGTTTGTACAATTCTGATGATCGAATGGATATTAATAATTGGAATGTCTCAAAGTTTACAAAAATTCGGTGGAAAAATTATCATCAATAACATTCATACGTATATATACGTAATAAATTTCTGCGTGAAATGCTACCCAATAAAGTTAATGACTTGAGAATATTTTAATCTTAAAAAAGAATATGACTACAGCTATGGAAGATAGCATGATTATGATGATGATTCATTTGCCGAACAAGCAAACACTAGATGGCTAAATGAAATCACATGTAATATGATCAGACAGTTATGGCGACAATGGGATGCGAAAAGATCAAGACGTCTTATACTTCTAGACCGATTCTCCATTACCATAAAAAGAACAATCGATCCCTCCAATGATTTTCACCGCAGCGACAGGGGCGCAGAAGAGCGAAGTAACACTCCGTTACTGTTGTTGAGAGCCGGACCCCCATAAATTGCGAAAATAAAAGAGGCTAGTTGTCTAACAATTCTATAGTCGATGGTTAGCTATTTTTGCGGGATATATGACTTAGGACATTGATGGTTAGATGATAGTTGACACTTGACTTAGATCAACACCTTTTCATTATCAAGTTTCGGATCTTGTTTTAAAGAATGTGTATGTATGTGTATAAGCACATATGTATATATGCATGTGCATGTTATTTGTTAATTAATTGAAAAGTAGTCTTCAGCTATTTGTCATTGACACTTCAAACTCTCGTTCGTAATGTTAATCATACATATGTGTACACATATGTACACGTATATACATCGGTACGCATGCGAAAATTGTTAATTGCATTCGAAAGAACTTCCGTTAGCGATAGTGAAACTTCAAGTACGTAATTTACGGATCGGTCTGTATTTAGAAGAGTATATTACTTCATATACAATATTATTTTATTTACATTCCACAACCTGTGATATCGCAACTATGTCAATATACAAATACCAATGTGAGAGAGCGTGTGTTTGTATGCACATGTACTCGTATATATGTACATATGGACATATATTCCCATCATGCAAAACATGAGACATAGGCAACAATAGTCAATGGCAACAAATAGGCAACTCGCCGATGTATTGCTGCAATGACAAAGCGACAACATTTGCTTCTCATTCATATTCGTATACTGAGTTGTCAATTTGTTGCCTGGATAATGAGTCGGTAATATTATATTTGTTTCGTTTAAACGGCACATATTTTTCAGGCAATAAGAAAACTACTGTGCTAGAGGAGTTGTCTTGGGCGGACATGTATATACGGAGAGACTGTATTTCAATTTGAAAAATCTAGCTCGCATATTTATGTATGTGCGTAACGTTAACGTACGTCTGCACTTGATAAGTTTAACATGACCAACACTAAATTAAAAATAGATGCCTTCTGTGTAGTACATACGTGTACGAGTATGTGAAGCGCATGTAACCCAATGTTGTTCGCACATATTCACTTCCCACGCAATTTTAAAATAAAATGCAATTTATTAAAAATATACACTGGAGCTAATCGAATTTAATAAAATTGTATTTCATTTAACAAATTCATCAATTATAAACCTGTAAATACAGAGCGATGTACATACATATATGTATATTAAACACATATGTATGCACATACTATTGTATAATAATCGATAGCTATCGATTTATGTTCTTTTTGTCAAATCATAATTTTTATTATGTTCGTTTTGAACCTTCAACACATTTTGCCTGCCCAAGAAACACGCAAGATCGTCGTTCAATGTCCCATCCGTAGTAGAAAGGGCACTGTTGTACTGTCAGGAAACCCTTGATACAATAGTAGAAATAATTACACTTCTCTGGATGGGGGAAAAAGTCGGTGACATGTGGTAGACATTTATTTGCATTTGGTCGGTCGATCTGTGAAAATAAAGTAAATTAAAAATTAAATTTGATTTACATGTACAAGGAAAAGGAGAAAGATATAGATAGAGGAAATGAAAGAAAGGACAAAATTTTTAGTTAACTATCAAATTATCCAGGAAAGAAATGTCAAAATTATCCACTCTCGGTGCAAATTTATCTGGCTTTTTGCCTCACTGAACGCGGTTCAGTAAAAATTGATAACAGCAGTATTAAGTTATCATTAACAATTCATGCAACTTAAGATCAAACCTAGACTTTCGGTAATTTCCAAATCGCAAACGTTTTTTCCAGACTTACTTTATAAGCCAAGAACTCAATTCGCATTCCACTTTTATCTCAGTTTGTTCTCAAAAGAGTTTTTCCGAGATTCAAAAGACCTATTTTCCGATATTTGTCATTTAATTAATATAAATTCTTAAAAAAACAAGCGTATGTATGTGTAATATGTGCATACGTGGTTGTTGTCTACTGAAAGCACTTACCATACAATGTACATTTTCGGGGAAATCACACTTTGCTGTTTGTATATTGAAATGCAAATTGTCTGTGCAACGCATCTCAATTGGATACCCGTGATAACAAAGATAATACATCGTGCAAGACTGTGTATTTGCCAAAAGCACTATTTCATTGAGATCATCGGTTGAAGGACATTGTTCCCTAACCACAGGCGCAATGGCCATCGGTTCTAAAGTGCTCGTACTGGAACCAGTATTGGTTGTGGCTGTTTGTGGGGTTAACGTTGTCATCACTGTTGTTGTGGTTGTTGAAGTTGATGTAACGGATGGTTCGTCCGGTTCCTCAGGCTCCTCCGGATCTGTCTCACTCTCGTCATCTAGTGGGCAATATACATTTTCTGCAGCGTCACATGCATCGCCATCAAAATATTGACCTTCATCGCATTCGCCCGAATATGAATCATCGCCATTACAGTAAATGTACATTTGACAACTTTCTAAGCTGCTTACAAACGTGTCATCCGGTGCATTTTCACATTCTTCGAAGGTATCAGCCCGTGTCGCACTTACTAATAATACTAGGAAAATTATGCTTATGGACATAATTTCGCACCTCATTTTATCTTCTATTTCTACTTTCGTCATGAATTGAATTTTACGGAGACTATTTCAATGTTCAAAGGGCTCTCAAGCATATGCTCGTATCTGTTACCTCTATTAATTGTTATTAAAAAAAAAATAAATAAATTGACTGAGTTGTCCGAAAGCAATCAAATATTTAGCACATTTTCATTTTCTTCGCGAATCGTTTGACGAAATTTTATTACTGAATAGATAAATAAGTTCAGCATTAATTATATGGTCGCAGTCAACGAAATTTTTGAATATATTTTTGTGTACAATAAATGATCTTTGATAAAATCTATTTTCCTCTTGTTATCTATTTTTCATCTTACTTATCATTACTGCTGATGATATACGAGTACCATTCAATATTTTATACAGGGGCGCACACATTTCGAGATCGGGAGGCTATTTAGGACGAAATACCAAAAAATGCATGCGCAAAGGTCCTGCAGCGGAACATTCGAAGAAATTTGAAAGTTTATAAAGATATAACTGGTGCGTTGATATATTTAGGCAATAATGGCTTGTTGTAAAGGAAAGTGGAAATCAGGGGTCTCAAAAGTAAAAATCGCAGTATAGTAAGGAGAGAATAGTGCATACATTAAAAAGTAATTATTTTTATTAAATTTACTATAGAAGTTTTTGAAATGCAAATTGTGCTCTGAAATTGCGACCATTGTTGTAAGTCCGTTTTTGGAAAACAATGAGTCCCTGATATATTGAAATTTCTTACCAAAAGCGCTCAGATTGACACAAAAGAGAAAAACAATAAAATTCGCATTAGATTTGAGATTATATTTCACCTTTATTACAATAATTAAATTATTATTATAAAGCCCACCATATTAATCTTGTTTCGTTCTATTATAAAAAAATCTGCATACAATCGAATACATTTAATCAATTTTATAATATTACCTGAATATTTGCAACTTTCAATATGCGTAACTCCTGTAACAATCAGTCTCGATTCGCAGGGCATGAAACATTTTCTGGGTAGTTGCACACATTCAATTTTATATCGAACCAAAGTGGCGAAGGACAATGCATAATAATTGCCTGGCCATAGCTGCAAACATAATAGCGACTGCAATGATCCGGATCTGGCAAAAAAGTACCTGTCGGCAAGGTGGTACACGATTTTTCAACTGGCACTGTTGTCGTCTTGGCTGTTGTTGAAGTGGTCGTTAATGTAGTGATTTCCGTTGTGGTAGATTCGGTTGTACTCCTTGTCAGTTCAGTTGTTGACGAGGATTTTTCGCTGCTGGTCGAAGCAGTGGTTTCATCAGAAATTATTTTTGTTGTATCAGTAGATGTTGTAGGTTTGATTTCTGTTGAAGTTGTATCGCTAGGCATTGGACTTGAAGTTGCTGAAGTCTCCGTGCTGGTTGGTAGTGGAGTAGTAATCTCTGTACCATCGGACGCTCGATTTGTAGTTTCAGACGGTATGGTCGACGCTTCACTCGAAAGCTCTGTTGATATGGAGGAACTGTCGACATTAGTGGATGAAAACGTGCTGAGATCGGATACTGCATTTGTTGTCTCAATTGACGTAATTGATGTAGTTTTAATAGAGGAAACATTTTCGTCAATAGACGTATCACTATTATTTGGTGGTGTTTCTGTAACCTCATGTGCTGGGTTTGAAGTTGTCGAAATTTCTTGACTAGTAACCTCTACCGATGTTGTTGTGACATCTACTTCATCTGTTAGATCAGTAGTTTCATCGGATCGGTTTGCTGTTTCAGTAGAAGTATTCATTTCATTTGCAGTGGTATCCGTCGAGGACTGCTTGGGAAACTCAGTAGTGATATCACCCAAAGTTGAGTCATCCCCTGACTCGTTGGTAGTGTCATGGAACTCTGTACTATGTGTCGCATTAGAAGTGGTTAAGTCACTTTCTGTACTGCCACATTCATTCCTAGGTGTAGAAGAATATGTAGGTGTTGTAATTGCAGTTGTTGTTACTGTATTTTCACAATTGCAAGGAGGACAGCGCCCTGTTATACAGCAACCCAAAGTTGTGCTATACTTGGCACCCGGTGGACAGTACTGCTGCACATATTCATCGTTGTATAGTCCAAAATAACCAACACAATCTTCCGGATCTGGTTTAGTCGGCATCGGCAAATTATACAGGCAAGGATTTGCTAGAGGCTGTTGTGAAACTGCTTCTGCAATAGCAGTAGCGCCTATTACAAGCAACAATTCAAGAATCATGCTGACAGTTGATGTGAGTACGCGAAAAATCGCGATCGGCAAGTATTTTTAATACAATTGTATATTAGTTTACGGTGATCAATTTCCCTCGTATACTAGACATGAATGTTCCTAAGATTGTATTTATAGTCAGTGTTGGCTAAAAAGCTTCATCGGAGCTTTTATCGAGCTATAAAAATATATTAAATTCGATTTAATCAAAAACAATTTAGATAACATCGCGACACTTCATCCTTTAATATTGTATATACTAATGTACTATTGTTAGCGAGTTTCATATATAAGTATGTACGAGTATATTCCATAATGAAAAATGAAATATAAGCTCAAATTCCCACTCAAATGAGCTCTAAGTCTGATGCGATATTCAGCAACATGCATACACATATTACTACCACGATTATATACTGCCAAAAGTCAAAATTTCCATTGGCTGCTACAAGAATCTGCAAAACTCTGTCGAATTAAGCGCTTTCTACCGCGCTTCTACCATTTATCAGCAACTCTGTTCTCCACTTAAACAATGTAGTCACACACGATTTTTGTTTTAAGTTTAGAAAGTCACCCCGAGTGGATTCTTTCACTGGTTTTATAGCATTCCGCGGTCAGGATGCTATACATAAAGTCCTTCCTATCACATCACAATTTCTATAGCCGTGGTTTATATAGAAACGTTAAATCCTTCTCGGAGCTAACCGCTTTATCATTACCGATCTTTTTCTAAGAAGTACGTGCAGTTCTCTTGGCTCCTATTGGCTTTCTATAATAAGGTTTCTCCTGAAAAATACCTTTTTCTGTGTTTCCCGTTCGGTGCATCGATATTCCATAGGAAGCAACGGTTGTAAAAATATAAATCTTTCAGATACTAGTGAACAACCATTTCTTCTATGCCCTTCTAAGATATCGTTATTAGCATGTGCAGGGTTCAACTAAGAAATAGGAAGGTTTCTTGAATTGTATATTACGGAGACTTAGTTTCAAGGCAAGGCATAGTTTCTTACTAATTTCGTATATATGGGTTGAGTTGAGTTGATGTTTGGAAGAAGTTCCTTGTGAGAAAGAATGATTATTTTTTAAACGACAGAGCCGATGGAGCGATATACAATGAGATATAGATTAGATTGATGGAGAGTTATAGATAGGTCTCTCTTAATCGAGACTCATATCGAACGCAAAATCTCACACGGTTGTAGCCAGAATACAAGAACAAAAACCTATGTAAGATTTTTTTTTTTATTCATCATCAATAATGCATCATATGATACTTTGGATTCCTTACAGTCTACATAAGGAACCGCGACTCTTTTACATCACATAAGCAAGCCGCCCGCATCGTATTCGTACACAGTGTATTATTGAGTTCTTAACAATTAAGAAATTGTACAAGTTTTGAGAACTTTTATTTAACAGTTCAGTGATCGAACTCGAAGAATTTGGGAAATCATCGAGGTTAATTTAACAAACTCGTTACAATATTTTGGAAAATAGGGAAAGTTTAGAAAGTCCAGGTGAGAGTACTACACAAATACTTATTATTAAATATTAATATACGTTCCTTGACAATGGTCAACAGTGACGTAGGAGCCGAGTCGCGAATGCGATGACTATTTATTTGATGACTGGAGATATTTCGCCTTGGTCTCATTCACTATCAGACCCATTTGCTGCGGTTATTTATCGAGTCTGCAGAAAGCAGAACTAACGGCGTTTGTTAAATTGTGTTCTTTATTTGTTTTCAAGATGGATGACACTTTTTCAAAGACCAAACATATTTTTACTTGGTTTTTTAACTACCTATGTTGAAATAAGTGGAGTTCTAGAAAGAAGAAGAAAAGCCAATTGTCAGACGAGTGGTGAATTATCTTAATTAACTAAATCCGACAAAGTAGTGGCAGCCCTAATGAGGTGTAGTAGGTTAAAATATATTTTCCAATAATTTCAACATACTACGAATATTTCCGAATGTAATCAAGATCCGAAGTTATTGGAGAATAATTTCACAGACAGTGTTTTTCTGATTAAAAATTGTATTAATACCTTTTTCGTACTAATAAATATTCAAAAGTAGCGAAATTTGCTAAATAATGGGGAAAAAAAATAGTAAGTACAAATTGACATCTATCAGAAATTATCTGCTGGTATAGCAATACATTTTAATATGTATGAAAATGTAAGTACATCACAAATTCTATTCGTGCTTTCCAGAAAATAAAAAGACTGGCCAAACTGGTGATGAGCCACAAGGGCATCAAGAACAGAGCCGGCCTCAACAGCAGCCACTTAATCAACAATGTCCTTTGAATCCTCAACGTGAAGGTGAGTGGGAATTGAAAAGTTACAGTGTACATATGCAAGTAAAAATTGTGAAATCTACTCTTTGAAGGGGATTCACCAAATTATATAAATAGTTGTAGTAGTGTATGTATATATAAAAATATGTTTATCGCAAAAATGATTCATTTAACACACGTATACGACTTTAAAGTAGCAATATATTCACTTTCTAGCAACCGAGTGTTAGGACATAATGATTCCTGGCTAGACCAAATTACTTTATAAACTCACATCAGTCGTTTCCAGAATTACGGTGTTTTATTTAACCAATCATTATTTTTGGTAATAATTCCAAATTACTTCCACCTAAATGTTTTTACATACCATTAAATCATTATCCCATTTAAATGCCAATATTACCTATAAAATATAAATACATAAAATAAGAACTGTAAGTAAAAAAATAACTTATAGAAAATATGCCGCAACAACAGCAACAACCTAAAGAGCCGCAACCTCCACAACAAAAGCAACAGAAACAAAGGCCACAACCGACGCAGCAACAACAACAAACGCCACAACAGCAGCAACAACAACAATTACCGCAACAGCAGCAGCAACAACAACAAAGACCACAACATCAACCATCTCAACAACAACAACAAAGGGCACAACAGCATCAACAGCAACAAAAACCACAAGGACCGCAACAGCAGCAACAACCTAAAGGGCCGCAACCTCCACAACAAAAGCAACAGAAACAAAGGCCTCAACAGCAGCAGCAACAACAACAACAACAAAGTGCACAACAGCAGCAGCAACAGCAACAAAAACCGCAACAACAGCAACAAGAACCGCAACTGCAGCAACAAGAACAAAGACCACAAAAGCGGCAACAACACCAAAGACCCCAAAAGCAGCAACAACAGCAAAAGCAACAGCAACCATCTCAACAACAACAGCAAAAGCAACAGCAGCCATCTCAACAACAACAACAATGGCGGCAGCAACAGTACCAACATCCCCAACAACAGCAGCATCAATGGTCGCAGCAGCAGCCACCGCAACAACAACAGCAGCAGCTCCCACAGCAGCATCCGTGGTCGCACCAGCAGCATCCCCCACAGCAGCAGCAGCAATGGTCCCAGCAACAGCAGCATCCCCCACAGCAGCAGCAGCAATGGTCCCAGCAACAGCAGCATCCCCCACAGCAGCAGCAGAAATGGTCCCAGCAACAGCAGCATCCCCCACAGCAGCAGCAGCGCCCACAGCAACAGCAGCATCAGCAGAGAGAACAGCAGTGGCCGCATCGTCAACAACAGCACGAGATTGGTAAGTAAATAAGGAGTCCATGGACTTGAGCTAGATCTTGTGTTTGCCACTTCAAATATAAAAAAAACTGATATACATAATTTTTTCCAATGAAGCTCGTAGTCAAAGCGGCTCACAACAATCTATTTCATCGGGTGCTTCCACACCACAATCTTCTGGCGCAATACCCAAGCAATCACAGCCTTCATCTCGTGCATCAAGTTCAGTTTCTGATACGCCGTCACCACATGTTACTCCACGTCAGGAAAGCATTCCCAAATCCTTATCTAAAGCCTCTGTTTTTTCAGTTGTAACTCAAAAGAGCATACCACCCGGCACGCTTGGTATAAAAGGAGAAGCAGAAGCTAACTATTTAACGTTGGATTTGCGTAATATGCCTGATGTGGTGTACCATTACGATGTTACCATAACACCTGATCGCCCTAAAAAGTTCTACCGTGATGCTTTTAATAAATTTATGGAAGATTATTTGAAAGGACATTGTGCCGCATACGATGGTTCGAAAAATTGTTACTTGTTAAAACTTTTACCCCAACCAGTTTACGAAGGAGATGTGCAGGTAATATATGTTATCGCAAAACATTCACGCGTTCATTAATACTCTAGTGTTATTCAATGTTTTGGCATTGATTTATATTAAGGAGAGCATGCTTCGATTCACGAATTTAGATACGTGGCAACATTTTTTAAATTCGTGTTTTGCAGTAATCGTGAAAAATAACTCATACACATCTATGTCTTTAATAATACTTTGGAATAGGTTACTGATGCCCATGGAAAGTCAATGAAGTTCAACATTTCTATTAAAGCTACTGAAAACCCCGCGGTTGAGTTGAAATCATTAAAAACGTAAGTATAAAAATTAGCTTTTTATCAATAATACCTTATGGGAAAACTAAAAACTAGAAATATACTCGGATCAATACAACGAATAAATATTCTTTGCGATAAATTTAGGTATCATAATGAGCGTGTTTTTGATAAACCAATGCGTGCATTGCAATGTGTTGAGGTGGTTTTAGCAAATGCTTGTCACCAAAAAGGAGTACGTGCTGGCCGTTCTTTTTACACAAAGCCGAGAGAGGGTTACACAGATCTTGGTGATGGGTTCGAGTTGTATGTTGGACTTTATCAAGCAGCCATTTTAGGCGAACAGCCATATGTAAACGTTGATATATCACACAAGTCATTTCCGTCAGAGGTCACCTTGACTGATTTTTTAACGAAACAGTTGTCCGCTAATTTGGAAAGAAATTTGGAGACTAGAACTTTATATAATTTTTGTTCTCATATGAAAGGATTGAAAGTTATTTATAATCCCCCGGCGAAATTCGGCCAGGCACCGCGTTCCTATAAAGTAAATGAAATTAGCAGAGAAGGTGCAGCCAAATTGTCATTTACCAATAATGACGGAGAGAAAATGACCGTTCAACAATACTTCGCCAGCCGAGGTTATAATTTGAGGTACCCTTTTTTAAATTGTGTGGTATCGGGATCAGCAGTAAGACCAAATTATCTACCAATCGAGCTATGCAGTATCGAGCCAGGACAAGCAATTAAGGTAAGAGTATATTTCAAAAATGTTTCGAATTTTTAACACATTTATGAAAGTTTTCAAACCTTTGCAACAATATATGTAAATATGTTACTCGTTATATTATACTCGTTTTAAGAGAAAAGATGGAGTCAAACAAGTACAAAGAATGATTAAATATGCCGCCACATCAACAGGGGAGCGCAAATTCAAAATCATGGATTTGCTTTATAAATTTGACCACAACAAAGACCCATTGGTAAGAGCTTTTGGACTAGCAGTCGGTAGAGAATTTATAAAAGTGCCGACGCGATTACTTTCACCGCCAGCTATTGAATATCGGTCTAACAAATGCGTTAAACCGCAAGCAGGATCTTGGCGTGGTTTCAATTTTTTGAAAACTGGAGCTTCTCCAGCAAAGACTGGCTATAAATGGGCCATTATATATACCCAATCATATATCCTAAAGTTTTCCTTATTGCAAGAATTTTCAAGTAAGGTAAGCTCTTTCCTAAAAATTGAAATAATGCTAGTAACAATTAATAATATAATAAATATCTCTACTTCTAAAATCCTTAATTTTTTCTCTGCAGTTATATAATAGCGCTGCACGAATGGGTATAAACCTAAGTGCCGAAAGACAAGTAGAGGAAACTAAAAACATCATCGCTACTCTAGAACAATACAAAAGAGAAAATTACGACTTAGTGGTTGTAGTGATTCCCGGCCGCGGTACTACATATGCTGATATCAAACAAAAGGCCGAACTAGTTTGTGGACTACTTACTCAGTGTATCAAGGAGCAAACTTTAAGTCGGGGAATTAGAGAACAATTGCTTTCAAATTTGCTATTAAAAGTAAATTCAAAGTTGAATGGGACCAACCACAAGATTTCATCCGCAACACACATTGTGCTTGATCACCCAATGTTTATGGGCGCTGATGTCACTCATCCATCACCTGATCAACGTCATATACCAAGTGTTGTAGGTGTGGCTGCTTCTCATGATTTAGACGGTGCTTCTTATAACATGCAATACCGTTTGCAACAGTCCACAAAAGAAGAGATTGATGACATGCAAAGCATTTCTCGCCACCATCTGAAGGTATATTTCCAGAGACAAAAGTGTTACCCCAATCATATTATCTATTACCGTGATGGAGTATCAGATGGCCAATTTCAAAAAGTCGAGCAATTCGAACTTGGCGCCATACGTGCTGTTTGCAAAGAAGTAAGAGTTATAACCACAAATAAATTTTATTTTTAAGAATGACAGAATTTTTACATGACATTTTTATAATATGTTTCCTGCTAATGTTACAGTTACGTTTTTCACCGAAAATAACTTGCATAATAGTTGTCAAACGCCATCACACACGCTTCTTTCCAATTATTAAAACTACGGATTCTTTCAATAATGTATTACCTGGTACAGTTGTGGATCAAAAAATAGTACACCCGAACGAAACGCAATTCTTCATGGTCAGTCACCAGTCTATTCAAGGCACGGCAAAACCCACTCGTTACAATGTAATTGTGGACGATGCAAAATTTACCATGGATCAATTGCAACAGATGACAAACAATTTGTGTTATATGTTTCCCCGTTGTAACCGTGCTGTTTCTTACCCAGCCCCAGCTTATCTGGCTCATTTAGTGGCAGCACGCGGTCGCGTTTATATCGAAGGGTAATTATATGCAGCTGCCTTTTTGCCATCATACCTGATAACATACATTACCTTTTCAGACCACCATTAAAACGTTCACTTCCGGAAGAATACAAGAGACGTTTAATTAATGAGAATTTTATGAATAATACACCAATGTTCTTTGTTTAATTATTACCACATACTCAATTAATCATAAACCTAAATAACTAAAAAATTTAGGTAAAATTAAAATATTAATCAAATAATCGGAAACTCAATTTAATTTCTTTTTTTATTAATACCCTTATCCTACATTATAACCAAGCAACTGAAATAAATTTACCGTGCACGCTTCATTCATGTGTTTGATTTAATTGAAAATTAATGATAGTCACTTTAAGCAAAATATAAAGTAGAAAATATATTTTTTGTTCCTTTCAAGAACATAAAATCGAATTAGAACACTATATAATATGATTCCATTTAATCTAGGTTATGGTAACTATCCGCTGATAACTCAAGATACGACAAACCAATGCGATGATTGAATATCGCCCTTTTGGTCCTTTTGAATTGTCATATGTTTCGCATAATTTAAAAACAAATATTCCCGGCAGTGACTATATACTCTAATTGAATTATAGAGGAATTTCCAGGTTTCACCATATATATTCAAAATTTTTTCAATTTACGAAAATACAAAATTCTAAACTATATATGTATAGTAATAGTATTGTTAGCAGTAACGATATATGTTCATATGTCTACAATCTACGCACTATCCACTTTCTTGTTTTCAGCGTTGCCCTTTCCTTCCTCTGAAGTACGAGGCGGGGGACGAAATTTTCGATGAACTTCGTCATTGATACCCTCTCGGTTTCGTGCAATTTCAATGGCTAAAAACTGTATTCGTACGACAAGTAACGAATTATCTGGTGAAAACTCTCTAGAAGCGTCAGCACGTATTAATGTTCCATAAGAATAATCTTCCAACTTATTGAATTTTTCAGCGAATAGGCGCCAAAGTATTTTCGCATCCTCTGACTTGAGCATGTCATCGGTTAGAAATTCTATATTCAGATCTGGGAAATCGTCTCGGAAAGTTTCATATATTTGATCATCATATGGCGTCAGATGCAAGCAGGAAGGATGTACGCTGGTGAGAAGCTTTTATGAAATAGAAACACGTTTTTTAGCGAATTAATTACAACGTTAATTATGAAAAATTTAATTTTATATTAGTAAAAGTAACAAACAATTTTCTTACATTGAAGTACACTTCAGCATGGTCCATCGCTTTTAATGCCCACATTTCCTCAACTAGTTCATCATTACCAAATTCTTCTGCCGGCCGCGACAACAGCGATGCACCTTGCTAACGAATTATAATACACTTGAAATTTAGTTATTTCTAACTGCAGATCAACTACTTACCATCATCTCCATATTCAATTATATTTCTAGTTAGTTTTGTATCCGTAAATCTTTCTTATTTAACGTGAGCAGAGAATGTCGTGAATATTTAGAGACGATAAGTTTTTCTGCCAATATCGATATTTATCGGAATATACGGAAGTCGATACAAATAGCTCTGAACGATAAGTATAAGGCAGTGCCCATTTTGTTCCACTTACGGGATTGCTAAGAGACTATTTCACCTCTTTACGATATTAGTAAGAGACTATTTCACCGCTAGTTAACAACGAACTAACAGGGACAGAAGAATTATATTTTTTTGATTTATTGTTATCTTGCTCAGAAATGTTGACAGAGTAAATTTCTGGCGGTAGTGGTCCCTTATTTCCATCGTCGGACCTTCTCGTTATTTGACGTTCTCTGGTATCATGTTATCTTTGATTTTTACTGCGCATCAACTCACCGCCCTACATGTGAAGATTCTCCGCACCACACTAACCAACTCTTCACATGCTCCCTTAAACCGACTCATCTAACCTCCCTCTCCCTTTGGTTCAATCCCGTCGAAACAGCACGTTTCCCGGACCTCCCACTAGATAACTTCGGCGACTTAAATTGATTAAACCTGTACCTAAGCGGTACAACCGCTAAAAAACAATCGAGCAGAACTAAGCTCTAGACAGGCGGTTTCCCACAGTCAAGCAATCTCGCATCTATCAGATAAACTACTCCACCGCAAAGAACTTGAAATGAAATTTACATTATTTTTCTAATTTATACTTGAATAAAACGACTCGCTTTATTTAGGACAGTTGGGTCTACATATTTATACTATGTTGATTTTCATCGACCGAGGATATTATTTTTTCTAATCTTTTGATATCAGCAAGAAGTCAAGCAGAGCGGAATGTCTATTACATCGTATGCCTTTGCACCTAACTTACTGAAAAGGTCACACTGGTACAGATTGAAGATTATAACTTAAATGGGATTCTTTAATTGTGGTTATATACGACTTGCGTTAGGATATACATCCGACAAATGAATTTAAGGAACAGTTCCACCTTCACAACTAGTACAAAGTAGGTAATTCTAATTGCTTTGTAACATTTAATGATTAATGCTTCATTCTGCTTTTCACTCTAAAAACTTCAACATTCAAAAAGATATAAACAAATATTATCTCAATTTTAAAAGGAAAGGTTTTATTCTAAGGTTTGTTATTTATAAAACTTTTACTGCAATCTATGCGGTTTCCATTGGTTGCGCAGCGGTTTCCTCAGTGTATTTACCCTTGTCCTTGCCCAATGCAGCCATACGTCCCTTGCCACGGCGATCCAATATTGCTTTGCGATCTTTGTCCAATTTTAACTTGACGATCAAACAATTCGAAGGATGAATGCCAACATAAACGTTGGTGCCGTTTGCGTTTTCACGTTGAATTTTTTCAACGTAGACAACAAATTTTTTACGATACGATTGTACCACTTTGCCTACTTGATTACCCTTGAAGTGTCCACGCACTACTTGAACCTCATCATCCTTACGAATGGGCATCGAGCGGACGTTGTACTTTTGACGCAACTCCTTTGAAAGTGGGGAGGACATTAGGCGACGGCGTATATGTGATGGGGCCTGGAAGTGACGCTTACGATTCTTCCTGCGAGAAGATGAAACGAATTTGTTTTGTTTCATGGCTGCGTACGCTGTTGTTTACTGTAAAATGAAAAGAAAGCTGTTATTTTAACCTGAGTTGAATAATAGAAAAAACAAATAAAAAGAAAACATCAGTTAATAATTTGAAATGTTATGCTGAATACATTTCCAATTGTTATTTGCTTGGCACAATGTACATAAATAAATTTTCTGCAATAGTTACAGACATCCCCCAACTTGCGTTATGAAATAATAAGAAAATCACAGAATTTGTAAATCAACGCAATAATTTGAATTATTTTCTTTTCGTATATTCCATTTTTTGGGACGATGGAATTAGATAAAAATAAAATTTACAGAGCAAAACTTACACCGAACTAATCACGTAAAAACAACAAAAAGAAGGAATTTGACAGTCCAATTGTCGGAAGTACTAAAATTTGGAGAAATGTCATAATTTCATGAAGTTAGCTGTACTTGCGTTTTAAAGAGGACTGCCATGTTTCTTTGAATTCTAATATGGATAAAAACGTTCAATCTCAATTAATTATTTGCTTTTGAAGCTAAAAGATATTTCTGTGCACAGTAAAACACAGCCCACGTAACGTTCATTATTGTTATCTTGTTCTTCTTTTGGATATCTTTTATTGGTAAACACTAAAGGAGCAAAAACTTTTAAAGCTAACGAATTAATTACATTATTATTATTATTATATTTGTAAACACATCTTACCAATAGTTGCGTTTTTTCTCTGGGACGATCCACCTAATTTTGTTTGTTTAAATTGGTTAACTTGTCATTTTGACATTTCACGAATTTTACGGATGTGAACTCAGTACTAGGCTTTAGAAAATACGAAAGAAACAGATATTTGCAAAAAATATAATTTTATGTTACGGGGATGTGACAATAAATGTCACTCTAAAGAGCCTGACATAAATTGCTGATGTTGAGTAATAAGTGGCTCTCTAGGGCTAACAACATTGACAATGCCGCCCTAAGCAACATCATCACATACAAGCGAGTTTTTTTTTAAAACGGTTAATAGTTTTTTTAAGTTGGTAAGTAAGTTGGTTTAAATACTGTGAAAAAGTGAAGAAAATCTTTATCATACATATTTTGAAATTACTAAATTAAAAGAAAAGAAGAAGAAAGAAAAATAAAACGTAATTTCTAGATATCTATTTAATTAAGTTCTTAACCATATATGAAAATTGCATAAGGTGTCCGATGTTGCTAGTGACTGCTTTTGTGCTGTGGCAACTTTTTTTCAATTTTGAATTGAACAACACAATCAACAATGGCACGGTGATCAAGAACACTACATATGTATCAATAGCTCACCCGAGTGATCTTGCTGTCGAGTGATTGCTTTCAGTTCGGTTTGATCGTACCAAAGCTGCTGTTGTCTATCCATTTCACTTGTCGGATTCTCTTTAAAACATTTGGATAGTTTCGAATTTGTTTTTGTATACCGACATATATAAAAAAAAAAACAATATGAATTGCCTGCGAAAAATACCGATGCGTATGGTAAGTAAATACTCGAAAAACCATATGGGAGTGAGACCGATCACATTTTTTTTTAGTTGTATGTACTATCATATGTTTATGTGAACATGCGAATTTAATAGGTATATACATACATACATATGTGTCTACGTATGTACATACCTGTATAAATATTTTAATTAAATAAAATTATGGAAAATTAAAATAATTAGAGCTATATAAGTTTATATATGTACATATGTATATATATACCTTTTTCTTTAAGATTGTTAATGGAGTCCAACGTCAGCAACAATGCATGCCCAGCTCCACAGGTGCCATGTCAGCACTCACTGTACTCACGGAGGATGAGCGAGTGATGAAGGAGACAGGTGAGCGAATCTTTTATTATAAATATTGAAGAAATGTGCGGATAAAAGATTCTCATAAGTACGCAGATTACATACAATTATATGTAGCTATGTCCTTTAGAAATAGTTTTAGGCATTCACACATATGTACATTTGCATACTCGAATACTCGTATATGAATATAACTTGAATTTGCATATGCGGTTGCATATTCTTGATAAAGTTACATAACAGATAACACAAGCACAACAAATTTCACGTATAAACTAAGCAAAAACTTCGTGTTTGAAGAGTCTAGCCGGCAGTAGGATATGCACATATTTGCAATTATGATTAAGGTACAAATGTACAATATGTACGAGTATATTATATCCAGTAGCTTTATTTTGCTTATCTTATTTACTTTCCTGATTTATATCTATATACATAATATATATGTACATACATACATACACACATATATAGAAATATTAATAATATAGCTTATTACTCGTATATACAGGTATATAATCTCATACATAAATATGTATATACATATGTATAGAATTACATATATGTATATTCATATGTATACGTATACATATACATATGTACATATATACAAATAAGGCCGCAGAAGCCGAGTGGTTAGCATTTCGGACTGCCATCCGGAAGGCCAGGATTTAAATCGTGGTACGATCAACATCCAAAAGTTAGAGAAAATTAATTTCAATAAAAAATTTAGTTAAATTTTCAAATTGCGGCCGCCCCTCGGCAGGCAATGTCAACCCCTCCGAGTCCGAGGAGTCTTTATTTCTTACATGAACTAAAGACTCCTCCATCAGTCTTTCGGACTGCAGGTCTGTCTATTTGTTGGGAAAACATCAAATTGCATTATTTTCAACTAAATATTTATTCATTAATTAATTTATTCAACTGTTCATATCTAATATTATATGCATCATAATGAAATTCAAATCGGTATTTTACAACTATAATTTTTTTTTCAATTGTGTTATTCTCAACTGCTTTTTTGGCCATTTGTATGCTATAAATATCACTCGAACAATTTTTCGCCGCTAGAGGCGCAAAAAGATTATGGTTCGGCACCAGAGAAATTAATTTGCTGAGCGGGGTTGGTCGTGCTTGCTTAAGAATTGTTCTTTACCGTTTAACATTATATTTCAGTAGACACGAGTTCAAATCCCAGTTGCAGCAAAATAATACATTTGATTTTAGACATTTTTGTCGTTGGAAATATTTCCATTTTCTGAATCTTTTCTTATATGTATGTATATGTACCTTGTAGAAGTTTTTGTCACAAATATGCTTCCACAAGCGTACGCACGTACATTTGTACACGATTAGTGTTTATATGTAGGGGTATGCAGGCATATGCAAATGTAGAATAGAATCTAAAAAGAGCCAGCGTTCAAAACAAGAAGGTGTGTTGTGGGGTGTGGTTGGCTGGCGGGGGTTTCGTTTCTTCACAATCAGTCAGCGGTTTAAATTTCATCTAATAATTTAAACAGCGTTACACTTGTGATAGAGAAAATTTAATTGAGCTCCGCTTGGCTGCGTCTCCGTGTTGTACTGTTCTAGTGCACTGGATGCACGTCTGGCTTGCGGTTGGTTCGCCACTTTCCTTGAGAGTTGTACTGAGTTATAATTGAAGCGACTCAGGACGTAGTTGGAAAGTTGACAATTTTTGTTTTTAGAAAGTGAAATTTAAAGAGACAAAATGCTTAAGCAATATCAATAATTGTGACATTTCTTAAAATAATCGTTTAGCCATATTTAATTAGTAGGCTTTTAATTAAAGACTTGCATCCAAATCAAATATTTTCTTATCTACATTCATTTTATTATTAAACAGGTCTGCGTACTTCATTAAAACATTAATTACAAGTGTGGCAAAAAAGGCGCGTGTATGTTAATACTCATAATAAACACTGGAATATTCGAATTAATTTAGATCGGATTCTTATACATATTGTACTTATGTAAGCATGCATACATACATATGCATATGTATGCACGTATGTATATGTATACGTAGACTTAGGATGATTGCTCTGATAACAAAACATTTGCCCAGCAGGGAAATAAACTGGTTGACTTGGCATATTTGAGCAATAATAAACGACTTTTTTTCCATGGCGTTGTTCCGCAAATATATATAAATATGAATATTGAAGTATCACTTTGCAGAAATACAAAATCAAGGAAAGCCACGCCTGCAACGTGATTCCACAAACCACAAATCTGTGCCCGACTTTCGATAGCCCACGAACACTAGGCGATTGCTTAAGTATGTTTCAAATAAATACAGTAGAAACTCGATTCTTGCATGCACTCACTTCTTGTACACTCCGATTCTTGCAACGTAAAAATTGTTTTCATTACGCTTTCAGTACTTTGACCTTGTTACTTGCACCATTTTCTATTTTGTCTACGCACATTATTCTATTTACGCATCCTCCGAACAAGAGAGACAAGTTCACTAAATAGCCCTATGAAATGTCAGTTAGTAAGTGCGGAATAGTTGAAAATATGCCGTTACTTTTCAGAGATTATTTACAAATGTAGACCAGATGAGCATCAGAATCTTAACGATTTATGGCAGAAGGCTCAAAATAACAGGCAAAATATTGAGGCAGTAATCAAAGGTCATATGAAATATTAATTAAAAAAAATCGTTTATGTCAACTAATTAATCAAAAGTACAGCGGAGATATTTGCAACAATTCTAAGAAAGCAAGCATGTGGCTTTAAAAAAAAATGTTTCTTGTCATTTATTACCTTAAGTTGATTATTATATGAAATATAATTGGAATGACATTACAAATAAAGTAGTTACAAACCAAAATCTTTTTCTGATACCCAGGTGTGATCAAATAGTTGACATACTGTACATACATGTATCTATGTACATATGCATGTATGTAGGTGAACCATGTGTTTCATAGCTAATAATAATACATTCTACTCAGTTTAAATATGTATGTGTATGGGAGTGGGTATTGTATTTGAAATTGAAAAAAATAATACGCAACACATTCATACATACATACATATATGTATATATATATTTTATCTGGCTTGATATTTGCTCGAATAATACAAACGTTTATTATTATAGCCAATTAGTTAAAATAACAATATATTTGTATATATACATACATACATAAATATACATAGGTACCTATATGCTAACCAAACATGTTTATATATATAATATATACATCTATTTAATTGTGTGTGTGCATTTGCGTGGACATGAGCTATTGATATTCTTGTCTCTACGTTCATGGATACATATGCACACGTATGTATACATACTTATTGTATTTATGTACAGAAAAGGTGGGCCCGTCAGCAGAGTTATATCTATAACTTTTAAAAACAAATTTACTAAAATCTTTTCTGGAATGAAAGAATGAATGATGTGGAATGCACATCTGCAAAAATATTTTTTTTAAATCTCTCAACAATATTTATATTCAGAATATTTTTTCTGAATCAATGCAAATTATATGCGTGCATAGAACAGATAAAAAAGGCTTTTTTTCTTACAGTTGCCAAGTTGGCACAGGAACAAATTGCGCCGTTAGTCAAAAAAATGGATGAGGAACACAAATTCGATCCGTCTGTGGTGAAAGCAGTTTTTGAGAATGGCTTAATGGGTATTGAAGTTGATCCTGATCTGGGGGGTAGTGGTTGTAACTTTCTTACCACAATTTTGGCGGTCGAAGAGCTCTCCAAAGTAGATCCGGCTGTTGGTGCTTTCGTAGATATTCATAACACCCTGGTCGTATCTCTAATGATGAAAGTCGGCAGTGAAGAGCAAAAAAATAAGTACTTACCTAAATTGTCGCAGGAATATGTGAGTAAATAAGTTATTGCATAATAATACAATATTTAATTAATTGAAAATTTGCATGTTTTTTTACACCAGCATACAAACATACATATCTACATACATATTTACGAGCATTATTAATTAATTTATAGAAGCAAAACAATATTTCAATTTGAACAGAAATGCTCTACAGTAAGACTACGTGATAATCGATTAAAGTTAGGCGATAAGATTAGCTGACGTACAGAAAACAAAAGCCAGGGCAACAGTTTTTCTAGTGAGCAATACCGTAATATTAAATACGTAAATAAGCAAGATAACGGTTTTTGACTTTATAAAACGACATTTAAGATTAATTTGGAGCTCGCTGGGTCATGGAAAAAGAATGGTATTTTCTACATAAAGATTGAAAAATCTCAAATCTCATTTTGAATACTCTTTTCTATCAAACATTGTCTTCCTAGTAACATAAATAACATGCCAATTATGTAAAGGTTGTCAGAGGAACAATTTTTGAAATTCTTCAGTCCTTGAACTAGTAAAATAAAAATAATTTATTTTAAATTTTGATATTTTTTAGGCTGGCAGTTTTGCTTTAACCGAACCTGGAGCAGGCTCAGATGCGTTTGGTCTGAAAACTATTGCCAAAAAGGATGGTAGTCACTATGTGATTAACGGTACAAAAATGTGGATTTCCAACTCCGATGTAGCTGGCGTTTTCCTAGTCTTCGCCAATGCCAAGCCCGAAGCGGTGAGCATTTTAAATACATTTTATAAATTTTTGTAAATACATACATACTCAATGATTTTTATTTATTAACAGGGCTATCGTGGCATTACCACATTCATTGTCGATCGTGAAATACCCGGTGTGATTGTGAATAAACCGGAAAATAAGTTGGGTATTTGCGCATCCGGCACCTGCATGGTCACCTTCGATAATGTCCGCATACCCGAAGAGAATATACTGGGTGAATTCGGACACGGCTACAAATATGCTGCGGGTTTCTTAAATGAAGGCCGGATCGGTATTGGTGCCCAAATGGTGGGTCTTGCTCAAGGTTGTTTTGATCACACCATTCCCTATTTACTGGAACGCAAACAGTTCGGCAAGGAAATATACGATTTCCAATCGATGCAACATCAAATTGCTGCAGTTGCTACAGAGATTGAGGCAGCTCGTTTGCTTACATACAATGCAGCACGTCTGAAGGAGCAAGACAGACCATTCCTTAAAGAAGCCGCTATGGCCAAACTCTTCGCTTCTGAGGCGGCACAACGTGCCACTATCAAATGCATTGACTGGATGGGTGGGGTCGGTTTCACACGTGATTTCCCACAGGAGAAATACTACCGTGATGTTAAGATTGGATCCATCTATGAAGGTACAACCAACATGCAACTGAGCACCATTGCTAAGGTGATCAAGAAAGAGTACACCAAGTAAACCGGATAAGTAATATCGTAACAGATATGAAAAGTGCATTTATAAGTGTATTGTCTGCACCTATGTACATATATACATGCATATGTATGACGATCGCTTGCTAATCATCGTGTTGCATTTTATTTGGATAGCAATTTCTTCCCTCCAAACTATAATAGGCATCATGCTGTAAACTACAGGAAAAATTGTAGATATTTACATGTTATACAGACGTATAATAATACATTTTTTAATTTAATACATATGCTTTTATGTACATATGTATGTATCTAAGCTAAGTATATAATAATAATATATTACATTTTTAAGAGGTTGCCAGAAATTTTGTAAGTGACGCTTATGTAGGATATACAATGAAATATGTGCATTTATTAAAAGTTTACTAAGTATACAGAAAGAAAGAAAGAAAATAAATGATTTAAAATCAATAAAAAGTCATTGTTAATCATTACGCGTGAAGAAGACCACAAATGCAAAATATGCAAAGGACAATGCTATACTCGAAACTCCAAGGATTTTAAGACGCGTTGCAAAAAATAAACGAGTCGAGAGCACCTGGATGATATCTAAATCTGTACCCAAGGGAACCTCAAATCGAAATATTATACAATTTGGATATCTACGTGTATGTACATGCATACTTAAATGCGTACATGCATCGATATTGGCATTAAGAGAGAGACATTCTACGTTTATTGAATATTATTTTTCCTGCCGATTTTATTGTTTTTTTAATGCTTTAGGGCAACTTTCACGTCCGTAGTCATTTCTGCAAAGCTTTTCCATGGTTTCTAAGATTTTTAATCATTATCAGTTGTGGTAAATGCAGCGAGCAGTACATTAACAACGGTTATAATAAATACACCAAATATTAGCAGCTCCTTGGTGTACTCATAACGTGGATCAGTCTTCTTCAAATGACGCTGAAATATACATAAATATATTTCGAAAATAGTTTGGGGCTTTTTTTTTAACAAAATTTTAAGCAACACTAATTATTACTAAAATGTATTACCTTGTATATTAGGGCTAGACCCACGACAACCTGTAGCACCAAGGACATGCTCACCAAACCCAGACTCATATAATAAGTGGGGGCTTTGTTGTTATAAGTAAGTAAAAACCGCAGTTGATTAGCGTTTGCCGACAAAAGCGCAATGTCCATTAAACCTTTGAAAAATCACGAAAGCAAAAACAATTTTATCAGTATATGTACACATTTTTAATATTTTTATTCTCGATTTTACTCACCTTGCACCATATTTTTGTTGCCTGCATAATTCAAACTGTTCATACGATGTAGTTCCACAACAGAAGGATGTTCCGATTTCTCACGTAATTCATGCTCAATGTCGTATTCTATAAAATTGTTTGTAATATCTTCATTGGTTCGATCACCACCATTGTCAATTACGCCTACCGTTGCTTCGACTTGTTGCTCTACATGCTCGCCAATGCCGCTGGTCTTGCTATTTGCCGTGTCAAGTGTCGTTTGAATGATTGTCGCGGGTTCTGTAACATCCATTTCTTATATTGATTTATGTTCAACTAACGTGTGTCTGCCAGACGCCATTCCTATCCTGGAATTATCTTGAATAAATGCCTCAGTAAACGGTTGTTTGTCCTTTGGTAATCAACTGTGAAATGTTTCTTTCATATTTCAATCGGTTTGTGAAATTTGTAAAAATTCTTGTAAAAATGTATAAATATACAGGAATGGTTATTCGTGAGTTGGAGCTTGCGGTTTTGCTGTTGAAAGATAAGTGAATTGCTGTTGGTTTGTTCTTAGAAGCGCCCAAAAATATGCAATGGAAATGGATAGCTCAGCTTTCATCGAATGGATTGTGTTAGTGATGTGTAAGAGGTTTCGGGACTTCTTATGCAAACAGTTCAGAGAACTTAGTTAACGAATAAATTATATCTTTCATTATTTAAAAGAAATTAGGGTTTAAGTAAAAAATATAATGCTAAACAATTAAAACCAAACTTGTCATGTGGTAATCTTTGTGATTTTATTTAAAGAACTTCATCTTCCACTTCGATTTCTTATCATAATTGGCGTAGGGATGGACTTTGTCTTCAGACTTATCATAGTCTAAAGCAAATCACAAAAATGGAATGAAGCAAATCACATATGTGAATGTGGATGTGTGTACTAAGAATATGCAGTATGAACGACACTAAAATATATTACAGATAGGGAAAAACATAAGTATTTTTATGTGTACATACATACATATGTAATGCGAAACGAAGAAAACAATATAAATAAAATGAAAAAAAAAGTTGTGAAATAAAATTAATAATATTAAATAATAAAATTTGACTCCGGGCAGTGAAAATTTGTGAAAAGTTTGTGACGAAAGAGAATTGCATAAACAAAGAGCAGCGAAAGAAATTTTGCGCACTCTTCCTCTGGAGCTGGCATCAAAAAGTAGCCACTTAACGGCCAGTAAATATGACTAGATACGAACTTTTGAATTTTTTTGTAAAAGTTAAAGTTTTTTATTTACATAGTGGCACTGCTGCCTTATGTTCTCATCTGCAATATGAGGGTAAGTAATACACCAGAAAATAAGGCAGAAAGTAATTAAATGTTATATACAGTTGACAGTTTGCGGCGAAAAACAATTTATAACAAAGCATTTTCAAAAAAATGGGATTTCATTTACAATAATTTCGATTACATTTTGCCATTCTCAAGTAGCGACATCTATTGAGTTTCCCATACAATTCGAGGTACTTGTTTGGCTTTGGATCGGTAACTCATTTCCGTTGCTCGAGAATATGCAATAGAAAATAATTAAAGCCCTCTGTTATTAAAATTAACAAGGCAACAAATATATTTTTATTTTTATTACTTATAGTAGAGTAATGTCGCAAAATTGATGTATATTGGATATATAACTAGTTTTATTCAATTGTGATTTTTTTGGTCGAATTTTATGGGAAATTATGAGAATTAAGTTTTGTTTTTATTTAAAAATAGAAAAGTGCAATTTATAAATATATGAACATATGTTCTAATACTTTGATTGCAACGACAAAAGCAGTGACACTTTGCAGTATAACTGCATATGAACAAATGTGCGTGTAAGTAAATACTCTTCAATGTCTATCCTGCACTTTGCTTTGTTGGATATCTGTAACCAACCCTGAAGCTCCGTTCGCTGATAGTCACCTATGTATGTATGTATGAACATATGTGCATATTTTCATTATTCGCAGCACTTGAGTCAATAATCGCTTGCTTTTCGCCTGACAGCCAAGCTCAGTACGGATTTGACTTTTAACTGTAGCCGACGTTTTTTATACTGTTGTGACTGCCAGGCGCTGCTATTGTTATCGATTTTTCGTCCTTTTCCGGTTGGTAATTTATTTGTGTGTTTGTATATGTGTGTGCGAAAATCAATGCTCATTTACAGGCACTACCGAACAATTTCCTGTATTAATCCTTTAAATTGACACATATCTAATGGCGGATAAAGTCAATAGTAACCGGAAAACTCACTAGCTTTTTAAATTCTGAACAATAAATTAAATCAATTGAAATATTAGCTATTGGAAAAATCGATAATTTGGTCGGAGAACCATAAAACTAAGCAAAGCCAAATACATGGAAATCTTTCTTTGCTTCGTATTATATTCATAAATATCTACATATATTGTACGAGTATACTCGTATACATTCATAAAGTGATATTAATATATTTATGTGCAAATAAAACACAATCGATATAAGGCTCAGCGAGGGGCCCGATGTAAAGTGTGTGCTTATATTGATTATGGCAACGGATTTAACGGTGTTAAGTTCCTTGTCTTCAAATTTTTAACACGTAAGCCACTCCCACAACGATCATTTTAATTACCAAATTCGTTTAGGCTGACTAGTCTTTAGTTCAAAATGAAAATTGGGCCCAGGACTAAGGGGCACTTACTGTTTGTCTTGGTGTTTTTTTCTGGCAGTGGGAGAATATGAAAAAATATGCAGGTTCGGAGGAGGTCGAAAACCTAAGGTCTCCCCGCATGGCCATTTTTGGCCGAAATGCATTTATATATTGCCAAATGTGAACAAATAAATGACAGATGAAGATATCGAGCTTGTCTGAAAAAAGAAGTTTATGTTAACCGTTTTTTGCTTAATAAAAATATTAGTTATAGAACATAAAAGCTAAGAAAATGCTTAGTTTCGGTTATCCAGTTGACTTCTTCCCTTAATTGATGTGGAGTCCACTCAAGGTTAATGGCTAAAATTCCAATTACTGATAAAATCATTTAAAAACAAGTAAAAAAATTATTGATTTCAAAATTTAATAGACTGTTATTTGACCAGATTATATTTGGATTTTAATTACTTTTTAAATAACAACCAATGTGCAATTAAAAGTTAATTACTGAAATCATTGCCATGCTATAATGGTGATGGGCCAGTGAATGCTGCATATGTGTTTGCTGCAAAGTATAAATATATATGCATGTGTCCAACATACCACAATATACATCAGTTTCTCGCGACCCTTAAATGTCAGGTGTGCTTGTTCTCCTCATGTATGTATATTTTTGCGTTTTTGGTTTTCTTTATACAACATTCGTATTTATACATTTCATACATACTTATGCTGCATAAGCTTCGATCGATTAATTGCAGAGCATGTCTTGGCCTGCATGCAAGCAGGTTTACCGTTTCTCAGGGCAATCGATTGACATTACAACCTACCAATGGTGGTTCATATGTTCATGTCACCTGAAAAAGTTTACATATATATGTATATACAAACATATTGCTATGACTTTTTGTTCTATAGTTAAAAGTTTCTTGAAAATTTTTTTATTACATGGACAGACGTTGCGGAATCCATACGTGTCATCAATGGTACGTGAATATATACTACAAAACTAGTGAATCAACTAGTGAATCAAACGAGGTTATGTTTCGTGCTTTAAGAGGAGATTATGGGGCATATATTCGATCAACTATTGAGGCAATCGGTAACATTTTAAAGATATTTGAAGAAAATGTGTCCGTACAGATATTGTCTGTGGCCTGTGCATTATTGTTTTGCTCGTTCCGCCTCAAATATCGCTACTATATGTCAAAGTTCAGTCCGAATGTGTTTATTTCTTGGCGTTCCCAAGAGCTGGGACCTTTTTACGCCACATTATGGTGAATTTTACCTTGTACTTACACCTACATCCATATAACGCAAAACTCACAGAACACGATTTTGCTAACACAATTTCCTTCAGCGATGCGAGGCATAAATAAGCAAAAATTATCCCAGTTGGGGCTCCGAGGATTCTCAAATAAATTGAAGTGAGGCCATTACACCCAAAAAAAATTTACTGTCTGCGCGCCCTTTGCTCCGGCGGTGTGATTCGATCTTACTTAGGAACGTTATGGCCGTAGGATAACCGACTTCTTTTGTCTAGCAATTGATGAACACGGCTCGGAAAATATGTGGTTTTTAACAAGATAGCGCCACATGCCACACGAGCGAATATGGCTTTCTCGCTTTGGCCAATTGTCAATTGGTGATTTGACACCGTTCGACCTTTTTTTGGAACTACCCGAAATACCGTGCTTATGCGGATAAATTTTTATCTCTTGAGCGACGAAAACGAACAATCGCCAAGTTAAACCCCGCAATATGCGCCAATAAGTGGTCGAAAATTTGCGAGGCAATCCGTTGAGTGATGGAACATTTCACGTATAATGCCAAGGTTCAAACTACAAATATAATTTAAAAAAAAGAAGAATTTCGTGTAAAAAATTATTTTAAATGCATTTTATTTACGCCTATTTCTCAAACCGCAAAATGGATAGCCCGGTACATGTACTTGCCCATTTCTGTATGTCAATTAGGTAAAAATTATAATTATGATTTATGAAAATAATGAAAATCAATTTCTAGCATTTGATCTTCTGAAATAACTTTTCAACTTACGTGGACGGAGCTCTCCAGCCTTAAGATGTCAGTCATGACGCCGGAAAAATCACTTCTAGCATATATTAATCACTTTTTAATGAGTAACTTCTCATATTTACGTAAGTTAATTGGATATTCGAACACATTTTGTATTCGATTCTCAAAACATCTTCTAAAATAATCCTAAAAATGGCATAACTTCTTTGCAGTTGATGAGATCGATGGTTATTTATATTATTTCGGTGGAACAGCGGGCGTTGTTACACTAACCGGCATAGCGGCGGCGGCTACATATTATTTCGCATCGCGTCCTATACCGGAAAAGCCTTTAGTGCCTCTGGATAATCAGGCGCCAGTTTTGGAGGTGAGTACATACAATCAATCAATTGAATGACAATTTTTTTGGGCGATCATATGAGTGTACATATGTATGTAAGTATCAGTTCCAGTGAACTCCGAAACTACTCGAAAGATTATTCCTTAAATTTTTCAGTTTGTTTTTGGAAAGATTTGTACGAATTGTTTTTTTTTTTCATTAAGAGGCAAAGAGTCCGACTTATTCGAAAAAATCGTATTAATGAATTTCTTGAAGTTCTATACACAAGTGGTATATTGCTTAGGTTGAGAAGAATACAACTTTTCTCTCCGGCTTATGAAACAGAGGCCGACCTATTCGAAGAAATCGTATTTTCAGTTCTTTTTATTTGAAATTTTTTTTTATGGAAACTGTACTCATCAATTTGAAAAAATATACATATTCATGGATCGGTTTAGCTAAATTTTTGAATAATATGCCTAAATAGAATACTTGGACCCCTTGGAAATGGACCAGGTAACTGAAACCAAGTTCGATTTGTTCGAACTATAAAGAATGATTTCTTTGCGGTATATACTCATATATATTTATATATCGTATGTATGTACATATGTTCGCTTCGTAAAGTTATTATTCAGCGGCTGCGGGATACAAAGCTATTTTAAGCAGCGAAGAAGTGATCCACTGATCCAAATACAAATTTCTCAGCAATAATTTGGAAATTGTATGTAATGTTTAAAAGTTTTAAAACCCTACATGCGGCAATTGTGAAACTGTTTTTTCTGCATTTCTTTCATTAACATAAAACTAATACATATGCACATTAATTTGTTAGTACGGTTCCACCGTTGCTAACCAAAGCAATGAATGCAGTGCTTTTGCTGTTTCTGCTATTCGTGTGAAATTCTCTGTTATATGTGTATGTATGTATACGAGCTAAAAAGTGCTCTTTGAGAGACGTCATAAAAGCAAACAATGAGGATTTACGTATGTATTTTTTTCTTCATTTTTCATCTCAATAGTTTTTCTTTTTTAATTCCTTTTCTTGGTTACGGTATAAATAGTATGAGGTATAAAAACCTGCCCAAAAACCTACCTAAATCTGCTAATACATACATGTATTTATATTCTTGATCATACATAAACACGTGTCTGAAGCACCAAAGATTTGTATGCGTGCAAGTTGGCAGCACTTGATGTCACATGGTTCGCTTTTTTGAGCATTTTTATATGTTTTGTCTGTCATTAAATGCACAAACAAATGTACATAAAAATGTACATACACACATTTACATATGTATCTATATGAATTTTTGGTTTATTTTCGATTTAAGCAACAATGCCTTTGCCAAATTAGTTACGTCATTGGTATGGTGGGCCATTTCGATTGGGCTTCGACTAATTTTGATACAGTTTAACGGGCGTTTTTTTGCGATTAAAGAACAGTCATTTACATATGCACATAATTCGAGAAATGTATAATGTTAGTGGTAAATTTTCTAGGGAGTCTTCTTGAAAGAAAATAATGCAGAGACATGACTGAAACTTTCGGTATTTTCCAACACATTCCTTCCTCGTGTATCTGTGTTTGTGATTGTATTAGCTAATCAAATCATAATTTCTTAAATTCTTATAATATGAGAATATCAAAAGCTGCACTTAGCATGTGGTGGCCCAAGCCATGCTTAATATAAAGGTAACAGATCATCTTAACGCTGGGAGATTTCATGTTGAAATCTCTCAAACAGCATTTTTTTTATTTATCTCAAAAATATTATTCGACTAATTCTATTTAGAGCAACAACTTTTAATAAAAGTCCTAATAGGAAGTGCTCTGGGTGTGCTACGCGGTGCTAGTTACTCGGCTCTATCGGCAGCTTCAAACTTTTTTCTAAATCTACATGCGAACAGCTGAGAATCACATAAAAACGACACTTATTTGCTTATAATAATTATTAGAATTGAATTATCGAAAATTCTCTGTTTATTTTTCTTTGAAATGGTATCATAAAGATGTGGGAAAAACCAAAATAAAACTTTTAAGAAATATTTGAGATATGCTGCGTGACTTGAGAAAAATCCCGTTTAAAGACTAGACTAAAGCGCTGAGTCTACTTTTATTCGGATCGACCTGAAAGCATGTGATAGTAATCTCGAGATGTTGCAGAAACCAATATGCTAATATATCCAAAAAAATCTATTTTTTTAAATACCTACAGTGGGGTGAGGTGTATGTGTATGAATACTAAGATATTGGAAAACTAATTTTGTTTTTTAAATTCACAACTTAATTGGTAGTGTCCAACTTTGATGTTTTTCCGCGTAAGTGTTTTTTTTTTTTATTAAAATCAAATATTATGTTTATAATTTCTTCACACATATTTCTTTGACTTTGATATATTTTTTATTACCGCGCGTTCCATTGGGTTTTTATCGATGAATTAATAAACAAATATCTGCGGGCGTACAGCAAATTGGCTGCATTTAAAAGAAAATCTATTTCGAAGATGTGAAAAAGAATATGCTGTCAATGATCTTTGGAAAATAACAGCAAGAAATAATTATGATTTGTTATTTCTATTACATTATTTTATTACTTTGATGGTGTGATTATCGTCGGGAACGGGAACGATGAATAAATGTCTCTAACAATTATAAATAAACTAAATAATCTGATGATTTGTTCATGACTGTTTATTTGCAATCAAAATGTGGTAGGGGTCTCTGAAAATTAAAGTAAGGATTAATAGGTTACTATTTTTACTTAGTTTTAAATTCATTTATTAAAATGCACATTTCTAAAAGAAATAATATACACATACATATACATATGTAGACCAAGTTGAAAAATCGACATTAATGACACGCTGACAATTTGACAAGCCACCACGCAACCACCCACCCACTTTACTCACTACCAAACCACCTGCCCACAAACACAAACCGATAGACTGGCTCCTATCATGTGCTCCCGAGAAGAGCTGATCGCGTGAGACAAATCACCACAGATCAACGAGAGTGCTGACGACAACAAATGAAATGCTTTCTACACTTCTCAGTACAGCTCATATGTTTGGCTAAAAGGACTGATCGCACTGAAAATTTTGAAATTTTGCACGAAATCATACAATACATATATGTGTATGAGTGCATGCTTTCTGTGCTTTCCAACAATCGTTGGGTGGATTTTCGGTCTGCGCGAATCAAATTCGAAAAAATGAGTATTCGAAAATGCAGACATTCTGTTAAAACGGTTTATACAATTTTCAGTCTGCAGTTAAGCTTTGCGTCGGCAATTTTGAAATCGCGTTCGCCGTGCTTTTTTTTTTAAATTAATGAAGTGTAATATAAAGCGGTGATTGTGGTTTGGCAAAAGAGTGTGAATAATTTGTTCAGTCAAATTTTATAAAGAAACGAATTTTTTAAAAGTTCACTTTCATACAAATAAAAAATTATTTAGTTGATTTAATTAAATTGTTAATTAAAGCAATGCTGCCATCGTATTTAAGTATTACGTAAAAGTAAAATTGCTCAGACATTCGGAAGGAAAACCGAGCATAATAATAATAACGATAAACAAATATAATTGAATGTAACATTTAATGTATTTTAAAACATTTAAAAATATCATTGAACTAGTGCGGTTGTTGTGGCAATTAAAGTGGTTTCCCTTTGTTAAGATAAATTGAAAGGTACAGCAAATAAATATATACATATTTACAATGTATCCAAGTGTGTTTGCGTATATAACCATTCACAAAGAAGTGGATAAATATGGATGGAAAAATTGTTGTCAAATATTTTCTTCTTTCAAAATTTTTGTTGTGTGTCCATAGTTTAATCCGCTACGATGAGTTGAAAATACCTGCCAAAAGCTCCACAATTGAAACTACATCTCCTAATGTACTATTTATGATATCAAATATTTGGCGGAGATTTTATAGGCTCTAGGTCCTCTGTTTGTACGAAAATATTATACCTAATTTCGGTCGTATATATACAGCGTCTATGGTGACATTTTCTTTTTTGTCCGGTACTTTGGACTGTTGATTAAAAAATTATTCACTGCAAAAATTTGTTTTCTTTTTTTGTTTTAAGAAACCATTATGGCCATATAAAAGAACATAGCCAGTTGTCCATAGCATGCACTTTCATTTTCCCAAGCTACACAGCCCATATTTATCCTACCGAACCGCAGTTTAAAGCCTTTTCTGCCCAATATTGAATGAATTGAGATAAATTGTAAGAAGATGAGCTGTAAATTTCTATTCAAAAAGTGCAATGCTGAAACTGTGCCACCTTCCAATTTCTTTTACAAGGATTGTTAGCACACGGCATTTGATCAAAGGAAATACAAGAGGAAACATTTCTACTCAAAATCTCTCCGATAGGAGGCAATTTAGGTGCTCTTTACTGTTACGTATTATCCGTTGATAATACTCTAGGCCAGTAAATAGGTCGTGGTCGGCTTCATACCGGTTCTAAAAACTGTGTAATGCACTTTGCCAATAGGGATATCTATTTGTAGACTTTTACTTGTACCATACATATGTATGTACATACATAAATGCTCGATCGCTAAAATAATGTTTACATGAATTGAAACCATGCAAGTCCATGTGTTTTTTTGTGTGTATGCACTTGAATAAGTAAGTAAGATAAGTAAAATGTGATTCTAGTTTTGTGCAACTAGAACAGAATTTATGCATACATAGTAAGGGAGTTGATTCATAAATTAAGTCAAGTGTAACGTTTTTATTGTATTTAAAAATTTTGGGCTTTTTTTTCTTAAAATGCACAATGTCTACTTATACGCATATACATATACATAGACAACAAGTGTATAATATAATATAATATAATAAAATATAACTTGGTGATAAATAGAAAAATGTTGTCACCAAGAAAAAAAGAATGAAATAAAGCCAATGCGAGCTAAAAGAAATTAAATGAAATCCCGCAAATGTGACGTACACGTACATGCATAGATGTATACGTACGGAATTTGACTAGAACAATTCGATTTTTATCTAGAACGCAAAGATTTTTGCAAAAAGAACAAAAACCAACGCGAAAGAGGTGTGTGTGCATACATACGTAATTGCTGCAAAAGCAATGTTCAGACAGACACACAAATCTTCGAAAGAGAATGTACACCCCTCCAAGTTTACCTCTGTAACGCAATGGAAAGCTGCTCATAAAAACTATCTGCCGCAGCTCCCTGCATTTCTAAAAAACATCAAAATGCGACCGGTCAAATCGAGGAAGAAATGAGACTGAAAACACATACATACCTACATATTGAGTACATAGTGTGAAATATGTATATATAATAAAAATTGACAAATAAAAAAAGTGGTCCATATATTTATGACCAGTTTAATAGGCTTACTATTGAAAGAAAAGCGACAAAAACTTATAAATATATATATATATATATATATATATATATATATATATATATATATATATATATGCACATAAATACATACACAAAAAGAATTTCTTAAGACTTTGTGATATACGTATGAATAAAATTAATAAAAATATAAAGAAATATGTGTATATATTTGTGTGTGAGTATGAAGAATTCTTTTTTGTCCAACTCATTTTCCGCTGTGCGTATTTTCAGTACATTTTGACACAACACAAATGGGTGTTGAAAATTGGCATTTCAAAAATTTTGGTGACTAATAGTACGAATTAACAATTTTCATTAACGCATAGAAAGCAAACATGCTTGACTACACTGTAAATTGTCTACTGTATTTATATAAGGTCGGTGGAGTGTGTGTTGAATGTAATTATTTTCTTCACTCTTCATATATCTGAATATTGTGGATACTTTCATAGGCGACAGCCCCGATGGGTGGATATCCCGAGAGAGCGGAAATGTTTCAGCAAAGTTATGAAAAAACCTCCCATGAGGGGACGTAAAGGTCCGATGTGCAAGCCATTTTGTATTTTGAAAGATCAAACAGTTCAATGGCTATAACTCTCGGCGTCTGTTTATGGGAGCTTTTACTGTCGTTATGTCTTTAACTTATCTAGAGTATTCATACGCCACGATCATTAAGTTCAGCATTTTTCCCAATGTGTCAGATATGCTCCATGCCAATTTCCAAACCTTAAGTATTTTCAAATATTGTAATATCGCATCCATCGAACTTGGATGCTCAGATGAAAGCGATCGCGACATTCACATTTACATAGAAATATCTACAAAAAATCCACATACTTGTACATACATATACACAGACATACATACTTTAGCACGTATTTTATCTTGTTTGACCGATTTCAAGGTATTTTACATACAAACGCTTCAACTCCCACACTCATCCTTTTACCGTCTGCGTTTATTGCAAAATTTTCGGACAATTTATTTATTTTGTTTTCTGTTTTGTACGGCTTCTATGGACACTTGCACATATTCGCCGTGACTTTTACCTTGAAGGTATGTATGTGTGCATTAGCGTTGGCAACGATATCGATACTGTGACAAGCGCTGTACCCGGGCGTCAAAAAAAAAATATATTAATAATAATAAAATAAAATAAATAAAAAAGATGTTGAACGTATATATGTAAACAAAAATCAAATTCTAAAAAAAAATTAGAGTCTTACGTGCTTTAAAATATTCAAAACTGCCCTACTTGCAGAAGACGGGAAGTAGGTTAAGATTTCATATGATCTCGTTGAAAATTTATGAATACTAAAAAAATTATAATAACTTTTGAAGCATCCAAAAATATTTTGCTCTATATAAATTTATTCAAAAAAAAAAATAAATAATAAATAAATAAATAAATGAAATGATAGATTAAAATAAGAAAAATGTTTTCACAGTTAAATTATTGTAGTATATATTTTGAAATAACATCTATCGATTATTAACACAAGTGAGAAAAAATTCGAAGTGTTGGAAATGTAAAGTTTTGATAAAATCGCAGATGTTTATGCATTTCAGCAGCTGATGCTCTTATTTTGTTTACATTGCTATTCATACACATGTGATATTCGAAATGAATAGAAATAAGTATAAATAAACCACATTAATGCCACAGAACTGTCGAAAGACTTAGAGACTTTTTCAATAAACATAAAAATTTTATTGTGTCCTAATGTAGTTTCGCGTGCAGAGGAGTTATTGGTATAATTGAAAAGTGATAAGTGTGTGTTTGGTTTTTGAAAAGAAAAATTTAAATAAATAAACGAGATCGGCATAATAAAATTATTTTGTTTGTTTGTGTGCGAGTAACTTAAGAAAATATTTAGTTTAAGTGTGAGAGTCAAAATGTCGTGCTGTGGCCAAATAACAACAATTCGTCCACCCATCGAGATGTCCAGTCAAAGTGACGTTTTGAAGGTAAACATTAAATGCTATTTTTGGAAAATTTTCATTTGGGTGAATAGAACTTTTTGTTAAAGCAGGATGTTGTATATTCGTGAAACTAAAATTTGTAATAAATTTTTGAATAAAGGGATCTTAAGCATAAATACACATGTATCACTTTGACCATAAATGATTTTATTTAATTTATTCTGTAGAGACAAATTCTATGAAGTGATTTTGATATTACAATTATTACTATGTATAACTGCGTAAAAGAGGATATTCGAAGGAACGATGATCTTTTTTACTACTGAACAAGCTTAAGCAGAAAAAACCAAACTGATATAATTTTTATTGCGCTGATCAATTTTAAAACTGATCATTACTCAAGTGATTGCGTTTCTGTCAGTCAGGAGTACTTTTATACTGCTTTTGAGGCTCGAAAACTAGTATCAAGATTGCGTAAGAACGCTTAACTCATTATAAATATGTACATATGTAAGCCGGTTATTAGAAGTTTATTTCAAAAGTATATTTTGACAGTCAAGAAATTAGTATTTTACACATTTTCTTGTTACTTAATTTTTATTAAATATTTGTTTCTTTATTATTTTTTTCACCGTCAACGACAATATTCAACAAAAACGTCGGAATATGAAATTAATAGCTAAGATATGATCCACGACTAGATATCCATCGCAGGGTAAAAGAGAAAAAATCCGTTAACAAAAGAATTTTACATCCCAGTAAATACTCAAAAATCAGTGTGTATCGAATGACATACAATACACATACATATGTACATAAATTCGTAAAGAAACGTACATATACGATGACATTCAAGCTAAACATTTACTATATGTTGTAGATGAAAGTAATTTGTTAAACCCTTTAATTTACTGTAGTTACATATCTATATCCTGTACCATTATCGCAAATATTCACCTTTACTTATACACATAGTAATATTCATTTAATCGCAAATGTGAAAGAAGTAGAACTCATTAATTTCATTCGGTTTCCATAAATTGACTCCCTCGTCTCATATATGTATGCACACATATATCAACACAATTAGATAACTGTATTTAACCGCCAACCTGGTGCGGTGCTGGCAGCTACACATCCATATTTATTTTTGTTCTCATTTTGTGTTCGAAATTTTCACGCCGAATATTTTACAGCTCTGTATGCCGTAAACGTTTCAATTACGCTTGCACACCATTCGCATTTTGCTGTCATTACTTTGAATCAATCATTGGCGAAGCGCACCAAGAAGAACAATATTCAAATTAAATTTTAATTATTATTGCTGTTTCAACAACGACAGACTTTAGAATGTTTTGCATAATGTTGGCCACCAAAAAAAAAATAATAATAAATAAAAATAAACAGCAAACAATGCAACGTACTGTTGAATATTATTTGTATTTAATATACATTTGTAGATTATTCTTGTATGAACTGAAAAGTTCAAAATTTATCAGTTTCCGCTCAGTCCAATGCAGCACTCGTCGGCTGCTGGTTTATTGCATTGGTCAGCGATTTACGCAGACGGAGATTTATTATGAAAAGTTGCGAAAGTAATCTATAAAATTTGAATATATATTTTTATAAACATCCGTATGTATATGTATCTATATGTGTATATCATGATATACTTAAGATGGAGAGGCCAATTCATTAGTCATATTCCTATAAACTACTTATTTGGCAGTTCATCTTCAACTGGCACTTGAACATACGTTCATTTGTATATAGAAAAGAATTTTTATAATTGACTTTCGTAATTTCAATAATAATTTATTATTTGTTTAGACCAATAGGAAAAATTTTCATAGTTTCATTATTATAGATAAATCTGAAACCAGGAAGAAAAAATATTAGTTTCTGCTTAAATTTCCTGACTTAAATCTCGCTAGTCGAAAAAGTATGAAACTCGTACAATCAGTCCCGGAATGAAAATTTTCCCACATATTGCGATGGGCAAAGAGCTATCAATGCTTCAGGTACCAAGATAATGAAAACATAAATACGAGTTTTTCCAACAGATCGTCCCAGGTCCATTTCCCGGAAGGAAAATTTGCCTCAAACAATGCTACCTATGAATCAAATTTCAAGTAAATTGAACGATTGAAAAATAAATTAGATTTTTTCGAATGGATCAGTCTCAATCCATCTCCCTGAAAGTCCTTTTACTCTACAAGTTTCGGTTGTCTCCGATCAGTTGCTTAGACTATGGGTTGATCCGTCAGTCATTCAGGTCAAAACTTTTTATGTTTACCATCAGTTGATGCATATACGCCTTAAATATGTCCGTAATTTGTATAAAAAATCAGTTCTCTGACTGTATTTTCAAAGAGTTGGAATTATATAAATATTAATCATTATTCGAATTTTACTAAGCAATATCGAGTAGTGTGCTTCTGTAGAGCCATACACGTAAGATGGTGATAAGCGTTAATTGGGAAACATTTTGCATTTTTTTTAAATCAAACGCAGCGGTTTCTCTGTGTTGTAAATTTGCACACTACATGCAAATAGTGTGTGGTCCTATCAGCGGGCTGTTGATCCACCTGCCACGAGGAAACTGACAAATAGATATAACGCCGACCATAAAAGGTGTTGTTCATTAATCACGTTTCGACCAATGCCATGCCATGCGATGCCATGTTGTCACATTTGTTTACAATTAATTGTGAATCGTAAATATATGCATCTACATGTCGTATTATATACATTATATACACACATTCATAAGTATGCAATAAACTTAAAAGCTTTTATCAGCACCAAGAGAATTGATTAAGTATTTGAATGCGTCTTGAAAGAGATTGAAGTTCTTTTGAAATTGTACTTAGCGAAAGAAAGATAGGAAGAGACATTTTAAAGGAAGGGAACTCAATAACCTCCTCCTTCACTTAATTATTATTTTTGTTTTTATTTGCTTTTTCATTTTATATATAATTATTTAATTCACAGTGAAAGAATTATTTTTATATAACAAACTAATTAAAACCGTATTTACAATAATTCATCAATTCCGCATTTCAAGGGCCCAATGGGCATTATGAAAAAATTCAGTTAATAATGTTTTAAGTGAAATTAAATATTTAGTTAATTGCATAAATTATGATTCAATTAAAGCTTTATTTGCGGAAACTAGTGAATGGACGCTTAGTGGCCGGTCTGAGCTTAGTAGAAGCAATCGAAAATTTCATTGTCATTCCCTAACTACACACTCAACCGCCTTGTTTCTTGTGTTTTATAATCAATATCAAAATATTCCCTCTCTCTCTTTCTTTTTTTCCCATTTTACGTACTTATATTGCATGCTGCCACCAACAAACACTTTTCCATTCAGGGTCCTGATCACATACACGTCTCGAAATTCTACAAAGAATCCAAAAATGGCAAATTCATCAGCTACATCACTGAGAATGTACGTACTTTATATCAGACATTTCGCGAGGGCGCTTACTCGTCCAACAATGGTCCGTGTCTGGGTTGGCGCGAGACTCTTACATCGCCATATCAGGTGAGTTGTTGCTCTAAAATCAAGCTCTAAGAAAGTTTACTTTATATATAGAGTCAATATAAACTCTTTGTTTTCTCTTTCTCCTGTGTGTCTGCTGATGGTGTCATCCTAGTGGATTAATTACGATGAAGCGTTGTTGCGTGCAAAGAATTTTGGCGCTGGCATGATTGCACTGGGCGCTCGTCCCAAGCAATTAATTGGCATTTATTCGCAAAATCGTCCAGAGTGGATCTTATATGAGCAGGGTTGTTATAGTTTCTCGTTGGTTGTTGTGCCTCTCTACGACACACTGGGACCAGAGGCGTGTGCGTTCATAATGCGTCAAACGGAAATGTCTTTGGTTGTGGTGGAGGATGATGCTAAGGCTTTGCTCTTGTTGGAGAAAGCGCCTCCCACATTGAAGATTATAGTCGCCATTAAACCCATACGCCAACAGACACTGGATCGTGCCAGAAGTCGTGGCATACAGATCTTCTCATTTATCGATGTGGAGAAATTGGGTGCCAAAGGCAATCATCCAGAGGTGCCGCCTGTGTCCGAGGACTTGTGCACTGTGTGCTATACATCCGGTACTACGGGCAATCCGAAGGGTGTGATGCTCACTCACGGCAATGTCGTGGCCGGTGTATGTGCGGTGATCCTGCAGATGGGTAAGCACTTAAAATGTGAAATTTCGTTGCGAGGTTTCATGTTAACACACTGCACTTGTGTTTTCCTTCCCTTGTTAGGCGAACATCGAATTCGCGCCGGCGATGTAATGATATCCTTTTTGCCGTTGGCACATATGTTCGAACGTTGCTGCGAGAATGGCATCTACTATGTAGGTGGCTGTGTTGGCTTCTACTCGGGAGATATTAAGGAGCTCACGAATGATTTGAAGATGCTAAAGCCAACCGTTATGCCAGCTGTGCCGCGTTTATTAAACCGAGTTTACGATAAAATCCAGAATGAGATCGCCTCGTCAGCGATTAAACGTACGCTATTCAATATGGCACTCAAGGCTAAGGAAAAGGAGCTTTCACGTGGAATCATGCGAAGAAATGGTTGTTGGGACAAGCTGGTCTTCAAAAAGGTTCATCAAGGTAAGTGGAGAATCAGAAGTGTAATTTGGAATAATTGGCTGGAACTATTAATTAATTTTCCTAATTCAGCTTTCGGTGGAAATCTGCGTTTGATGGTGGTCGGCTCCGCGCCATTGGCCGGAAATGTACTGACATTTATGCGCTGTGCACTCGGTTGTCTCGTATTGGAAGGCTATGGTCAAACTGAGTGTACTGGGGCGATTTCGCTAACCGTACAAGGAGACTATGTGCCAAATCATGTTGGACCACCGGTTTCCTGTAATGCGGTAAAGGTTAGTATAATGCTGTGAGTTTATTATTAATTAATTTTAGTTAAGAGAGTTACCTACACTTGTAGCTGGTGGATGTACCAGAGATGGAGTATTTCGCCAGCCAAAATACTGGGGAGGTGTGTGTACGTGGTTCTAACGTATTCCATGGGTATGTGACAAAGTCTACTCTGGCTTTCTCAAGCAAAAAAATTACTAACTTTTCTTACTATGCTTTGAAGTTACTACAAAGATCCCGAAAAAACAGCAGAGGCCGTCGACACGGAGGGCTGGCATCATACGGGCGACATTGGCATGTGGCTACCGAATGGCACTCTCCGCATAATTGATCGTCGCAAGCATATTTTCAAGCTCAGTCAGGGCGAGTATATTGTGCCCGAAAAAATTGAAAACATCTACACGCTAAGTCAGTATGTAAACCAGGTGTATGTCTATGGAGAAAGTCTTAAAGTAAGCTTCGATCTTTCATTTATTTATTAGTGAACAAACTTGCATGACTGTCAGTCTATTTACAGAGCTGCATCATTGCCGTTGTTGTGCCCGATGTGGACGTGCTCAAGCAGTGGGCCATTGATAATCGTGTCAAGGGAACGCTCTCAGTGCTCTGCAATAATCCACAGGTGAAAGAGCTCATTATGAGCGACATGTTGAATTGGGGCAAGCAAAGTGGTTTGAAGTCATTCGAACAGGTGTGTTGAAGGGCCATAAAACATTAAAAATATTACAACAAAATATATATTTAATATTATTCTTAAAGGTCAAAGACATTTATTTGCATCCTGATCCATTTTCCGTACAAAATGGTTTACTAACGCCAACATTCAAAGCGAAACGGCCACAACTGAAGAGCTACTTCAAGCCGCAGCTGGATGATATGTACAAACATTTAGATTAAATTTAAATTTACATAACAGTAAACAGATTGAGCTATAGCCTATGCGTATCTAAAAAGAATGACTCGAAGAAATGCATACAATGAAACGCAGATGATTGAATTAAAGGGAATAATGAACAATCCTAAAAAACCCCTTTAAAAGTACTAAAATTGAAACATAAAATATATAAATAAAAAAATAATAAGTAATCGTCAAAACGATTTCGAGAGAGAAACATTAGTCGATATGTAAATGCAAATTATAACCCAGAAGTCAAGAAGGATATGTATGGTAAAAATAAAGTTTGACAAGTCCACTTAGAAAATATGAAATTCGATCTAGCGAATTTAAGAGGAAAATTATTTAAATTCAATATATAATATCCTTAGAATATTAACGATCTATACAAATGTAGCTTCTTTAAATAGTTTCATGGTCACATAACCAATTTATAATTTACTGACAAAAAAAATTATGGATTAAATTATTAATAAATAAATATTTTATTTGGAATATTTTTAGTATTTCAAAGTTATAAAGACGGTCAATTCAATTAAAGAGTGCAAATATTCAATTAAATAATCGAAATGCTTTATACAATAATTTGTTCAACCAAAAATTATGGTAGTGGTGAAATATATAGAACATATGTATGCTTGAGAATACTTAAAAATTAATTAATATTTACATACATATGTACTCGTATGTGTAAACACATTTTTCCATTAACAAAGCCAATATTATACATACACACATTTTTACGCTGTTTTTTTAATGTTTTTATTTTTATTTTTATATTTATTTATTAACTATTTTAACTTAATATTGTACTAAAAAATCTGTGCTTTTATTAGTTAGTCTCTCTTACACGTATTCTTTGTATGTAAATGGGTATACTTGATATTGTATTAAATTAAAAAATATAAAACACAAGGAAAACACAAGTTTCTAATCACTGTTTCTTTTATAATTTTATATTAAGTTTTTAAACATTTTATTTGGCTTTTGAGAATTCTAGTAATGCACATGGTAATAGAGAATTTGAATGTTCAACTATCGTAAAGTATCGATTATTATTTATTCCCACGCCGAATCGACAAAATCGTAGCATTTACCGACTAAAATATCACCAAATGGCACTTCAAATCCAAAAGTCTGCTCGTCAATTTCAACACTGATAAAAGTAATAGATATTTATAATGATATGTGATATGTATTTGATAATTATCGCAATATATTTATTAAACTTAATACAAATGCAAATTATTAATTACTAATACATACATATATACTATATATGAAAACCTTACTGCTAAGTAGTGTGCGATTACATCAAATACTCGTAAATACATATTTATATGCAATAGAACGCGTAAATACAAACTTACGTACAAGTAACAATGTTTACGTGTACATGCACGAGGTATTCAAATGAGATTGGAATAAGGAAATAGGAATAGTCTTGTGTACGAGACACCTGACGAACATACAGGTATACATTCGAATGAATGTGAATGAAAAGGATTACAACATTACTTAAATAATTACAAAATATAAATGCAATTTTATCTAATATGAATATATTATATCTGTCATTTCAATGGTAAGAAGGAGAGGTAAGTCATCTAAAAGCAGGCAAAAGATGTTATCAGTCGTTTTGCTTCTAGAGAAAAATATTAGTCAACTTTCCCGGTAACTTTGATAACTCTAGCAAACATGCCACTGTTCCTTCTTAAGAAATAAGTTGGCAAGGAGTAATTTGTTCAGAAGTGAAGTCTACCAGTGCGTAGATGTCAAAGTCAGCTGCGTTGAAAGACTCAATTAACAAAATATTTAATTTGTTAATATAATATTGGCTTATGAACTGATTTGATTGTAACAATTTGCCCTACATGACGACCGCACCATCTATTCGGCCAAAAAATTAGGTTGAAGCCTTTGCTAACGCTTGCAGCACCCCCTATGTACTGAAACTTGCAGGCAGGCCACCAAGTTTTGCCAACCAAATATAATATTTAACAGTGTTGTTTGTTAAAAAGGGAATACTTTTTATCATTATTATTTTTATTTTTTTTTTAATAAGGCAAGAAAGTATTCGAAGGAACAGTGTACATTAAAAAAAAAAATGAAAAATTCTTTCGAAAAGGAAAATGGAAAATAATTTGATGAATGAGAGTTCACTCTAACGGGGAAGTTAAGTGAATGGAGTAATATTTTACACATGCGCAGTAACAATTTGGTCTCTCCAAGCTTACTAGATAGTAATAAAAATGAGATTACAATGAATACATATTGATATACACGTATGTACATACATTTGTATCTAAATACAAATAAAGTGGCAAAAGTGCTTGTAAGGGAATGTGTGCATTAGTTAAAAAAAAAAATTACCTAGAGAAGCGCGACAACGGCAACAGGATACAATAAAGGACGAACTGAAATCGAAAGTTGTTTCAAAAGCTTAGCAGCATATTTTATAAGTATATACAATCAGTCTTTCGGGGATTCTACAAATGGTCGGTGGCTCTTACGTTTGAAAACAGGACGGAGAAGATAAAAAAATAAAATAACCAATTGAAAAATTCTCAAAACTGGGCACAGCTTTCATGAAAAAAGAAATAATAATTCAATAACCGTTTTACACAAATTATCGTCTACCAATAGTAGTTTTTTCCTTTCGTTTTCGCCTGCATATTCAGAGAGCCTAAAAATGTGGCAAAATTTTTGTAAAACCAAATTACAACATGAATGTGGCTTTAATGGGAAAATTATATTTTCTCTGCTATTTCTATTGTTAGGTAAGTATGTGAGGTAAGGATGTTCTTGAGGAAATTTATGGCATCTTCTCTGCATTTGGAGTCGACTGAAAAATCGATAAGTGACAAACACGAGCACGAAAGCAAAATGCTGAACGCTATGATGAAAATAATAAAAAAGTTATTTAATTATTATTTTCAATTTCTCGCTAACGGACATATATGTTATAAATATATTTTTCCTCCTTTCCCTAGTGTCCTTTAGCGAATGCTTACAACTAGGCGCTTTCACTACAAAAAGCCCCAGGGTCACCAAATATACGACAAAACCAGCAACGGTAAGTATGCGGCAAATACAAAATATAAAAATAAAATAATTTCTGTCAAATGTATCGTCCGCAAAAGTTGAAATTGACTTAAGTAGAAACAACCATGTATGTATGCGTGCATGTCTGACGACTGTGAATTTGTGTGGGAATACAAAGCTAGAACTTTGTTGTAAGAAAACTTAAAGCAAAAAAGGTCAGGGTCTGAGGGAATTAAGAACATGCATTTCAAACGCGATTTTATGTAAGAAGGATCCACACTTTACAAATATATACTATATATACTTATGTATCTACTTAGAGACAATTTTATTCCGCTTACAGTCCACCTCCATGAATCACGATGCGACCACATCGATTTATCGCTTTAATGCGACAAACGGCATCACCTGCATTTTGGTTAGTGTAGATGGGTTGATTAGCATCAGATATCGCAACAAGTTGAACGAAGACGTGGAAGCGGATCTCTATCTGCCTGATGACCCTAAGCTGAGCGGTGAATGTGTGGAATCGAATATGGAAATATTGCGAATGGAGTTCAAGGGTTTCGTTTTGACGATGACATTCCGTAAGGTAAGTGAAAAAGGGTGTTGAATAGGCGTGTGATTGTGAAGGGAAGTGTAGTTTTAATTATTGAACATATTAATCCAAATACTACAAATGACGTCACTCCCCTTATTAACGCAGTCAAAGAATTGTGTGCCCTCCATTCGCTTGACTATGCAAACCATATAAAGCAAACTATGTGTATAAACGAACTTAAAACCCACACATAGTGTATGCACATATGCTCGTTTGCTTGCGATGAATTTATAGTTCACCCCCCGTCGTAAGAGTATTTTTACCGTGGTATGTTAATTTGGGCCAGGCTACTACAAGGAGCGAAGAATTTTCAATTTAATATTATATTAGTATTCTATTTTTATACACAAATTTTAATTTATAAAGGAAATTAGCAAGGAAGTGGAAGAGCAATCGAAACATTTGTAAAGCTAGTAAAGCTATTTTCTGATTTGATTAATTTGAATTGAGTGCCTGCATTTGAAATTTTCTTCGCACCGTCTAATGCAATAAATTATCTAGTGAAAATTAATTTATTTTTTTGCACTAAATTTAAGGCTTTATTTACCAAAGTTAGAATAATCCGATACAAATATGCACTATTTTGTCGAAAAATTTTGGTCATATGTCTCTCTCTGTCGTTATTAGCAGAAAATTTAGGCAATCGAATTTCACAGGCTTCGCCTGAAGCCAATTACTCATTCACCAGATAAGGCATTTGTACAAGACCAGACGGTCGAATCGGTGGCACTACAATTCTACAATCTACTGCTATCCTTCTCCAATTTGTGGTGTGCGTCTGGAATTTTTTCTGACAAATGGAGGGACCTACAGCTTATTGTAGGCCTCATCGAGCCGTGGGAGGATTTTTATGAAGAGCCGAGGGGCGGCGAGGATTCGGATCTGGCCTTACGAATGTTAGTCCCCTCGGCCACTGCGGTAATATTAATGCAATGACAGGTAAAAAAGCAATGCACAGATATCCGGCACTTTAGATGTGCTCGTATGCAATTAGAGAGAGACTCCGTCTTGGGTAGATGAGCCTGAAAGCCCAACTCACATTACAGTCAGCGAAATTATTCAAGCTCCCCGAGAAAAAACAAATATAGCTGCGTCCGTTTCCGAAAGAGAATTGGAACTAGAATTCTTTTAATTTTTTTTTTAGGATTGTAAATCTTGACCCTCCACATAATAGAACGCATTGCTAACCACTTGTCTAATAACGATTTTTTAATAATCATCTACATATTTACATATTGTATGCGATAATCACTTATTAGTTTCTTCTCACACCCTTTGAACAGTCCTCTGGGGGTGAAGGTTGGTACATTAATCAATTCGAGCTCACCTACTCTTCATCAAATTCGCTTTTCGAGCACCCCGACCGTCCGAACCTGGATGTGAAACTGACTTCACCCGCACAGACTCCAATGTATTTCCCAACACCCGTCGGCAAATCGTACGTTTGCGACAAGGAGCAAAGTGTACTCTTGTATGCTCCCGATGGTACTGATGACTTGTCCGGCCATATTGCGCGCCTCTACCTGCGCGATTTACATATGCAAAGCTTTATGTTCAAGGAGAGTGGTAAATGGGGACCACCATTTCATTGCAGTGCCACCGGCTCATATCGTGATGAGACGGCACCGCTGGCTGTGGGCACAGCTTTGGCGATAGCGACGTTTTTGGTGTTAGTCGGTTATGGCGCATGGCGGTGAGTAGAGTGGGAGGGAGTGGAAAGCGTGAGTTTGAAGGCACATTTCAGAATGCTTAATTCTCTTCCTTACAGCTATTTCAAAATCAAGAAAGTCCAATATGGTTCGATGGAGTAAACTGTCGTTAGTTTAATGCAAATAACAATGTGCGCGTTCACAGTTTTGTTATGCTGACAATTGCTAACTAAAACAATTAAATAAAAAAGTAAAAGTAAAAATAAAAATAATTTCGCTTAAGGATTTGCGCTAATTAATATTTTGTTATTATTAGTAAAAAAAAAAGAATTATTAGCATTTTAAATCAAATATTTATTAGCAAAATCATTCGAAAATCCAATTATCAACCGAAAAATGTTAGGCAAAGTTGAGCAGAATTAAAAGAAAATTATATAAAATGTATGAGAATTACAAAAAGTCTTCCATTATTATTAAATACAAAACTAAAAAATATACAAAATAAAACTGAATAAGCATTGCGGTGTGTACATATCCTGAACTACATATCCAAATGTATGCATTTTTTAACCAATATTGTAATTATTTATTTTACTTGTAGTCTTTAGCAACTCTTATGAGTGAAATGAAGGCAAGGGTCTCTTTGAATTTGAATTTAAGATTTAATGATAATGGTGGAATGGAAATTACGTAGTTTAGAATTGAATTATGAAAGTAGTTTTTGAAAATGTAAATAGATCACAATATCCTTGAATCGACAAGCAACTGCAATGACCATGAAAATTTAAAATGCAAAGTTTCGGCGGTGAAATCAACACAGTTTTCGTGCTATAGTTACAGCCCTACCGTCAGACTCACTTTTCTGCATACTTGCGTGAATTTGCTTTAGCAATTTTTGCTGGAATTTGCTGCATTTCCAAAGAGACCCTCAACTAAATAAAAGCTGGAACAAAAAAATTCTCCACTCATTTTCTAAATAAATCAGTATTGTTAACATTATATATATAATATATATAAACATTTAAGAAATATTAAATTCTATATTAAATTTTATTATATATTATATTAAATTTTTAGACCAATGCACATATTTCAAAATCTGTATGAAATCTCAATGTTGTTAAATTTTTAGCGCAAAAACATACACACATATGTATAAATATATTTACCATGTATATATGTAACATCCACGCAGTTGCCACTTACATATGCTGCTTGATGCTTGTAAATACACGTACAATACAGATTGCTTTGTCAAAGCATAAATTGGTGTTAAATACAATCTAAGTTTCGAAATACGAGATTTATAAAGTTGAATACAAAACCCGCTAAGCACTGTGCGTTAAAAAACTATTCCTAAAAAATAGAAGAAAACTTTCGCTGCGTAAAAAATTATATCCAAAAAAGGCACATACATACATAAGTATTTACAAAGATACATATATACGAATGAAAACAAAAATATGTACCTAAACCATATCATGCCATAGATATCCAACAAATTAGAAACTATTATTGTCAATATTTTATTATTCATATTTTGTTGCAATTTAATTATTTTGCGATTTTTCGCAATTATTGGTGTGGAAAAACCAATAAACGACGTTGTTGCATAATAAATAAATAAATAAAATATATTAAATTTATTATATACCAATTACTATGTTGTTTTTGATTTGGTTTGAAGATTTCTAAAATTCGTAAAATAATCTAAATTCAAATGTATTTAGTTGTGTTATAAAATTGTTAAAACTAACTATGTATATATGTATTGTACATACATGAAATATATCTATCAACAACTTACAACTCGGTATTTTATATAAATATACTTGACAAGCTGATATGGTAAGTTATTTCATATGGAAGTTGAGGAAATAATATATTTACATTTATGCAGTCATTAAGGCATCTAAGTTGAGTCAGGAGAAAACTGATCATTTATAAAGATCCCAAACACTTATATGGGGATGTTATGTTATGACGTGTAAGTCGTTCAACTGAAAAAAATTGAAAAGTATTGATTACAGTCTCCACTGAAATAACTTACAGATGACTTTGATTCGTTTGCTATTACCAAACTCCGTCAGCAACAAATTACAGAATGCGGATAACGGTAAAGACTGTATTGGGTCTAATGTGTCAATGAGAACGTGGTTACTGACAGTTGGGAAATATAGTGAAGTAACTGCCGCTGAGGAATGCCGAACTACATTGGGGAGAAAACAGGCAGCCTATCTCGTGGGATGGGTTAGGTACCGAGAGCAAGAGAAGAAAGCACGACGCATTTGCAGAAAAAACAGGCCGAAATGAGCAAGCATGTACGTTCTATGACCAGGTTTAATATCAAATCGGCTTAGACTGATGGCTTACCGGGAGAGATTTGCAAAAAATGTTCGGACGAAAGCATAGGGGTGCTCTATCCAATCAATAAAAAGCCCAATGTCAAAAAAACAGATAGAATCTTATCAGTGTCGCTTTAGACCTAGTAAATCGACCATCACTTTTTCAGTACAGTATTAAGCTGCCTTTACGCCGCTTTATCGGATTTTGGAATGCGTGATATCTTCAATCTGATGCTGAAGAGGAAAATGAGAATTGCAGAGCGTAATAGACAAGACATAAACTTTTACAAGAAGGTACAACTCTTGGTATATGACGATGATATTGATACCATAAGCCTTAGCAACCGCGTAGTTGTTCTGATTTTCTTCTTCTTCTTCTTTACTGGCTTTAGTGCTGCTTAGTCGAATTAATGTTAGCGCGCTATTCCTCCCTTCTTTTCGATGTTTAGCGCCAGTTGGAAATATCATGTGAAGCCAAGTCACTCTCCACCTGATCCTTCCAACGGAGTGGAGGTCCTCCTCTTCCTCTGCATCCACCAGCGAGTACTGCTTTCATCCATTCGGACGACACAACCCAGCCAGCGTAGTTAAGTTCTATTTTTTCAGGCTCGAAAAAAGAAGCGAAGCACTTGGGCCTGGTAGTGAACGAGAGCACTCGCGTTTCCGTTCCCAGGTCACTGTTGACAATCGTATCTTTGAGGACGTAGATAATTTCCTCAATCCGCGGACCAGCATTAACAGTTTGGTAATAAATAGGTAACTAATAAGTAAAGTCCTCTCTCGACGAACCAAAATAAAACTCTACAAGTCGGTCATCATTCCAGTCCAGCTATATGATGCAGAAGCTTGGACGATGACAAAATCCGATTGGAGTCACTAAGAGAAAAGTTTTTAGAAAAATTTTTGGCATTTTGCCAAAGCGACGAATACCGTAGATGATATTATAATTCAGTGAATTAAGAGACAGCGGCTACGTTGGCTGGGTCATGTCATCCAAATGAGGGAAAGCGGCTCCGATTTGAGAGTATTTGAAGCTTTACCTGCTTGTAACACATTGCTGGTTTCACCTGGTTCTTCCAACTGATGCCTAAAAGTGGGGAGTAGAAACGAATGGCGAGCTATTGTTGTTTCTGTTGAACTCTCAATACCCTCATAACTTCAGTATAGTCTGATCCAATCTAAGGGGATAAGCCCAAAGTCTTATTTGGTCAGGTGACTCTTCAGCACTCAGAAAATTTCAGAAATTGGCTCTGCAAGTTAGAACGAAAAGTTGCTTTTCAAGTTGCGTTTTAACGTATTTTTATTCTTTCCCCAGAACGCTTTGAAATGGGAAGCCTCAACTTTGAACTATTTATACCCAATGGATTTCCATAAGTAAACATGTAAATGCACACATCCAATTGTATTCGGAGTATGTACATGCATACATATATGTGTCTGTGATGTGCATTGTCAATGCATTTGAAGACCAAACGAAAATTTCCATAAATAAGCAAGACCGAGTTGCGTACAAACATTATTTACACCATCCATCGCCGTCACCGTTCCGCACAAATTGTTAGCAAATAGATCGAGGAGCAACAACAACAACAACAACGACAACGGCAACTAGAGAAATTCAAGCAACAAATTGACGTCGGCCATTCGCTTTGAACGATGATTAGTAATGGTCTTAGTTTTTCTTACTTTCGCATCGAGTGTGGAGCTCCAGATCGAGTCGTTGTGAGTTGCTGTGTGCCGCAGCCATTTTAGTTTTGCTTGCGTACAAGCAGAGCATGAACAATGAGCCGAACAGGTAACAGGTAAAATAACATTAGTTATATTTACAAACCAACAAATAGGAAAATAACAAATCAAAACCCATGAACATTACGACGGACGTCCAGTAAGTCCGCTGATGGGTTGAGTAGGTAAAATCGTGCTCGTAAATGTATTTAAATGCACAAACTTGTATTACATACACACACACGCTGGCATGCCTATATATTTGTTCATAACAATAGCTGGATAGTCAGTAAATATTGGCTAAACATTTTCTTTAAACAGACAGTCGAGCAGTGTGCCCAAAGCGGCAACGAAAAGAATGAGAATGAGAGAAAATGATCGTCTAAAGACCGGCATTCTGCTAGACACAGCGATGTTCAATGATGGAAAGATTAGCGGATCTCGGAACTGCTAAGAGCAAATTAAAGGCTTCTTCAATAAATGTATTAAAGTTTCACCGGAAGAACGAAAATTTTTAGCTTCAGCTCACTCAAAAGATGGCCAACCCCGTTAGAAATTAGTCCCTTTTCGGGATCTTAAACCATGAACTATGTCGGTGTGTACCCATTTACAGAGCAGCCGCAGGTTTGCTACTCAAGTCTTCTGTTTTTGATTACACACAGAAAACACTCGCTGCAATTTATCTCTAATTAATTTTTTGAAAAATATTATGTAACAACGCCGCTACCATTTCTACACCCGCTATGGACGCTGGTTTTTTCCTCGGTCTGTTTTTTGTTACAGCGGTCAGCTCGAGTCTAAGTAAGCGTCTGTCATTGGCTACTATATGCTCTTCTACGCTTATCCATTCAGTTTACAAATTTGTTTTGTTGATTGTTTGAACATTCTACGCACATTGTACGTCCTTATGTGTTTATAACCTCAGACTAATTACAGGGGCAGCCATTAAGCACGACCGTTATCGTTTTCAGTATGCATAAAGACCCTTTGGTGGCTCTTCTCTTAGCGCGAAGGATCAGTATGAGCTCAATAGTTGGGCGAAATAAAAGGCAAGGGTTAGAAGGGTTGTGGGAAACAATGTTCAAAAAATGTATGTTTGATTGTAGAGAAACAACAAAGTGTTGTAACAACAAAAGAGATATCTACGAACGGAGCTGGTGATTTCCGAGCGATTCTCTCTACAGCCTTATTCGATTGAAATGTAACTATACACCCACATACATATGCAAATTCAAACCTATAATACCCAAAATAATGGTAGTCAATAGGTAGCCGGATGTGTAGCGCGTCTAATTGTGTGGCTTAATTGCTTTACATGCTCCGTGTGCACGGCAGTTCTGCATTTGGCCTTGGACTTGAGTTGCTGCACACACAAAGGTGTTCTCTCCTTTATGCGTTTCGGGCGGTGCGTTTATGGATTTTCTTTCATCTAATTAGTAAACATTTGCATATTTGTTTGCGTAACAGACATTATTTTGGTCTGGAAATATTAGTGGAATTGGGTATGAGTCGGCATGTGTTCATTTCAGAAAAAAGGATGTTGTGCACAGAAATCCTCACAACGGCAGCAAAGAAAAACGATACATTTTAGAATTTCTTTATTGGATTTTACTTCCCCAGTACAGATCATTTCTATATTTGTTTTTCCTTTACTTCACTGATAGCTACTGTTTTAATCTTTTCCTAAATTAAATTCCGGTGATTCTATTAAAAATCGAATATCGCTTTCCACACATTCAGTAAGAAATGGCTGTGCAGTTATTTTGAGTTTTTCCCAATAATAAAAAAACAATAATTGAAGAGAAATAAAACTTAATAAAAATTATCCCAAATAATATCTATAGAGAAGTACAACAAGCTTTCTTAAAAATATCTTTAGCTGCCGATGGAAATTCATTAATTTGATGACGATATCTTAGTGTCTTAATCTGCAAAATCTTGAAGCTTTCCGAATATATAAAATATATTAACCCAGTTAAAGAAAAAGAATTTTTGTAGGTGGCAATATTCTTAATTGTATACCTTTGTGATAATATTATATGATTTTATCTATTTCTTGCTTCACTTTAATTAGTGCCAAGTTTTCGATATTCAATCCGGGAAGAAAGGTTAACCGAAGATCTTCGATCATGTAAATTTCTTGTTCATTCCACTTCTCATTCATATTTTTGGGGTTTACTAAGAATGATTAGAAAAAGAAAGCATCTTGCAAAGTGCTCGCAAGCACATTTTTCAATTTTTTTAATTACTCGTAGCCTTTTTATTTACTTATATGTAAATACATTTATACCTGTATATCCATACATACACGCACCTACATAACTACATACATTTTATGCAGATTTAACCATTTAACCATTTATTTAAAGGCACTGTAAAACGTACCAAATAATGTGCCAATGAGAAGAATCAACAAATTTATAAATGGATTCAAAATGTTTATATGTTTGTAGGAGCAGGATGACTGTTGATCAGCTGACAATACATACATACGTGTACATTCGTTTGTAGGTACGCATATATCATACATATACATATGCATCATCGTAAAAGAATAAAGTAGTGTAAATATTATGTCTGAGAATGGTGGAGTATTCTTCGCCGGCATAAAGATATATACATACAAATATTTAGTCTCTGTGGTGTGATGAATATCGGCTCCATTGGCTAGAGATAAGCACATAGCGTGTAGATAGGTATGTATATTAGATAAACGCCACATCAAGGACACTGAGGCTATAAATATCTAACATCCTAGAAAGCAAAACATAATAATTTAGACTTTTGATGAATAAATGTTTACTCAAAAGCCCTGGCTGTCAATTATAAATCCTGTTGGAAACAGTGATTACAGTTACAAATTTATTATGAAATTTTAGTTATTTGCCACAATTATATATTTACATTCATTCAACAAAGATTTGGCTAGTGTAGATCCCAGAAAACATTTCCCTAGCTCTGTTTTTAATCTAATTTAATTTGAACTAGTTCTTATGGTGCCATTAAAAAATGTCGTTTTCGAAATTCCTCCTAAAGACGCCTCTGAAATGATACTGTATTACGGATAAGTTCTTAAAGTAAAGGCAATAGCAACAAGAAACATTTTAGCCCAATGACCGTAAGCAAACAGAAATGATCGATCGGCAACCTACAATGCCGCTGAGCGTTGGCTCTGAGCTCTTAGCTCGTCAACAGGTAAGTTGGTTGACGACTAACTTGCTTGCTGACCTGTTGAAGATAGCAGTATATGGTGGAATGAGCAAGTATTAAGGTGTGGCTCTCTAACAGCGTCGCCATCGGGTGAGTGAGCGAGTGCGAACGATACGGCAGGTATGTGGGAACGAGTAGGTTGTACAAAATCAAAAAGGGTGGGCTTGTGGCTCCTGCTGGTTGTTGTCCGATGTCAAAGAGAAGGAAAGATAGAAAGAAAAACAAAATGCTGCTTTGTTGCTGCTAAGTATGTATGTGTGGATTATGAAGATGCTAACAAATGGTTGACTTAATACAAGCGAATGAGCATTTGGCTGACCGATGAACAAGCAAGCCCGCGCAGCACGGCCGATCAGCTAGCGACAACGATTGCGCATCGCTGGAGACGGACGTTTGTGATGGCTGAAAAAATTAGCACCGATCATTAGCTTGGTAGCGCGCAAACGGGTGTGAAGTCCGAAAAAAAAATTGGTGCGAATAACGCGAATGCGATCGCGAGCGCTGAGGTGACCGCAAAGTGACCGAGACTAAATCATCCACTAAGTAACTAATGAAAACATCTAAACACAATAAAAATTAGTTGAAATATATAAATAATAAGAAAAGGATAAAATATACAAAACTAATAATAATAGTAATTGGCTTATACAAGTGCAAAAAAGTGTTGTGAGTGTGTGGGAAATGGAAAAGATAAAAAATCACATGAAATAAGGATAGAAAAATCTAACTGCTGATCGATAAAGAGAATATAGTTACATAACATCTAATTTCAACTACAACGATAACTTTTGAAGAAAAATTTAACAAAGAAATTCAAGCTGAGTTATTTTGGTGAGTCAATAAAGACCCTGAGCTTAAAATGTCTCTGGAAAAATACCTACAACAATGATTTTAATAAGTTTATATGACAAAGTTCGGTCAGGTAAGTACCCCTTTTTTTGGGGCCACAAAAGCCGAGTGGTTAGCATGGCGTACTAACATTCAGGCGGCCAGGTTTCGAGTCCTGGTCCCAATACCGTCCAGTTTGTCATACCCTCCGAGTGCATTTCGGAAATCAAGAAAACACTCCTTATGAAGCCCAAGAACCGTTCGAAAACGGCTCAGAATAAATTACAGAATCCCGCTGTTTTGGAAGATATGCAACACGTTCAAACCGAATTAAAGATGAAGCTCAACCGGAAACCAGTCGAATCATTATTGGCCATTATAATAATTTGTGGCTGTGGAAATATGTTTTGGACTTGCAGCTGTGTTGGAAACACATCCTCATTCATTATATTGTAGCACATGTGTTCAGTCGGAAGCCCTCATTAATGGAAAGTTGTAAGCAGTTTGTATTACCTCAGACCCTGCAATCTGATATATTCTATTCTTTAATATTTGAAGCTAGTAAAGAGGGCAAATTTCTTGTGAAATGGGAAAGAGTATAGAGAATATATTTTATCTCAAAATATATATATTTATAGATATGAATCGCTAATACTGTCCTTTCCCACCACTCGTTGTTCTATGCCTCAGGACCCATTTAGTCTTAGATATACTCGTAGTTGGGTTTCTTCTAGATACAAAACTTAATCATATAGTTTCCGCAGACCAAAAGGTTCAACGTGGGAGCAACTAGTTAATTTTCAGGTCTTCCATTCTCAAATTTGTGCGTCAGTGATAAAAAATTATGTGGATTGAAGTGTTGGATTAACTAAACCTTTAGCTGTAAAGATCGACACAAATACAGTACATTTCATAGAACAAATTAGACCTGAATCGACTTGTATTGATCCCTCGATCGGAAATCCCTCAATCGAAAATCCCTCGAGCGATTACTTCATCTTTGGGCAAATAAAATGAAATTCATGAAACCAAAATGACAGCAGGTGCTTGTCTATTTCCTGAATTTCACACGGAAATTAGTAAAGACGTATAAAAAATCGTCGATTTGTCGTAGACACAAAGTAAATACATATGTTAAATGACAGTAAATGGAATAGTATGACAATTTAATAAGCCGATGCTAAACAAGTGTGTAAAACAAGCATTGGAGGATCAACAAACACATAACATATGAAGTAGTCAATAAAATAAGCAGAAGCCAAAAAAGAAAAGAATGAGAAATGAAAAGATAACAAAAATTATAACACGTTAATAAAAAGTGCGAGATGTCGTAGAAGAAATGCCAAGTTCACATTTCGCTTTATACGGTCATTGAGTCAGCCAGTGGGGCCGTCAAAGCAGTAATTACGACCAATGTGAAAATTATCCTATTAAATATTGATGGCGAAAAGCGTACGTGCGTACGTGTTTTTGTGTATAGGTTTTTGTTATAATAATAAACATCAACGCCGAAAGAGTCGCCAAAAAGCATAATTGTATAATAAATGAAGGGTTGTGCTCGCACCTTGGCGTAAGTGTTGCCAGTGGAAAGGGAGAGGAGTCTACTGTTATACGCGCTCCAATACTATTAACCACAAAGACAGAGTAAACGCGCGCGCGTACATACTTGACAAATGGATACTAATTAATTGCAGTTTGTACAAAGTTTTAGTAACTTCCAGTAAGGGGCTGGACTGAGTTGGTCACCAACGAGTTCATTGACTATGAAGAGTGCGTCCGGCAATTAACTCGAATCGAAATGAACTCGAAAACTTATTTCCAAAATACTACGTACTATTTGATTTGTATATAAAATTAGCTAGTTATTATTTTGTTGCAGGCGCTTCCCCGCCCAACCCGCCATGCTGGCAGTGAGTGAGGAACGATTCAATTATTTTTATTTTTACTTTTCATTCATTTCAAGCAAGAATAATAACGCTACTGGTGACAATTTTGGCATGCTGGTGTTAAACTCCTTTTTAACACTCACACAAGTACCCACACAAGTACACACGCACAGCATTTAAAGTGGCAAGGCCCGGGGTATGTGCGCTATGTCTTCACTGGCTTCCGAGGAGGCGTGTTTTTGTAACTTAATAGCTAATTGAAGATTTCGGTTTCGATAGTCACACACGCACACATTTTGAGGTTTGTTCTTATCTTATGATTAACAGATGGTTCTCTGTACGCGGCGGAAGCATTTCACCGGTAGTGTAATGCCCCCTCCACGTATGTTATACATACATACATGCATATTCTTTTATAATCGCTTATGAAAGTGTGAAATTTGACAATTTCATTTAATTCACAAGCCAACAGTAATAACTACTAAATACATACGAAAATATCGCAGCACGTGAAATAACAAAATCCTGACTGATAAGCTGATAATCATAACAATGATAAGGGCAAACAATTGACAAATGATGAATGAATTGTTACATAAATATGTATGTAATTATTCATAGATATAAAGAGAGCGTACATATATTTTGCCCATTAAAGCATTAAAAAACAATTTTGCAATATTTAATAGGATTTTTTTAATAACACCAATTTCTTTCATTATTTTATATATTGATAGATCATTATTCCGTAAATGAAATTTGTCAATTAAATAAATAAAAAACAACTGTGTAAAGAAAATTTATTGACAATTAATAAAATAAGATTTTCCGCCTTTTGCCTTTCTCAATAATCCCTGTCTCAGCACCATTGCTCGATCTGCTTGCCTTTTTAGTGCGAAGTGTTTCTTAGGCTATGTGAGGAGTACTGTAATTTTTGGAAGTTTTGAGAATAAGAAGAAGATTCGAAAAATTTAATAGCTTACATCCGCTGCGATGTTACTGGGATGCCAATTATTATGGGTGTTTTGATGAAAATTTAATGCAAAACTTGAAATTTTTAAATTAATTACATTTAATTGAATTAAAAGGTGCTAATAGATTTATCCAAATTCAACGCATTGAAATGAGATTTTTGTTTGAAAATAATTGCACACGTGCTGCACGACATTAAAAAAACATGACTCTTCGGCCTTATTATTTTTATTAAAAAAATTTAAAAATTTCTACATATATTATATTTGACGATGAGATTGACGTTGTCGAACGTAAAACTACGGAAAAGTAACGAAAACAGAAAATAAATAAAATATCATAAAAGAAAATAAATTAAAATAAATTAAAATAAGATAAAATTAAGTAAAGTAAAATAAAACGAAATAAAATAAATAAATTAAAATGAAGGTATGGAATTAAATTTTCGCATACTAGCAAATCATATTTACATAAATCCATAAGCCATTAATGTGTGAGGAAATTTTTAACGAAATCAGTTCAATTTCGTGTTTAATGAACAATGATTCAAATCAATCAAATCCGTCCATTTGTGCAACTCTGACTTTGACTTGCTTTCAGTGATATTGAGCAAATGGAAAAAATGCTTTCAGCCATTTTGTACGGCACGTTTATTTGTGAACGCACATACATTCAAGCAGGCTGATATATGTAATATACGTGTATAGTTTTTTGGGTTTGTTAATATATTTCTGTATTTTTTATGTAAATATTGTTTTTTAAATTGTTCAAATGAGTTTTACGTGGCGCAGTGAGCGGGTGAGGGACAGCGTGTTGTGAGGCATTCAAAACGGAGTAAGAAAAAGTTTTAAAAGTTTCATTAAGTAAATAAATAGAAGTAACGAGTAACTTGAGATCATGATGTATATGTACATACACATCGGCATGCATTTAGAAATATATATGGCTGCGGGCAGAGCCAGTCAACAGCGGCAACAATATGGCGGCCATCGAAGCAATTCGAAGTCGTACTCCATTGTTGCTTGTTTGTTTGCCGACTGATGGTTTGTTTATTTTATTTTTCTTTATTTTCCTAGTTATTTTTTTATATATATGTATTTGTCTCTTTTTGTATTCTTCTTTTATTATTTTGTGCCTATTTTGAACATTATAAGCAAACATTTGCATTAGCCTTGTTGTCAGGCTCGACCAGGCATGTGTACTACATACGAGTACATGAATACGAGTGTGTGTATGGGAATGGGTTTGCTTGCTTGGTAAATAGACAACTTGCTTGTATTTTTAATGTTCAAAGTAATTTGTAATTCTTGTTTAAAAAATTTGTAGAAGGCGACAAAATATGAAGTTTATTTGCTTACTGGAAATATCGAGTTGGAAATGAAAAAAAAACCCAAGAGCATTTATTGGTAAACGAAAATATTGAAAGCTTCAATAAAATCCCATCTCGTAAAGTTCTATTCTAACAGTTGAATTTCTATTAATTCTTTTGTTAACATGACTTCTAATATATATTTCTTATTTTTTTTTAAGTTTATTTATTGCTATTTGTGTGACATAACTTGTGTTCAGTAATTGAACTCTTGATCTTTCCACTTCATTTCTTTAATTAAATTAAAATCCATAAAATTACAGAATGATTTTACAATTGCTGTATTAACACACTTTTTTTGCTCTTTGTGCATAAAAAATGTTTTATGACACTATCACATAAACCACACAAACCTGCAAGCGATTCCTTAGCCGCCCGAAAGTTTTACTTCATTAAAAGAGAGAAGAAGACAGTAAAAACCGAAAGCGGCAAAAATTAAGTTATAAAACGTCAAATTAATTAGAAGAAATATAGACAAGACAGTGGCATGCGCAGACAAAAGCGTGACAAGTTTGTCGCTTAAGTCTTTTGTTTGAACTTCTTTTGTCACTCTCCATATCCGATCGCCGTCCATATGCGCTTGGAACTGCGTATTTCCGCTTGAATCTCTACTATTCAAGCTCAAACTAGTTACAAATATAAAGTCAAAAGATACGATTTCTTTTGACGGGCGATACTGTCCCATTCGGATGCCAACAATTTTGATCGGATCAAAAAAAAAAAAAAATAAAACAAAATAATATTTTCATTTATTGTTTTAACAGCATGCGAAGCCCCAGAAAATAACTACACTAAGTGCACCTTCTTCTTGAAGTCTGCTTATGCACTGGCTTAGCTGCAGTTTGGCTCGAAAATATCTAATCAATCAAAATCAATAGAAATTCGAAATAAAGTTATAAAAGATGCGGGAAGTGGTGTAATAAATTTGAAGAAAATTTGAACAGTCTGAATACTGGGGAGTAGAAGCTTGCAATTACACATGTATGTATTGATATACACATATAGATGAATTTGTATGTATTGCGCCATAAAATCAAGCATGAAGTGACCATTAACCAACAAAGTTCGAAAAAAATATAACATTAGCAACTGCAACAACAAGAACAACAACAACAACAAAAGCCACAACAAGAGGGAGCAAGAGCATAACAATAAAATGTCGGCAAAGCACCAATTTCGACGACCATAAAAATAAACAAAACTATTAATACATTTTGTTAATTTATGACAGTCTGGGCAGTTCCTCGTCGACGCTCTTCTGTCTTCGAAAGAAATGCCATAATAGAGTGAGCTGTGTTGCTTTTGTTGTTATTAAGAATACAGAAAAAGATTTAGACATCAGATTGGCATGCAGGGCTATATATCACAACAAACAACGCACAACAGGCACCATGAACAAAATGAAAACAAAAATATTGGGAAAATTTTAGTGAAATGCAAATAAAAATAACTTTATACTGCAACTGCAGCACCATCGCCAACGCCTACATACATTGCAATGGTTGCACTCATATGTTGTAACACACACACACACACACATAGATAGATACTCGTAGTATATGAAATACAAGTCCTACGATCCTTCTTACGTTGACGTCATAAATAAACATCCGAAATGGTGTTTGATTGATTGTATTATGAGAACTCTGCATCGTTGTTGTTGTTGTTGTTAAATTATAAGTGCCCCTTTTTATAACGTGCCATCTGAGTGGCTATTCAACGCGCTGCACCATCGTCATGCATGCTCTGGCCGTCGGCAAGTCGCAATCTACCTTATTCAACAGATATTCTCATCTGCTGCTTGCCCTTCTTCATCTGAGATGCTCGAAAGCTTGAAGAGCCAAATGCATGCAATAAAATTCAAAAAGCCGACAAACGTTATCGGCTGAATACAAAGGTACACGTATGTATTTCAGTCTACATACCTATATACACACACAGCCGCAGTTGTAATTTTATGGTAAAACAAAATCTTCATGGGATTAACTGAATGAATCGTTCTGTAATGAAGTCATCTGTGGTGTTATATGGCTCTATTGAAAAAAATTAATAACAATTCAAAAATGAAAACAAAGATGGTATCAATCACATTTAATTTTCCTATATTCAAGTTCAAATTATTATGAAACCCGTTTTCTTCTATTTTTGTGTTTTCCTATCAATCTTCCACCAAAAGTGTTGCCTCAAGCACTGAAGCGAGTTTTAGTCGAACTCCTCCCCATATTTCGATTGAGCCTCCCCACAAGCCTCCGTTGAGCTGATAGTTTTTTTTAGAAGCCTTGTATGTGATCTCAGAAATACACTTGTTGGCCAATCAAACTGCCAATCAAACTGCCATGCCTTTAATTTTCTATTATGTAACAGCTGTTGATATGGAATTAAAGCTAAACGATTGTAGATTGCGACACTCGTAGTGGTTCGGTGGAGCATCAACATAGCGCAGCACTCGTTTCCTCCTTTTAACGTATTTTTCTGTGGATATTTAATGCCCATAGAGCATTCTCGGTAGGGCCTGGGATGTTGAGGAGACAATACTTGGGACGCGAGGTGATACATGCGGCCAAATATTAAGAGGTTCGATTTTCGATCACTTCTTACGTAGCTAGACAACAAGTTTACGCATTATTTTAAACCAATTTTCTATTGAAGAAATCGCCACTGAATTTAAAGTTACGACGAGTTGGAAATTCCTTGGTTATTAAAGAATCTCTCTAAATTGAGTCGAGCTCAAGCTTGGATCCAGTTAATTTGTGAGATTGGTTAGCTGAGCGATTGTTTCAAAAATAAGTGATCCCGAAGGCATCTGAATCACTTTGTATAAGACTTCACTGCCATTTATTTTGCTGCTGGATAAAGAGCATCGCAATTGAGATCTAACTTTTATATTCTCTGCTTACTTATTTTAACAATTTCTGTTGTTCTGTTGTTTTCCTTCACACAGCTGATATGACTACCTCTCATATTCTATCTGCCGTTGATCCCGTCGGCATGAACAGCACGTCAAATCACAATACCAACAACAACATCAGTAATATGAACAATGGTGGTGACAATACAAGTGTCGTTGGTGCACATCATAATGCCGGCAGCAGCAATAACAGCAGTAACAACGGCGTCACACACTCCCCACAACACACCCACCATAGCATGGCGACGAGCGTTAGCGGTGGCAACGGCATTAATGCTGGCATTCGTAGCAATATGCAACACCTCGGAGGATCTCTAATGACAAATCGCAGTCCCGGCATGGAGAGAAATCCGCATGTCAGTCTCGATGATCGCGAACTCTGGCTGCGCTTTCAGAATCTCACCAACGAAATGATCGTCACTAAAAATGGCCGGTAAGTGGGAAAAGTGGGGAAAGTGAGGTGGGTTCAGATAAGTTTATTTGACTCGAAAGAGTTATATACTTATATATGTGAATATGTATATATGTATATGTATATGTATATGTATATGTATATGTATATGTATATATATGTATGGAGCGTGCCTGCTGCTTGGGCTAAGCGTTAATTGGCAATGAGTTCTATATTATAGTTTCATCGTAATTCCATTACATTTTTGTTTACAACATTTTCTTGTTTGGATATGAAAAATAACTTTTACGAGGCTCCTAATTAATATCTAACGTTTTGCACGAGGTGCGATATTGTTTCGAATACACTTTTACAAATAGAAGCTTTAAAAATAAATCTAGTTTAATTAATTGATGAAATGTGGGAAGTGAGGTGAGTCGCAAAATAAACCAGCTGGAAAATCTTTGTTTGAATAATAAAACATAAGGGTGAGCTGAAAGCCTTGGGTAATTTCCAAACTGCTGAAATGGATATTTGGCTTTAATCCATTAAATGATCTAAGATACTTTTGCCTGAAATATTATGCGTTTACTTTTTGAGGAATAAAGGATTTAGCAATTTTTCGTGAAACAGCTCTCTATGGCCTACAGTGTACAGACCCAAAATAATATTCACCTTAGTATATACAAAGATCTTCATATTCACTTAATCAATATTCTCTTTGATTTAGGCGCATGTTTCCGGTAGTAAAGATCAGCACTTCGGGCTTGGATCCAGATGCTATGTATTCGGTACTGTTGGAGTTCGTTCAAGTAGATACACACCGTTGGAAGTATGTGAACGGCGAATGGGTGAGTAGAGCTTTTTCAAATACACCGTAATGTTAGTTCATAATTTACGCAGTCTCATGCGGATTCTCCTCAGGTACCCGGCGGTAAGGCAGAAGTACCGCCCGCCAACCCAATCTACATGCATCCCGAGTCGCCGAACTTTGGTGCGCACTGGATGAAAGAGCCGATTTCATTTGCGAAGGTCAAGTTAACCAACAAGACCAATGGCAATGGTCAGATTATGCTCAACTCATTGCACAAGTATGAGCCGCGTGTGCATTTGGTGTCCGTGGATCGGGAACAGCGCCAAGTTGTCACCTATACGTTTCCGGAAACACAATTCATTGCAGTAACGGCTTATCAAAATGAGGAAGTCACTTCGCTGAAAATCAAATACAATCCATTTGCAAAGGCCTTTTTAGATGCCAAGGTGAGTAAATAAAAGGATAGTTGCTAATAATATCCTAACAAAAACACCTACTCTTGCACAAAGGAGCGTCCTGATACATTGTATTCACACGAGGCACCCTACGGCTGGCTTATATCACCACCAACTCATTATACAAGTGTCGCGCAGCCACCACCACCGCCAGCCAGTTTGGCTGTCTCCAATTCGCCGTTGGGCATATCCTGTGATCGCTACGGCCGTGCGCTCAGCAGCCGTGTTATGCCCACACATAGTGCACACGCATCGCCTTACGCCAGACCGCGGCAGGTATCGAACATGCCTGGCTCTAGTTCGCCAGCGCCTGGGGTTGGCGGAAGTAGTGTGATGAATGGTAGCTCCGGCAGCGCTTCCCCACCACAACAGCCACCATCAGCGCCACACACGCCTACTAGTTTAAAATCAACACACAGCAACTTGAGCGTGGGCCCTGCAAGCAATGTTGGCCAGCTGTGTAGTACGGCTAATGCGGTTAGCCCGTTTTCAGGATTTTCCAGTTCCTATTCGCAGTCGAGCTTTATGCCGGTGGAGCCAAGTTCCTCAATGTTTTCTTATGCTGGTAGTTGGCAGAGCAATGGCAGTTATTGGGGGGCGCCGGCTGCGGTTCCGTCCGTACCACCGACGGCAGTGCCTGTGAATGTCAGCCAGAGTAGTAACAGTGGCAGTGCCAGTGCAGGCCGTTCGATTTGTGAGTGCAAAGACATAGTAAATACGTAGAGTAGGAGTTACTTACCAGTTTGATTGCTCTCTTTTTTCAGCTGCCCACGAATCGCCATCACCAACGAACGTGGGCTCGCCCACCTACACTAGCCCCTCCCCAGGCTATACCATACACCATCTCACGCCACATCCCTCGCACCAGTATAATGTTGCGCAGACCGCCGCGGCTGCTGTGCATGCTGCGGACATGTATCCAAATGCAGCGCCTTCGCAATCCTACGCGGCTCCACCGACGCATCAAGTATATCATCCCACGCCCACATCCCCATCACATCAATTGTATACCAATGTTTTGAATGCTCCAACGGCTCTGAGTTATCCCGGAGGCTCATGGCATAACGGAGGCGGCGCAGAGTATGGCTTATATCAGAATGCGGCTTACGGTTATCAGCCGGAGTATATACCGTTAGTGCCGGATCTGGGGTAGGTCCGCAGACCAATTCATACAAATTTAAGTTCTTTATAAAGTTTTGAATTTTACGGTTTGAATACAGTTTGTAGCGGAAATTTTTAATCTCAGAGAATGATTTAAACAAACCATAAAATTCAAAACTGCCAAACTTTACTCTTCCGATTTTTTGACTAATTTTATTGAATGTAGTTTTTATTGATATCCTCCTCCCGCCTAAATTCCGAAAACCTCATATCCTCTCACAACGCCACTTTCTCTTATGCACCAACAGTTATACCACACATCCGCTGGAGCCGGTTGAAGTCACAAAATCATACGAAGATCCTCAAGCCGGCATCTATAAGTCACCTCAACAACAAGTTGCTGGCCAAGGCGGCGAGGATGACGGTGGTAGGTCAGTGCTTACATTGGAGTGCAACAATTCGAAGGTGGACTCACCCTCTGTTGCTGTGAAATTGGAGACTCTCGATAGCGTGGTCACATCGAGTCATGAGCGTGGGTCTGTAGTTGCAAATGCTGCGGCCACCGCAGTTCTAGCGCCCAGCCCGCATACGCCAAGCGGCACTTGGACTCCGCTCACTCCACCACAGAGTGCGTTGCAGTAGACGAGGGGGGGGGGGGGCAGAGAAAGATTGGAATGAGGATGTGAAGCCATCAGACCCCAATTTGTTCAAAGTTTTACGTATTAAAATATATTTAGAAGACTATGTAAAAGAATCAGAGGACTAAATACTTAATCAATTTATGCTTCTTTTTTAGCTTAGTAACCGATTATTATCTATGTAAATGTACTTATGTTATATAATATTATATTAGTTGATATGTGTGTGTATTTGAATAGATATATTGATTTAAAGCGCATATAGGTTGTATTTGTTGTCCATAGATATGCAATAAAAAGTAAAAAAAAAATTAGTATGGTGCTTATTCTATTACTTCTCCTCGAGGCATTGAAACTTGGAAATATCACGGGAAATGAGAGGAGCTTAGTAGCCGAGTGGTGTCAACATCTCTACGACGGTATTTCTGACATGAAACAAAAAGTTCCTTATAAAAATCCATCGTCCGTTCAGAGGCGGCTTAGAATAAACTGTTGGTCCTTCATTCAATTCACAATCTGGAATAAGAGCTCGGTTGAAAATCGCTTCAGTGGGTAAAAAGCGCCTGTTATATACATACATATATAATATTAGGGACTTTACACTGGATAACAGTGCTCAGTGAGCTAGGCACATTGCTGATATTTAGGTGGAATATTGAAATGAATTGTAAAAATACGGCTCACAAATAAAAAGCTCTCGAAAAAGCTTTAAGCGAAGCGAGCTTACTAACAATGTTACCACCCACTTTCAGGCTTACCGCCGCAAGAGAAACACACAAGAATAAAGTACTAAATGATTTTCATGTAATTTCGTTTATTAGCATTTATTAAACAATAGAAAACACTGTATATCATTAATATACGTATGTTCATAATACCTACAAAAATCTTTTTCTAATTTCCTAATTGATTTATACATACATACATACAATACATACCGATGTATAGTATGTCAAGTAAATTTTCTATGTTCAGCGATCTTTGGTGTGTAGCTCATCGTGTGGTTCGTATATGTATGCATATATGGCATATATGGCTGTATTTATATAATTTTATAATAATAAAATTTATGGACGATACATTTTGTATGAGTAAATATGTACGTATATACTACATAAAGCAGGAGCTCACTCAGAAGTCTCAGAATATCTTGTCTTTTTAAGTTTTTTTTTTTTACATATAATATGTTACATATATATACTATATTATATATAATATGATATTATTATTTTACATACTAAGTTATCATTTATTTTCATTAGTTTAGCGTATTTAATAAAAACATATACAGCTATGTTTTCTTTTTACCCTCAGCTCGCTAATTACGTATGTGTTTAAAGATAAGCATGAATCGAATAAAATTATAATTTTTTTTTTCACTTAAAACTAGGAACCATTTATTTTGTAAATACTAAACAAATATCAAGAGATAAGCACATGTGTATGTATGTATATAGGACTCTGCACTTATATTGATTGATAAAATGTGTTATTCTTTTTCATTTTTTGCCAACCGTTACGCTGCCTCTTTAACTGTCTTAAACTATTCGGTAGTCCATAGAAAAAGTATATTGACAAGCCTGTGAAAGGGGGTTAAAGAAATGTGTACAAACATATATGTATGTATATGCCATTATTGAAATGATGCAGTGTGTAATGTAAAAATGTGTTAGTAATAACAGGTTTTGAGACAAACAAAAAGTACAAGCAAAGTACAAGAAGATGCAAGAAGATACAAGAAGATCTCAGCGTAATTAACAAAGAGGAGAACCTTTCACAAAGTATTTCTACCTGGACTAAGCGCGCATACTCGAGCTGAAAGCTATGCAAAAGCTTAAACTTACAGTTAGTATAGGATCACTTTAAATAACGATATTTTAAAAGATAATTAATTTTATATATTAATTTGTATTTTGTATTAGTTTTTGATTTGGACAATATCATGCATTTGTAAACACAAAATAAGGACACATTAAAGTGCTACCCTGAAATTTTTATTGAAATTGCATGCATTTGTTGCGTTAACTGAAAAATCTCACTACCGATCAAAAGTACTTAAACGTGTTAGTTCATGCAAGGGTTTTAACGGTTCCAAAAACAAAAAGCTTGTGAATGTTATGAGCTTTTAGAAGCACCATTAGTAATAGGCAATAATAGTTTGAAATAAAAGTGATTATGTTTGGTTGTTTATCTACATTTACAGTTCTAATGTGGTCAAAACTATATTATAAACTACCGATTTGCTGTGTACCTATAATAATAACAAATTGTGAGGTTTTTGGGCTTTGAGCCATTTACTTGAGCTTTACATAATAAATATTTCTAATATATATGATTTCCTTAATAAATTCCAACAATAAATATCTTTAACAACTACAATACTAAAACGCGGTATATCCCGTTATACGGAGAGACAAACAATATCGCGAATATCCCCAGAATCTTTGCTAAGCCACACCATCTGCTACCCATACAGCTCGACAGCACCGTTTGGCACATGTTTCAGCAAGCTTCGCGCATTGGTAATCAAAGTCGCGTCATTTGTCGGTTTTCCAGCGATATTACCTTTGCCCGCAATGCCATTTAGTTCGGGCCTGAGAGCTGTTTCTATTTCTAGTTCTTCCTTTGCGGTTTCCTTACTGGCTATTGGCTCCACCGACTTGGGCCGTCGTACGGCCACTGGTTTTGGCCGCTGTTGTGTGCGATGTGAGGGACCACGTTTTAACACTGCTTCCAATTTCAGTTTGAAGGGCAACACTGGTTCCTCATTGGGCTTGTCGACTTTTGGCGTTACGATTGGCTTCAGTAGGGGCGGTGGATTGTCGTGGCTATCCATTAGACGCTGTAGACTGGGACGTTCCTTATTTGAGCGCAGATTATTAATTGTTTTATAGAGTATTGGGTCGAATTTCGGCGGTTTTGGTATCAGGTCGCTTTCTGCTGTGGGCTGGGATGCTTTGGTGTCTAAGTTGGCTAAACCTGTATTTTCGATCGCTCTAAGTACAAGCTGACGTACGTCTGTCTCACTTTTTGAATGCTTGAGCTGTGGTCGGGGCGAGGAAGTGTCTGATATTGTCTGTGTTGTTGGCACAGGTTCCTTTACTGCTTTGAGTGTGGAAGCTTGCATTGGTGGCAACATAAGTATTTGACTCAGTTTGTTTTTAAATTTATCTGAATGTATGGGATCTGCTATGGAGAGCAGAGAAGCTTCTGAGCCTTTTCGCGCGAGTCCAGGCGACTCATCTGTTTCTAATGCCTTGTCTCCCTCAGCGTTGCCGGCCAAAGTCAGATTATTTTGCAATTCATTATTTACCATTTCCGCACTTACGTCCGAAAATTGTGGATTAATGGCTTCATTCAGTGGTTTGTGATGCTGTAGAGCTTCCATAAGCTCAGCACTATTCAGTATATCGTCGACTAATTGTTTCGCCGCCAGTTGGCTTGCGGTGAATCTTTCCGTACCACTACTAAGACTACTGCTGCTCGAACCCTTAATGCTTTCCACCTCTGGTACGGCCTCTAGATCATCGGATGAGTTGCTGCTGGTGTGTACCGTCGCTATTGTATTCATCTCTATCACACTTGGCAACATTTCTGAGTCTACGCTGAATTTTCGATAATCGGGCATATTGGATGTTATTGTGGTACCCACATCGGCAGCCTGCAGGACGTCGTCTAGCATTGCTATGACGGACTTCTCGTCCTCGCGCGTACCATCCTTCTCTGTATCTAATTTATCTAAAGAATTCTTTGACGTGTGACTACGATTGTCTTCAATGTAGAAAACTTTGCCATTCGGATGCCTCATCTCGATCAGATCATCACTGACTTCATTCATATTCATTATCTCATCTAAGCTCTTGACTGAGTGCTCATTCTGAGAGCTCAGGGTGGTGCCATTCGCAACGCCATTTGCGCTTTTGGATTTCTTTAGAACACCGTTAGATCTAATATCCTTGGTGAAATGACCATTGGTCGTCTTATCGCAACGCACACTCTCCTTCAAGCCGCGCTCAAAAGCTATCCGCTCGGGATTACGTTTCGTTGGATCGCTTACTCCATACATGCACCAACATGCAATATAGACGGGAATACCTGCGGAGGAGTTTAGTGGTGTGATGTGGTTGGGGAGGTAAGGGATAAATAGTATCAATCAACGGTTAGTACACTACTTACACTAAAGAGCATTCAAAAAAATACAATAAATACTACAAAAAGTTTGGGTTTTTGAAGCCCCACAAAGGGGAGGTTTCCAATTACTAAGCTATAACAATACCGGGCTTATGAGGCATGCAACATGGATTCAGAGATATGCTTACCAATCGCCATCCACACGCCGAAACGCACCCAAGTCATTGCGTCTAGTTGTAACATAAGGTAGATATTGATGAATACACTCACAGCAGGCAGAAGGGGCACCAAGGGGACGCGAAAAGTTTTAATTATTGGCTCGCGTGGTTGCATACAAATCGCGACGAGAACTAGCAGCGAAAGTAAGATTAAGATAGGCAGTAGAATTAGAGCCCACAATTGGTTTTGAAGTAGGGCATCGTAAGCTTCGTTGAGTATTACGCCAATACCTAAGGAGAGAAGACCTGAGGACCGATAATTTTATCATTAGTTAACTCTTTTCGATTGTAAAAAAATAGAAGCATACAAAAGACAACGATTAAAGTGCCAACAATCCGAGTTGAGAGGGAAGTGGGCGTGTCTATTCGTTTAATGTTGAATAGCTGAAAGAGGACAGCTTTGACGGTGATACGTGTGCCTGATGAGGTGAGCATGGAGTTTTCAGTTAGCGGTTGAGTGCCGCTTTCACAATCTGAGCCTTCGGTTGACTCCATGTACCTGAAATTAAAAAGAAAAAGACGTAAGAAAACTGTCTGCCGCCACATCACGGTGTAAATACCTGAGTATGGCAATGGAGATGGCGACCACACTATACGCTAACAAAGTGCCAATAGACAAAAGACTAACCAATTGCTGGAGATCGAATAAGCCGGCCATTAGAGCTGTGGTAAAGGCAATTAGATATTGGTATCAAATATTTAGCGGTATTATGGGTAATACTTACACGTGAATAAAGCGGCAAAGATGGAGCCACCTACCGGCACACGAAAGCGTGGACTAATCTTCCCCAAAAAGGGAAACAGCAAGCCGTCCTCTGCCATTGAGTACATGACACGCGGCAGGGGGAAGAGTGCGCCAAATAAACTGGCCAACAAACCGACCAGGCCACCAATAGCCACCACCCACATAGCAAACGTCCAACCCACCTGTTTAAAGGCGAATGGCAATGGCGCATTTGGATCTTGCTCATAGTAAGGCACCATAAGTGTGAGCACTGTCGACACACCAAAATAGCAAAGAAAGATGATTAAAAGTGACAGCAGGATGGAACGCGGTATGTTGCGACGCGGATTGCGCACCTCTTCGCCCGTTGTGGCGATGCAATCGAAACCTACAAAGCCAAAGAAGCAAGTGGCAGCGCCTTTGAGCGTGCCGGCAAAGCCGAATGGAAAGAAACCGCCTGCGCCGATGTCATTAACGCTCGTGATGGTCGTGTTGACGGTGTGAGGATCAATGGACCAGTTGGAAAAGTTGGCTAAATAAAATTAATAGGAGACAAATAAAAAATATTCTTTTCCTTCATCCTTAGCAATAACCAACCTTTAATTGCGCCCGCTATGATAACAAACGACAATATGAAAATATTCAAACTCGTGCAGAAATTGTTTGCCAAAGCCGAAGTCTCCACGCCAAAAGCCAAAGCAACTACAAAGAAATGAACATTAGACCTATAGGAATACAAAAATCACTCAAAATACTCACCTCCAAACACGATGACTAAGCCGAAGGCAAAGAAGTCGAAGTAGCTACCGAGAAAACTAACATTCATCGGCGCGATCTCGGCGAAGGTGTGCTTAAGCGTATCGTTTATCAACGTATCCAAATAGAGACTGATGCCTCGACAGACACTCGCCGTGCCGATTATATATTCTAACATCAAATTCCAGCCTATTACAAATGCGGCAAATTCGCCGATACAGACATAACTATAGACATAAGCCGAACCTGCTTTGGGCACACGTGCGCCAAATTCAGCATAGCAGACTCCTACGCAGCACAGTCAGTAAAGGGAAAAAATATTTGAATGTAAATTCATAAGTATGCATATGAGAACATTTAAGTCTTACCGGCTAGTAGGGAGGCGAGCGCGGCAATCGCGAAGGATAATATCACAGATGGGCCCGCCTGATCGCGTGCTATTTGCCCTGCGAGCACATAAACACCAGCACCCAGAGTCGAGCCCACGCCTAAAGCGGTCAGATCAAATAAGCCAAGGACACGATTGAGCTTCGTGTCGCCTTCTATACCATCGTTGGGTAGCACTTTCCGACGTGTGAGAACCTTCCAATATGTCGGTTGTGCTGTCATGCTGCTGTTGTTATTGTTTGACGTCAACCAGAGCTGAGTTTTAATATGACTTAATAGAGTTTGATGACGTCTGTAAGGAAGAGCAATTAAATATAATATAATAAATATATGGGTTCTTAGTTAAAAATAAAGATCCGTTTAAAAAACTAGTTTAGTGGACTATGTTTCTGGTTCATCGTTTTGTTATCAGCAACTGTCGCCTTATATTATTCTGCGCTGTTTGGAGACAGTGTCTTCTGATAAGAATGTCGTACACAATTGAAATTCAGTGAGTTTGTTGGAAAATCGGATAGGAACGTATACACCAGTATTTAAAAATGTGATGGTATTAGCGAAGAGAAGAGGAGAGAAAAACAGAATAATTTTAAATATCTCCACATGTTTTTTAAATGGAGAAAAATGCATTGATATTTTATGAGAAAAGCGGACATCTTAACTCTTTGTGGTTTGGGCTAAAAAGGCGAGAAACAAAGTAAAATCGGTCTGTATCTGGATGCGACGATTTTGTGAGTGATTCTTAAATGAAGCTTTTCAACATAAATATCAGTCAGACCGACCGAAGTCACGAGTAGCGAATGACCGATGCGACGGACATGTCATAAAGGGTAAGGTAATTGAAATTCTTAACAGTATTTTGGAAGTAATGAGGCGTAGGAATTTTTCTTATGCCATAAATGGGCGACCTCCTTATATGCCGTGCGAAGTATAAAGAGTAAAATTAAAAATATATAATAAAAGAAGCAATTAAGGCCTAAGAGTAAATATTCCTTTGAGACAAGTTATATATTTTTTGTTCAAAATGAATAGCAATCAACAATGCAGTAAACTAATAAAGAAATTGTAAATAATTTTTTATTATATTTTTATTACATATACAAATTTCATTATTTGCATTGTTTGCAACAAAATATTTGAGTTTATATGCAAGTAAATATGATTTGTTTTTACAATTATTAAATATTTGTGGTAAAATTATATTTAAAAAATATTAGCATATCTGCAGCGTAAGGCGCTTCAAAATTGTAATTTTTTAACTACACTTCATTGCTTAAATTCACATATATTGAAGCAAATCTTATATAAGAAATTGAGTGCTTCATGGTTTGATGAATGCAGCATAAATAATAAATTTATAAATATAATTGTTGATTGTGATTATCATTCTTTAATGTAGGTCAGTGAAGAGGACACTTTTTATTGGAAAATATCAATAAGCGAGTAGAAAAACAAAATGCCCGGATAAGAACTTCGTTTAGTAAGAAGAGAGGAAGCAAGAAAAGAATAATTAGCAGTAAAAATTCGTTTCAAAATGGGTAAAAATTAATGTTCATGCCAATCAATTGAACAGAACTTAAAGAATTTAGTTTGCTAATCATTTGGACAGCTTATTCCAGAGATTTAAAAATTGACGGTTGATGAACCATAAAGGAGCAATAGAGGAGCTGTTTGTAAAGCAGCAGACGTAAAAATCATTCTCAAAATCACATGTGGCACTCCACAAGGAGGAATGCTGCCTCCAAATGATTACAGCGGAGAACTCAAAATACTACCTATGTGGATGATTTTGTCTACCAAGTATACCGGTGTAGTCCTTGATGAAAAACTGGCTACAGAGAATATGTTGAAAGCAGATCCATAAAACGCAGAGCAGCTATAGTGCCGAAATGCGGGCTACGGGCCTTTATGGTGCATAGGCTTTACACAAGTGTCGTAAGGGCCATACAAACACATGGATCACCAATATGGCGACGGACGGATGTCACCTGTTCCTCAGTAGGTAACGGAAGTGCGGGCTCATCAGTTTAAAGCTATATAGGAACAGTCAAGGTTTTGGAAATCTTGTGGGACGGCATGGATGATAGACAGACCATATGCACCACCATTGCAAGTAACAGCACTAAATCAAAGAGAACTTAGCATTATTAGCATCGTCTCTACAAGCAAGGTAAAGTGGAAACGGTTGTGTGCAGAGCATGCACAGAGGATGACGAAACGCTGCAGGAATACCTTTGCGAGCGTTCAGCCTTCAGCCAATTGAGACGTCGCATCTTTCACAATGCGCCCTCTAAATGGCTTAGGTGGGACCGCATACAGTCAGGTCCACAACCTTCTTCCAAGATCGCCGATGATCGATTACCGGAATATAAGTGAATAACTGCATTAAGTTTTGACAGTGACGAGTTATAAGCCTAAGTAGACTGATTAATTTATGAGTCTAATGTGTATGCAGGTATGTATATATGTAAGCAGTAGAATCCATATGAAAGGCTGAATGAGTAATTAAGGGAGTTTCACTATTATTATATCAAGCAGCTAAACAAAAACAGGTGTACAGGTGTATGTACTCGTATGTAGTAGGGCAGCGTGTGTATCAAAAGCGTTATCATAATAAGATTATACACGTTCATTCTAGCGTCAATCATGAGTCATAAATGTTTTCTACTTGTATTTTAATAAAATCAGAGCCAATCGCCGAGGGGAAGTACCCCAAAATTTATTCTGACGCCATGAGATGAATAAAAATCAATGAATGGATTAAAAATTTCCAGCGTTTCTACAAAAAGCCTCTAAGGCTTTCACAGCTACCAAAAATTAACACTTTAGCTGCCAAGTGTTGAAATGATTAGCGCACATTAAGACCCTGTGATGGTGACAACGGTTGTTCACATACATACGTATGTATGTACGCACTATTTCCAAAAAAAAAATTATATTTTATGTACATATGAGCGTGTGTAATTACCTTCATACGTAAAATTCATAAAATACTAGATGCAATAAAAACAACTCATAAATCCATTATTGGCTATTGGAATTTGTCATTCAAAATGGAGAGTCAACAAATCAAATTATAAACAACGAAAGTGAGTTTTATAAAAATGCTTGTAATAAAAAAAAATCAGTGCTTATTATATGTGATATAAACCCCCAAAAAACACAAATTTCTTTGCACAAAAGCAAAGGCTTATCACATCATGTACAAATTTACTTTCAGATAAGCAGAATTCTTTTCGACCTCAGCATACTTTTAACCAGTTCTAAATTGCTAAATAAAGAAGGTGAAAATGCCTGATAACTCTATCTAAAATTGTATTCAAGCAGAAAAACGGTTGGTTAAACACGAGAAAAAAAATTTCGCTGCCACCGTGTCTGATTACTTCGCAGAAATAAACTTTGTGTGCTGGAGAGCCTGCTAAATGCGATGCTAAGTAAATTATATCAAATAAGAATTAATAAGAATTAATTTACATTCAGATTGACGCACATAAGGGAAACACCCAACAGCAGGTGTTTATATACAATACATACTTGTACATATATACAGGTGATTCGAAAAGAGTAAATCGATTAAACTTTTAAAAATAGGCTGCCTGACGCATGCTTTGTGAATGGAGACGAGCTTCCACATACATACATATTTACATATAGCGTGCGTGCTGCTTTCTGTGCAGTGCGGCTTTTGGTGATCTGCGAAAGATATTGATGCAGTGTAACACCAAGCCAACAACCACAATTGCTATATTATCGAAAAAACCACATTCATTTTTTCTTTGCAAAAAAATTAATAAAAAACCAATTAAATAAAAAATTACAGGCTCGTGTGCTACTCGTGCTAAACGTAATTTAATACGAGTAAGGTATCTACCACATGTGGGAGAAATATTTGTGGAACGATTTTTAACATTACAAATCATATGTTTTGAGGTGAAAATCTAAACTGAGCTTCCTAACTGACAGATGGAGGTAAGCAGATTTCAGCATATCGTAAGGATGGGTAGGAGTAAGTCAAAGATTGACTACCGTTGACTCTTTCATTTGAATTTGAGAGTGGTGTAGACGTACTTATTCGCAGCCAGTGTTACCAATCAATAGGGTTATTACAAAACCTCGTCTTGATTTTCCTACATGGCATTCATGAGCGACAAGAAATATTTTTACATTTCAGTTTATCTGCATAGTTATGTTAAAGAAGAAAATGCCGAATATATAAATATATATATTATATATACGTATATTTTTTTTATTGATTAATAATAAAAAAATAATCATTTTGTTTGTAACAGTGTTATGCAATTAAATGAATGTTTAAGTTCCGTTAACCTATATCCCCAATGGAGAACATCTGAAAATCTGTAAGTATTTATAAATTTGTATTTGAACCCAAACTACGCGGCAAAATGCGATAAGAAGGATATGATATGATTAAATGCACGAGTGGGAAATCAGTACAATAGATAGTTATTGCGTATGAAAGTGATCACAAACATTTATCTTACCTACTGCGTGCAGATAGAAACAAGATAATCATAAACATACATAAGTAAGTATTATGTATACAAAAAGCAAAGGCTGTGAGCCACAAGGTCGCCTCCCTTCCGCCAATCTCAGTTTTCTTATTGTTTTTAGATAGAAATTTACTTGTGTTTAGAAACGGCAATGTCTCACAACAATTAGTCCTGGCATGAAAAGGATAAAATAAAAAAGTAGGTTCAATATTTCCAAGTCTCCACTTTATCTTGGTTAGTGAAACAAGTATAAAAGTGGGTAGTTGAGAAAGATGTATATATTACAAAGTTATGATAATTATGTTTTCCTTAATTTCATTTTGTTTCATATTTTTCTGGTTTTTAAATTTTTGTTTGTTTGTTTTATTCTTTGAATTTTTTATGTTATTTTATATAAATTTATTCTGCTTTATATTATTAAATTTAACTTGAATTTTATTGTATTTGAAGTTTATTTTATTTTTATTTTTATTTTTTTTTGTTCTATTTTAGTTTGTTTCATTTCAAGACGTTATCTATTTTTTCAAATTAGTTCGATTTAATTCAATTTAGTTTTATTTTATTTTTCTCTATATTGGGTTTCTCTTTGTTTAATTTTCTTTTATTTCATTTTATGCTATTTTTTCTAAATTATTTTATTAAGCAAATTAAACTATATTGTTTTTAATTATTGGTTTACTTACCTTTGTTTGAATTTTGTTATTGCTGGCGAATGTTGTTGTTTATAATTTTTACAATTTATAATCACTCCATTCGTTCAAATGCACTTACTAGTACTTGCTATATACACATGTATCCATATACGAGATAAGTTACACTGACGTCGGGGCGAAACAAGTTTTCGTACTACAAGTAATATCGCTTATCACATTATCTTTATTTCAAAAAAAAAAAAAAATACTTTTTCACACAAATAAATCCATTTAATTTTTAAAACATTTAAAAATTCAATGATTCTTTCTCTCAACACTTTCGCCGTAAACGTTCGATCGAAGTTTGCCGCCTGTTGCCGACTTTGCACTTACACGTACCGCCGTCGTCGGTGTCCCCGTCTCAACTGTCACACACAACAAGGTGCTTAAGCTGGCGTGCTACCCAGAATGCTGTTGAGAATGCACGTAGATACATATGTACATACATGCATACAAACTGACACTTAACGTATCGAATTACGCATCAATTACGAACGAACGAACTCAGACTCAGATCCAGACGACTGTGAGGAGCTGGGCGCGCTGTAAAGTGCTTACAATCAAATGGAGTGTGCAGCAACAACAAACAGGGAACAAAAACAATAACAGGGAATATAAAATTGTAATCAAGTGAAAAAGAAAATCTAAAGAATATTTACAATGTTTACATACAAGCATGCAAATATACTTTCATACATAAGTACATATTATGTTATGTATAAATGTATATAAATATGTATATACATATATATGTGTACATAGATATGAACGCATATTAAAGTTGGCAGCCAAAAGTCAATTCTTTGCTGCGAAAAATATATTCAGAGTTGTGTAAAAGGACCAAGCAAATAAACAAGCAAACAACCGCACAAAAACATTTAAACAATGAAACTCCAGATAAGATGCACCGTATGTATGTGTGTATGTATGTACGTAGGTATGTAGCGAGTAATTAATAAACTGCATGCTTTACACCAGTGATTGCTTTGTATTTGTATCGATGTGTGTGCATGTGTTTGCGTTAAGAAGACGCAGTATCTCTGAGATACTGATAACAGTCGAATATGGATTACCCAGCAATAAATTTATGTGGATTCCTAATTTTTTTTCTAAATTTGAATGCGTTACCTATACAGTTAGTTATTCTAAAAGTTCAATGCCCAAAAATGACTATTAAAATTTTTATATATTATTTAGATATATGAAATATGCGGTTTTCATGTACCACTTTTATGCATTTTGTCCTTTAGTGCGGCACTATATTTTACAAAGTTAAGTTAAGTTTTTTCGTAGTTTTATAAAAAATCTCTATTAAGCTAAAACATGTCAACCCTTTACTTAAGGTCCTGCAGAAATAAATCTTGGACTTATACTGGTCTTAAGAGGACCAGTTACATGCAAGTCTTATCTTTTTTATTGCTGCATACGTACGAGTATGTTCATGTGTACAAGTGCAAGTGTGAAGCAGGTACAAGAGCAGAGATAAAAAGGCACGACGAAAAGTGGACAAAGTGAAAACAAATTGAAATTTAACAAAAACAATATTTAGTGTGAACAACAACAATAACCAAAACAGCTACTTACATACGTGCAAGGCAGTGCAGAGAAGCAAAACACTAACTACATATAATAACAACAACAAATATTTTTAATTGTTTGACAAACGCGTCGCGAATCTCGGTTAGGAGATCTCCTCTCCGGCCGTCCGGCCGTCCGTCTGACTGTCTGTTTGTTTGTCTATCGTCCAATTAATATGTTGTTGTTCCATGTATTTTTCAGGAAGTTCATAAAACAGCGTTCATTAATTTCAGGTAAATATGTATATTTGTAGGTAGTTATATGCACACGGCTGCAATTATGTATGTATGTATATCTGTAGGTGCTTTCGTGCTGGTTTATATTTTCATTTCATTTTCAAAACAGCATATTGTCATGTGTCTGTCACATTCTACAAATAATTCACACATTCGACTGAGGCTTTTACAATTTATTGCTTTTCTTAAAGGCACACATACATATATGTATGAATGTATGTACGTACATACATGAGTACATATATAGTAAATACTAAACTCAAAACATTCGTTTGCAAATATAGTTATGCACAAAAAATTACAAAAAAAATCGGAAAAAATGTATTTTTTTCATAAAAATTCTTACATAATTTTTTGAGTTTTTATTTTAAAATAGTTTTTAAGCAAATTTAGAGTGAGCCAATTTGTCTAATTAACTATCTTTTAACCTTGAATACGTGCAATGACGTCTTTATTGCATTTTTTGTAAATTATCTGACTCATTAAATTAATCCGTATTCGCAATCGATGTAATTAATTGTGTTTGAATTCGCTCATAAACTATGCGTTTGATAATTGCTTTCGAATTTACTTCGATGATGGCGATTACTCGTAAACTTCCTTCCTTATTTTAAGCCAACAAACTCGTCTTGATTCAAACCAGAAATTATTTCACAAAATGTACACAATTATTTGAAATTTTCTCTTAATCACTGCGAGAATCAAAATGAACTGAGAAGCAAAACAGGTTGATATTTGGATAAGAAACTGGGTGGTGGTGCCTGGAACCAACGACTCCCAGATCCTAGTAGGTACTCGTCTCATATGTATGTATGAATATACGAAATTGGTGAAAATTTCCATATACTCTATTCCTCAACAAAGGTCTTATTAAAGAATCCATTTCTCACAGTCCACTTCACCAGTTTTCATCCGACTGTTTGAAGTAAAATAATTGAGAATTAAGCATTTTGTTTTGAAAGGCTTTCTGTTATATGAGTTATGTCAGTCTACTTGAAAGTGATTGATATGTACATACACGTATGTACTCGTACATATGTACGTTTGCAAGCATGTACTTCAAATTCGAACTCGAAGCGCCAATTTTGATTTTGAACGTGGTCAATTAACGATTCGTTAAAGTGCTGCTTTTAATATTGTATTTGTTGTTGCTGCTTTATTTTTGTCACGGCGTTTTTTATGCATACGAGTATATATGAACACCTCGATGTCTATAAATATATATGTACTGAATGTTTGTAAATAAAATACATATACAGCGGTATTACGCTCACTCTCAATAAAACTCGCTGGTGTTTCATGTGCACAATAAATTTTCGCATTTTATAAGCGGCTATTTTCTGCTCTTGGTATTGTTGTTGTTGATTTATTTTAATTACACAGCACTATGTATGTATGATTGCTTGTTGTGCTTTTTTGCGTGTGTTTTACTCTCAGTTGATTGCACTCACCACCCGCTTGCCGGTGTCACTTACAATTGGACTGCCAGACCGACTGAATGGCTTAGCTAAGTAAGCGTGTGAATGTGTGTACATATTTTTGCAAGTAACAGGTCGTTAAGTGATTACCGGTCGATCAGCCAGCGCTGCGATGCATTCGCAAATACTTTCGAAGCATGCGAGCTTTAAAAGAATAATATGAGCATCTACGTGTATGTACTCGCTTATAATTGTGCGGTCATAAAAACGTTTAAAAGCTGGTTGAAAAATTTAACAGTGGTGACGTACGAGTTTTGGAAAAAAGTCATTATAGCATGCACATACATACGTACTTACGTGTAAGTGCGATTCATAAACATATCTACTTTATTTATATTCAAAGAATTTATTGCTGTTGCTTTCGGCGAAAAATTGAAATCATTTTAAAATTGCGGGTTTCTTTCAAGTTCATTTCAGTTAGGGAAAGTATTAGAATTTTAATTCACTTACGTTTTTTATTACATTTAATTTTATGATTTTTCCGTTTTATTAAATTTTTCCCCTTTAATTTAATTTTATCCTATATTAATTGGCTTTATTTATTTTTTAATTTGATTATTTAATATTGTTTTAATTTATTTACTTTATTTCTGTCTTATTTTATTTTTATTCTTCTTAGTTTATTTATTTTCTTTCATATTAGACATTTTATTTTATTTTTGATTTTTTTTTTTAATGTTATTTTGCTTCATTTTATTTTCCTTTATTTCTAAAATATTATTCTAATTTATTCTAATTTATTTTACAGTGTTTTACTTTATTTTATTTTATCTCACATCAACATATTCGTACTTTGCTTATATTAATCTTTTCCTCTATTTCATTTTATTCTAATTTTTGTTAGTTTTTACATTTAATTTAATTCTAATATTATTTTCCTTCAATATAGTTTTTTTTTCTTTTCTGCACCTTATTTCCCTTAGATTATTTTATATTTTTTTTAATACGTATTAGCATATATTGTACATATATAACTATAAAAACATAGACATGTATGAATTTTTTGAAAAACTCAAATGGTTTTTTCGATTAATTTAATAAAAATTGTCCACTTCAGTGATATTTTTAACTGCAGTCGTTCCGGTGTGCCTGTATTAATTTCATGCGATCAAAGTTTCGTAGAGGTTAAGAGTAACAACCCACCGATCACCTCTTCGGATACACAGATATACATTCATACATGTCTATATGCGTATGTACCTGCTCAGCTGAGCAAATTGACGACAAAATGTTAAATATTGCCATATAATTGCTGAGACTAAGCGCCATTAAGTATGTAATAGGCGTAATAAACACAAGCACACAAGCACACAGACACAAATATACATATGTACATACACACATATACGGATATTTTTTTGGTTCCCCGGAATTCTAGCAAACACAACTACAGATGCAAAACAACACAATCTGTCTCCGAATGCTGATAACGGAGATAAGGATAAACTGGAGCGGGCAGAACAAATACTCAGCTGCTAACTGAACTCAATACACCTACATGCTGGTGTGTGTGTGCGTGTACACATATATATATTCTTTAAAATCCGAGAAGAAATTTGCCTTGAATTTCTTTGTTTGCAGAAAATATTTACATCTCAGTTTTTTTTATTGCAATCACAAATTTTTGGATTCCACTTTGCCAAAAAATCACTAATTGCCTTTCGAAAGAAGAAGAAGCAAGCAATAACAAAAAAATAAAATCCGCTAGAAATAATGTCTATCTCTGGTAATCAGCTAGATATCTGTATGAAACGCAGCGAGAATAACCGATCTGAGGGCCTTGCAAGCTGTTAGAGCCGACCCGATCGACCGTGCACGAGTCCGGAAACAAAATGTGAATATTAAAAAAAGACCAAAAAGAATACGTCTTCGTTTGTGTGCATTTAACGGCCATTCATGGCAAATAATCGGCAAAACCGATACCGTCACTTTCGAAACACTTTCAAACGCTACGATTGCTGAGGTACGACTGAGGCCGCCTTGCCTGAGCGAGCTTCGGACGAGCTGTTGAGCACCTGTTGGCCCACATATACAGTCAGCGCACCACCCCTTAGCGGCTCCACTCGGCACCTGTATTCAAGTGGCATACGTCCGCGCGGAAATGGCTGCGCTCGCTCCAGTTATGTGCGCTCAGTTGAGTGGTAGCTGGCGCTTCGTTTGCTATATTGTTGCGGTATTATTGTATAAGCAGCTGCGGAAGGGCGAGCGAGTAGTCGCTCTCTGTTTACCCGCTGACGTGCCAGCTTGTTTGTTGACATTACGTTTGATGTTTTTTCTGATTTTTCACATCAGAACATAATTTAATTTTGCTTTTAAGTACAAAATATAAGCTATTCCATGACAGTTTGATTCTTTGCACGTTTTTTTTTAGTTTTATCTGGAATTCAATTGTAAAATGTCGAGGTACTTTCGGCTGGGTGTGTTGGTGTGTCAAACTCACCGTCGAGCCGGTATCCAATATTTTGAATATGAGACGGAGGGTAAAACTTATCTAAAGCTCATAAATTTCAGACAAAAGTCGGTGTCGAGCTTCCCGTCTCTTAATACTCAAGATTATATCTTTTTGGCGAAAATTGCATAACGTAGTAGTTAGTTAGTGGGGTGAGTTTCCGGAATGGGGCCAAATCTATCTGAGCTGAAGTCGGAACAATTATATGAATCGCCAGTTTACAAGAAGAGGGATCATTAGGAAGAAAATTCAAACACAAGAGTGATTTAGTAGAGGTGTTGCAAATGTCATCAGATGACGAGTGTCATATAATCGGATATCCGTCTTTCCGGAATCGAGGTCGATCTCAAAAAGGTTAAACACGTAAGGATTCAATTTCCTTATTGACTTAAACCAATCCGAAGCCACGATCTCTCTGAACCGAAAATTCTATGGCAACTAGTTGGGGTTCTGCTGCACACATACATTTGTACATTCTCCGCTGCCTTGCTTGCGTTTTCTTTGTGAGCAAAGTGATAAGATACGGGTATCTGTTGCTGGTGACATGCTGCGGGAAGCAAATACAAGTAAGCTGTTATCAAGCCGCATCACACAATGTTGGCATACACTTAAAAATTTGCTAAACAAACTGACTCACACAAAGAGACGTATGCATGTGTGAGTCGCTGTCTATGCCTCCTCTTGGAGGTGAATCTAGGAACATTTGCAATCCTCATAAGTGTAAATGTCTAATTATAATTTGCTTTCTTTCCAAGTATTTACTTAGTGTTATCAGTTGCTTTGTTTGTTGTTTCTAATTTAATGTGTAGAAATTTGCTTCACCCAAAGTCTCATGTGTCTGCAATTGTTTTTGTGAAAGTTGACACAAATCTATGGGGTATTATATACTTTTTTCATCGGTGGGGAATAATATGCATATTTTGGTAAATAAAATATATTTGTGGCTACCTAAAGAGGATGATCTGTGTTCATATAAGAGCACCCACTTAGAGTCCTTTAGCTAACATGGGAGAAGCGGTAACAACTGGTTGAGTATGGACAGACTCTTCGTTTATCGTGGTAGGCGTAGTTTGTGCTCTACTAGAACTTCATCATACTGATTATACAAAGAAAAATCTTAGAAAGTAGTAGACTCTGTCAATAATCAACTCAGCATGCTGTATACATAGGCCATGCGTCTCTGTCTCTGTATGTCGGCCAGCTTTTCAAGCTCTTCGTCATCATGCCCATCGATATCTATTGTTTTCGGTATGTTTTTCACTGTCCGTTTATCCCAACATTATCAATATTGATGCAGACACAGCCATATAGCTCGGCGAAGCTTTTACGATCGTTGTCGAAGCTGAATTCAATAAAATGAATAAATTTCATAAGAACCCAACTTTGAATAATGATTTGTGATTTATTATATCAATTTTACATTAAATGTTAGCTTTTGAAAAGCTTTGGAGAATTTTATTAGGGTTTTATCAAGTAAAAATACTAAATATTTAAGTACGCTTCTTCATTAACGAAATTTCAATAAATACGAACAGTATGTTGTAGTTTCAATTACTTAAAAATTTCTTCTCATCTACCGGTTTTATCCTCAAAACTAAATTACTTAAATGTAACTTAAGCTAGTAATATTACAATACGTAATTGCGGTATTCCTATACTTCGAGCTCACGTTAGGAACAAAGTCTCGTTCAACTTCGTTGAATTAATACAATGATACTTCGATACTCCGCGGTCTTTTCTCTCTTAACTTGTATTTTTCATGATTATGAGCGGTACTTCGGTATAGCCATTATGTAACGGTAAAGCCGATTCACTACTCTCCACGCTCTCGGGTAGCATCAGACGCGTGTCACGTCTACGCTGACGACTGTAGCGTATGCCGTAGCTGAAATAAATCAATAGACCGATAGCAATCCAAACGCCAAAGCGTACCCAGGTCATAACGTCTAAGCGGACCATGAGATAGACGTTGATGAAAATTGACAAACCGGGCAGCCAAGGCACCAGTGGCACTTTAAAGGCCAACTGGGTGGCCGATCGCGGCTGACGTGAGATTATAAATAATATCAGAGGTAGAGGCAAGCCAGCGATGATAAGAAGTACAATGTAGGGCGGTGTTATGCTGTGGGGTTCAATTTCCACCTTCTCAAGGAGACGGGAGAAAACAAAGCACCAAATAACTGAAGGAGAGAAGTGAACAATTAGAACTATACATACATATGTATATAAGAAACGTTCAATACTTACAGTATAGTGTTATCATGAAGGTCACCAAGCGACTACTCTGCTTGTTGGCCAAAAGTACATTATTGGTATTGAATAGGCGTCTCCATAGGTTACAATTGCTTTTCGTGTGATCCACGAGAGATCTACCGTTACCAATACTACGGCCTTCTCGACGGTCATCGCCGTCATAACGTAAAATTAGGACGCAGCTTGCCACCATCGAGTAGGCCAGAAGAGTGCCAATAGACATAATGCTCACTAATTGGCTGAGCTTGAAGATCGCTGCTAGAAGACCAGTCAAAACTCCAGTAATAAGTGTGCCTTTAAAGGGAGTTTTGAAGCGCTGACTAATATCGCCCATGCACTTGAAGAGCAATCCATCCGAAGCCATAGCAAAAACTATGCGTGGCAGTGGAAACATGGCACCCATCATACTTGCACATAGCCCACACAACGCGCCGATTGTTACCAAATATTCGGCAACCCACCAGCCATAACGACTGAAGACATGCGGCAGCGGAGCTTGTTCGTCCTGCTCGAAGTATGGCAGCATCATGGTGAGCACGGTGGAGACGCCAAAGTAGGCGAGAAAGATCATGGCGAGAGATGTGACGACGGCAAACGGTATGGATTTCTTCGGGTTCTTGGCCTCCTCCCCGGCGGTGGCGATGCAATCAAAGCCGATGAAGCCATAGAAACAAACCGCCGCGCCACGTATGATGCCTGTTAGACCATATGGGCTGAAACCGCCATTGCCGTAGCCTTCCGGCACTTCCGATTTCGGTATCGACCAGTTACTGAGCGAAACTGTGAGAAAAATGAAGTTTGTTTTGATCATAGATATTGTTAATATAATTTTCTATGGACTTACTTACCTTTAAAGAGTCCAGCGATGATTACAAAGAGCACCACGCTCAAGTTGAGGAATGTAAAAACGTTATTTAAACGCGTCGACTCCTTAGCGCCCACCGCTATTGCCAACGCAAAGAGCACGGTGACGATGAGAGCGAAGAAATCCGGATAATCACCGAGTCCTTCGATGTTCATGGCAAAGTTTTTGCTCAAATAATCTCGCATGGCATAATTCAAGAGCTTGTCCAGATATGTGCTGAGTCCTTTGACCACGCTAGCGCCACCTAAGTTGGGAAAAGAAAAGAAGGGTGCCAGATTAATTTATTTATTTATTATTATTATTATTTGCAATGTCTAGCCAAGCAAAAATTAACAGCAAAAAGTTAATTTTCTCAAGTCAAAAGCGGCATTTTCACGCCCGAGCCAGTTAGTATTGGCTAAAACCAACAAGAAACCTGAACTCGCGCAATATCATGGACAGCAAGTGTCAATGGAACGTGGGTTGGCTACCATGTGTTGTTGTTTTTCGTGTGCTTCATGCGCGCATACGTCCAATTAGGCGCCAAAGATCGATGTAAGGAGATGATACCGGCGAGAGATTGTGTCGGCAAACAAATACATAGATACAGAGATATTTAATACACGAAAAACTTTGAAATGATATGTACATACATATCTATGTATGGGGCTACATACATCCATATATGCAATTAAATTGACGAACGCGACATAAATTACAATCAATTAAGGCTACAACAAAGTCGAATTGAAATCGGAATCGAATTACGGAAAGAATTGAAGATGTGCGTACAAGCGCAGCACCAAAGAGGACGTGAAGTTAGGAATTGTTAAAAATGATTGCAACTAAAAATGCGTGCGTCTGATTGCTTGACAACAAAGCATTTCATTTATTTTCTTTTTTATATGTATATTTTTTAACTCACCTATCGCATACTCCAATATTAGATTCCAGCCAATAATGAAGGCCATAAATTCACCAATTGTAACGTAACTGTAAATATATGCGGAACCCGCCTTTGGCACGCGGGCGCCAAACTCAGCATAGCAAAGGCCGGCGAATATTGAAGCTATGGCGGCAATAAGGAAACTTATAACCACCGCCGGACCGGCGTACACCTTGGAAACTTCACCCGCCAACACATAAACGCCAACACCTAACGTCGAGCCGATGCCCAGAGCTGTGAGATCAAAGGCGGAAAGAACTTTAGCTAATTTTGACTCGGTAGTATCCTCCATGGGTTTGCGACGCGTCAATACATGATATGCACCGGATATGCTGAGTGATGGCATTCTGTGGGAGTAGTGAGAAAGGAAACAAAGTTAGAACGGAATGCATTCTTCTTTTAGTTCTTAGCTATTTTGTTAGTGGATTTAGTAATTAACGGTACGAATGCAGTGTGCTTGCAGCGCATTAACGATACTATGTTGTTGGCGTGACGTTTTCAATGGAGAAGTCACGTTTCTACTTCCTATGGAGTTGCTACTGGCATTGCGTACGTCAAATCATTTGAGTACATATTCTTTGTTAGCCTCAGATCTACTTTAAGCTACATATGTAGGTCTATTATAAGTGAAAAAGTAAATATAAGGAAGTTTGGAAAATATCTGCAAAGAACACTTTACACTTCTACTATTTACCATCTGTTAATCTGTTAATTAATTTAATATCATTTTATTCCATAATAAAAATTATTTAATGTTGTGGCGAAAAATTAAGATTTCATTAAGATAAGGGTTTGATTTCGGACAATAAATAATAATAAATCCATCCGTAAGTCAGCAATATCGCTCCGAGTATTCTCTTCCAAGGCGTCAATTGTCTCGAGCATATCGGCGTAGACCAGCGACTTTCCATAACCCTACAAAAAATAGTTCAGACGTGCTGAAAGTTTCTTTAAGAAATAAATTGATCAACATCTTCCGATTCAGGCAAGAAAAAGTCATTAATCATGGCACTGAAAAGGCCCTATGATTCTCTCTGCCCATATAGCCCCCCAAATAGCGACTTTTTGAGGATGTAATGGCGTCTCAATAATGTCTTGTGGGTTATCCTCATTCCAAATGCGACAATTTTGTTTGCTGGGTGCGTCAGTAAACCAAAAGTGAGCTTCATCGAAACTGAACAAAATTTTTTTTTGTGAAAATAGCGATCGGTGGCCATCGCATTTTGGGCCCATCTCCCGAACATGCGACGCGCTTGATGATCGTTCGGCTTCTATTTTCGCACGATTGGATTTTGTAAGTCCGCAAACCCTGATCCTCTGCTCTACTGTAGCAATAACGTGAGGATGTGCATTATCTACTAAAGTAAAAATGGACCGAAATCGATCTATGGTTGCTCGAGTTGCCAACTCTGCTGGGCGATTGTCACGACCGTATATTTAAAAATTAATTGACAATTTGCACGAATGCAAACTAGACTGAGTATAAATCAAGTAATAGCCATTATAAAGAAAAACTCTGATAAAACATTAAGAACATTTTAAAAAAATTCACCCTTGAGGAAGGCATTCTAGTAGACTAAATTTAAATTATAATCGGTGGCGCATATGTTTTCCTAAAATTCATTTCGTATTCTAAAACCATTTATTCACCGGTATGAGCTTTAGAAAAAAATTAATTATGTTCGTATGTGTTTTTGTGACAAAAAATTTGTTGAATATATACATTTCAGCACGTTTTGTTGTAAGCAAGCAAGTGCTGTAAAAATGTATAGCAGACCAAGAAAACGACAGTGATACATATGTATATTAAATAAAATGTTTAATATAAAACAAAACCATGAATGTAACTTTATACCTATGGATATGTATATATATACTAGTATGTATGTACAAAGAAATACTTTGAAGTGTGGAAATATTATATTTTTGTTTAAATTTTTTTTTTTAAATATTTGCTTGTGTATGTTAGTGTAATGTAATTTGATAACTGTTAATTGATCTTACATATCTACAAATACAGAAACCGCAATTATAAAACATTATAGATCACAGGTTGTGAATGCCGTCTAAATCAAACAAAGAGGAGAAAAAATTTCTAAGCAACACAAACAATAATAAACACCATTATTTAATTAACACTTTTTGCTGATTTCATTTTTAAGTAAAAATTAGTTCATTTCAATGGCCAATTGGCTGTTTTAAAGATACAGTTAAAAATAAAATTCGGAAAAATTTCCAGATTGAGATTTCACTTCTAACGTGTTAGCTGATACAGTGAACGAGGTGAGGTGATATATGCAACTAACATGTATTACGTATGTATGTATGTGTGTAAGTACATGTGAGTACTGTGTAAAAATTTTGCTGAGCCAGAGGGTTACCGACCAAAATCGCTAAGTTGCACGAAATCGCAAATAGTCGTAATAAAATCTATACTTACAAGCTTTTCCGCTGGCGGAAAGAATGCAACTCAGTGCGTCAAAGACCTCGACAGAGCTACTCATGGTCAGTTCTTCTGGTGATAAATGACCACTTTTAACCTAGAACTTTTGGGTATTTTACGAATTTAAGTATGAATAATATGCACATAGGAATGTATATTATTTTGCGCTTCTTCGTATATTATTTTCTGATTTATTTGCTTGAAAAATATGAAGGTAATTTCATTAAGCATAAAATGAAGAGCATGATTTTAGGTATTTTGCTCGCCTAATTTTTTCCACAAATTTTGGTTAGCCTTTTTGAGTACAGTAAATCGCGCACAGTCACACTTTTCTTCTAAATATACTTTCAAATCTTTTTTAAATGTGCACATGAACTTGTGTCTTAAATTAAAGTGTGTATTTCGCAGCTTCAAAAGTTTCAAATAATTTTATTATTTGCCAATCATCGTTAATATTTCAATTACACGTCACAAACAATTCTTATATATTTTTTTTTAAATCTAAATAAATACCTTTCTTCGTGTAAATTGGGGAAACACTAACCGCCGTACTTTTCGAGTCTAATACTTTCAGTTTAAAAATCTTAAATTTTCAGCAATTTTTCAATTAAAAATTAATTATTAATTAACTCTTTTACTTAACACTCAGAATGACAATAAGTAGTAGTATTTTTTCACTTTCTGATGCCCATCAATTTCTGCTGCTACTCGTGTTGAGCGTCTGCGAAGATTTGATGCACAAGCGCCACTTAAAGCAGCTGCCAAGTTACAATTCGAATTTGAAGAATAATAAAAGCTTAAAATAGTTACGCGCAAAAACCGAAAGCTTCTAATTGAGAGCTTTTACATGAGCGGTAATTATTGTGGAATTGCAGAAGTACAATACAAAGGGTAATCTTTTGAAGGTCTGTGAGTGTGTGAGTTTTCAAAATTTGTGTACCTTAACTCATATTCATATTTCATTCATATTTTTGTTTTCTTCTCTTTATTTTTGATTTTATTTTTATTTCGATTAAATAAAATTTGGACGAATGAAAATCGGGTTTTCCTGACAGGAATCAACTCATACATATACAATATGTATGAAAATTAGAAACCACTCAACAGAGCCCGTTTCATTGTGTGCTGTAAACATAATTTTGATTTTGAGGTGGAAAGTTGAGTAGATTTCCGTGGCATACTTTAAGGTGTTGCATACTATGTCATTCAAAAAATGTGTGGTTAATTGTAATCTTTTTATATACTACAAAAAAGTGTGGGCATAAACATATATGTATATGAAATCACCAATGTTTATAAAAAAAAAAAAATTATTAAATGTAAATGCGTGTATATACAAACATACATATGTATTATGTTCTTTTCCCACCCTTAAAAAGTGATCGCTGAATAATAAAAAAAACAAATTTCGAATTCGTTGTATTTATTTTCAAGGTCGCGTACTAATATTGTTTTGTATGTATGTACGTGCATATGTATGTACATAAATACTTATATGAATACATTTTTCAACTTTATTGAGTGAGAATAAGTATGATTAAGTGTGTTGCTGTGATTCACGCAGAAATTTATTTCACATAATTAAATTATACATGCAAACGTAAAAATGTATAAAATACAAATGGCATTACGTGCATTTCGGCAACTCTGGAATTTGAAGAATCTGCCAACAAAACATTTCATGCTATCAATTGATACCGTGCGCTCATTTACGCTTCTCACAATTCTCACTAATGCTTCTCTTCGCATTTTGACAGAGCATAAGCAGAATTGCTAGAAATTCGCTATACGTTAATTTTGAGCAAGAGCGTCAAATTCAATATTGTGCTGCCCTCATGTCCACATGGCATCGATATATGTTTATGGATGTACGAGTGTGTATTAATAAACGTTAATTGAATAGTTTTTATGCTCTTGTTCTTGTTGGGGGAATACGCCGCCAAGTCAATTTCTATTTCGGCGCGTAAGTAAAAATATATCTGCACCTATTACCGGAGTGTTACGCACATACATATGTATGTATGTATTCATTTGCTCAGATCTTTTTTTAATTTTCTATTGAATTACAGTAGTTCAGTGGGAGATATTTTACGGCTGTAACGTTGACATTGTGCGGCGCCTATGACATACATACATATATTACGTATATTTAATACATACATTTGCTTGTATGTGTATAAAAGGCAATTGTTATAGCTGTGCATCAGTCTATTTGGATATTCTGACTAATTGGACTTACCCGCAACTCTCTAGAAATTCATCCATGGCTGTGATATTCTCCTTCGCTGCACTCTGCACTTTATTTAAAAATAAGGTATGTATGATTGTGTGTTTTATGTTAAAATACTGCTATTTTACAAGGTAAAAATACACTCGCTCCGTATTCTTTTATTGATTAAGTAATGAATTTCTTAACAAACACGCGACGTCCGGTGCGAAATGGAGCACATTTCTCATAATGCGTTTCTACTGTTTGGCGGTTTAAAAGCGAATATCTGGCTTGTACGAACATATCACAGAAGAAAAAAGGCAGTATAATTTGTGGCTATCGAATAGATAAATGTGCTCTGCTTGTCGATTTGCCGGCCACAAGGGTCTCGCTTCTCTTAGCACGGTGGTTGAACAGCTGACGGGTGACGTTTGAAGAGCGCCGTCAACATGTGTGGTTAGAGCTGCCAACGCTCGTTTGTAATACCAAATATACCCAAATACAGCTACAAAATGCACGGTTAATGTGCAAAATTATGGAAAATGTTCTAACATTTCTTTTTCTCTGCTAAATGTAGTGATTTTGTACCTCCATTTGTTATAGAAAATAATTAATTTTGTGCTCTTCGCATGGCTGCAATAACATGCTTGTTGCTGGTTTTTTGTTTATTAATTGTAAGATGTTAATGGTCATTAAATTTGTCCACCAAAACTCATTTCCTATAACTATTTCATCATGAAAGTTTTTTGGTTCATTCAACTCTTGACCATGAATTATTATTTTAAGTTTGATACACGCGATTATTTATTATCTCGAAAAGTTTTGCTTATTTATTTTTTATTTGAATTTGAGAATGTTAAATAAACTACTCTTGAACCTATCAATAATGTAATAATATTACAAATAAAAATGTACATATGTATGTATTGCGAACTGATTAGTAGTTGTGCTAGATTCCCTCTCTAATGAGAGCACACGCTGCGATGAAATCTCTTTGATATAATTCAAAGACGTCTGCGTTATCAAATAAAACTAGAAAATTTCATTTAGATACGCTTTTGAATAATTTGAACTTTTTATGAGAACTTATTTTTTTTGGGGTAGGTCACTCTATAAAAGTTTGTTCTCTTGAAATAGTTGTCTCTTACATTGACTTTTACGCTCATTATGCTGAGCGTGAAGTGAGCCGTTTCGAATAGCCTACGTCACACCACTTTCTTGAAGCGAATTGTGCCATGTGAGAGTGTACGAGGCTGATGGATGTGGTATTTGCTTGTAAGAAAGGGTCTTATTTCATGTGATGGCTTATTGGCGCGAATTGCATCAGCAAATTGTTGAAATGTACATGCATACATATTTGAATGTAAGTGCAGTTGCGGCGCGTGTGGGAATTAAATTCTTAAAACGCACGGTACATTCATTTCGTGGGTTACATTCCACCAATTTCTGTATGATATCTGAGGTGCTTGGAATTTCAGCTCCGCTGAGCAACCATTAATGATTCACAAAAAAATATTACTGTTTTTTGAAAATTGGATATTTTTAGCTGCACTATTTTCGATGGTAACCAAGGGCACTGTTATTGTAATAAATTGGTTTTTATGTGCGTATGTATGTATGTACTTACAAATATGAAATTGTATTGATTTCATTATAATTTTCCAACTAATTAAATAATTTATTTATAACGAAAACGTGTGTGAAGGTACGGGTACTGAACTGATTTAAGAACTGATAAGAACTCAACACGAATAAAGCATTTTTAATGAATCACAGTTCAACTAATTAGAAATTGTTTGTGTGTACATTGTATGGTCCCGTTCAAAAACCAATCAAAAAACGCGGAGATAATAGTTTAACTGTAATTTTTCGAGCTTTTGGAAAGTTCGCTGTTTATTTAACATTCTGTTAGTCCACATGCAGTTAACAGAGGTTGCTTATGTTACGGCAACGAAACGGAAAATACTTGTATGAAAAGTTAATAAAAGCCTTTGATTAAAATACATAATATTCCGACGATCGCTCTTAAAGAGATACGTTGGACGGAGAACAGGCTTCCATAGAAGAACCTATTATCATTGTAGTTAACCCATTGATGATGAATGGATAACCTAGACCGCATCGAAGGCAGAGTTCTCAGAATTTTAATGCATTTGATGGCGCTTCCGTCGAAGTATTATTCGCCTGAAGGCAGAATGTTGTTTTATGTGGTAAAATGCTAAAAAAGTTGAGTTTATCAAATGGCTAAGACACCAAACCACGATCTAGAATGATTACTTATGGCTCTATATATTCGGTAACATTGGCAACTCTGCCATCAAAGCTCAGGATAATGGAGAGATTGCAATTGTACACAGCTTTTGAGCACAAGACGAAAGCTCAGAGTGAGCTCAGTGTTTCCACGAAAGCTTTCCCGACACGGTTCCTATCCGTGAGCTCATGTTGTGGAGATTTAAAATCCGATGCTACGCTGCAGCAATTACTCAGTTGCGAGCGAATATTCGCTGACGAAGGACGTTCAAATTTCAAATTGCACGAGTTCCGCCGGTCTTTCGATACTTCAGTTTCAGTGCTTACATACATATGTGAAGATGCATGTTGACTGCCGCTATGTCTACGCTTGAACGTGTTTGTGTGTGCGTGCGACGCGGGGGCGTGAGTAGTTTTCGCATCCCTACCATTATGGGGGTGCGTTCGTGTGTGTAAAACAAACCATCGACGGGTTGTTATTAAAAAAATTTAGAAAACTTGAAAAATCCTTTGATTTGGCTAAAATTGCAGAAACTCGCGTATTTAATGAAGCAACAAAACGGCGTCGCGACTTCCGGAAAAACACGACGAGTTGTTGAAAATCATCGCAAGAGTGCCAGCCATTGTTTTTGTTGGTGTATAATTTATTGTGTACGACGTGAATTACATACATAGTAAATGTGTATGTATGTATTGTAGATATGTTCATATAAAGTGTCATACCAATACATTCGTACAAATAACTGTCGCATACATACTACATACGCAAAAGCCGCACTTGAGCTTGTGCCTGTGTGTGTGTGTTGTGCCGAGGTTTTGTATTTAAAGGCAGCGCGTGTTGAAAACGGGGAAGTGGCGAAAAATTGCGCAAGCGCGGTAAAAGGCATGCACGCTGCGGTTATTTATGACAAAATAATAATAATAGAAGATGTGGTAAAAACAGAAAAAACAGTAAAAGTTTTTGGTGAAAATAGGGAAATAGAAAGCTAGCAAAAATATTTGTAAAGATCCAGTGTAAAAACTTAGTAATTTTTGGAGTTGGATAATGAAAAACAGTTTATGAACTGCGAATTTTCTAGCACCACTTTAGGCGTTAAAGTCAAAGATTGTGGTGAGCAGATTATAAACAAAGCATACTTAATGAATGAAATGTAAGTAGGTGTATTAAAATATTTGATGCAAAGTTCCCTCAAACTATGAACCTTTCAGTGGGAACTGACGATCCAACGATCATCATAGAATTCATTGATTGAAAGGACTAATTCACCTAGAACTCGACTTCAAATAGAATCTAATTATTTACTCTTGTTTCACGAGAAGGAAGGAATTTTTTTTTTTATCTGTTTCTTATCATATTAATCCTTGGGGCGTAATTCGGAAAGAATTCGTGTACTCGTTTATTTTTAAAATCGGTTCGGATTTATGTTTTAGATTTTAGTTAGCAAATGTAAATGTATCCTCGAGAGAATGAATAAAACCCTTTTTAATATTAATTATTTCAATTTTGGTCACAAATGACTGCAACTCAATCGACTTGAACTTGTCACTTTTTCATAGTGCCTCTGGGCTACACGACGTCTGCGGTTAATGAGCCTCAACCTTCTATCTGTATTTCTACTGGTGCTTGCCCTTGTCCTCCTGCTTTTACTTTTAATCGTCTGTCTCAATGCACATTGCGAGATTCCAAAGGAATTTAAGTTCCTTGCGGCCATTTCGTAGTCTGCCACCAGTCTCCAGTCATCAGCGCTGTGCTGGCTTCTTAATCGTTGAATGCAAATTGCCTAAAGCTCTGCATAGCGGTGTTAGACAAGTGAGGGATGAGAACGTAGTATTGTGGGTGCCAATAATGGCGTTGAACGAAAACGAAAACTCTCCAAAGAGAGTTGCTCCCTCATCAAGTTCATGAAGAGAGAAACATATACAGACGTTTTCTCATAGCTGTGGGATAAACTCTCTCACTTTCTCACTCACTCGAAGTAGGGGCCACAAGAAAGGAGCTCGTGTCGTGCATAATTTGTATACGGTCGTAGAGGGAGCTTTTCATTCAAAATAAATTTCTTCCTCTTGTTGTTGTAATTGTGCAGCGTAATTTAGCGTGTGGTCGGTCCCTTGACGTCACCTCATTGTCGTCGTAAGTCATTACCCGCTATAGACATCAGCCATGCGGCCAAAACAAAAACAAAAGCAAAACAAATTCCTTATTTACTCTAGTGAGCTTTTTCGCATCTACCTTATTCCAGCCCTTCAAATTTAAATTTCTTTGTTTTATGTCCTCTCATATTCGTTTTCTTGCCGCTCTCTTTTCTTTAATTTTATCCCATGTGTTTATTATTTATAAGCAACGGTTTGAATATCATATCTTAAACCGGCTGCTATAATTCCGAATCTTTCCATGGTGCTGCATCCTTGGCTGTACATCGGGTCACCCTCTCTCCTTCACACCTTCATGCCTTCCTTGCCTGTTCTCCTCTCGCACTCCAAAAACCATTGTTGGAGTTTATGTATTGTTATTCACTGCTCGCCCCTCCGCCGTCAGTCGCCGGAAAACCTGAAGCTGGCAGGAAATGGTTGGGTTGCATCTGCGTCTGACTGTCTTTGTTCGCCGTCGTCGTCGCCGGCATGGCGTTCGTTGACATTTTTCTTTCGCTTTTACGCCTCTAGTTTTAGTTTTGCCAGACAGTCAGCCAGCGTGCGTCCTTCATGCCATGCCCCCCTATGGGTCTGCCTTTGTTTCGACTTTTATTGCACTTTACGTCATTTACCAATGGGTGAGTATGGAAAAGGTAGTTTCAATTTTCCATGCAATAACCGGTTACTGATTGTCTGGTTGGGAGTGTGACTGTCGAAGGCTTTACATATAATGCGAGGGAGGCTTTCAGTTCGGGTGTTTGGACTTGTGTTTGTTCAAAAATGTGGCCAAGGTTTTGTAGCGGAAATGAGTAAGTGTTGTAATCCTTTGGAATTGCTATTGCTATTGTTGTTGTATATTTGTAGCTGTTGCTGATTTTCCAATAGCTTTTCAGCGTTGTTTAGGTATCAATTGCTCAGGAAATGGCAGGCTGATTGCTCTACTTGGGCATGAATGGTGACTCGTCTACAGTTCAAATGTTTAAATGTAAGCAATGCCAAAACACCTGAAGCCAAATGAAATGCCGACGACATGCAGGTATCGCAGTAGCATTCAAATTCTGATGTAAACCCTTGAAAATAGCGGAGGACGGACGATAAATGAGTTTGATAAGCCGAAGGGGGAATTTAAGTGAAATGAGGCCGCCGTAGACAAGTGCGTAGCAGAGCGAGCTCACAATTTGCTGATCTAATTTTTACAAAGTAGCGGAAAATAGTACTGGTTTCTTGCTGAACAGGAATAGAGCATAGTGTCTTCAGCTGCGTGCCATTTGAAGATTTTATTACTGATATATTTCTTTAAGCAATTAATTGAATTAATTAATTCTGCTTCAAATCCTTAATTACTTAAAAAGTCTTTATTGGTAATTGGAAGTTCTTGATCGATATGTTTTGCAACTTAGTAGAGGGAAGAACTGTGTCGTTTTCGCTTAACCTTGGCAGGATTCATTATACTCTTCCTGGCTAGAGTGAACTCTCGAACATTAGCAACTTTTGACAGAAAAGTTATCCAAAGATATATGAGCCTTTGTATATTAGCTACGGCGTTGATGATATATATAGGATGACTGAAGTCTTCCAGATTTCCATTTAGAGCAAATGTATGGCCAACGACATTATCCTTTGCGCTAGGCATCAAACTCTGAACGCTATTATGAAATTCTAAGCGTCCAAATCGTACAAGACCCTGCACCATAAATGAAAGTCTGCAAATCTGGTTTTAAAACCTCAATAAAGCGCAAAATATGTTATATAGGGATAGCAAAATTTTTGGGGAAGGTGGCGTTGATAAGTCAGAATGATGGCAGCAGGAAACGGCGAATAGCCGGCTGCTTTACAAAAAATATTCCTCTTCCTAAAATCTGCATCGTAATTTGTTCGGTGCCATTATAATGCCACACTCAACGCCTAAGTAACAACATACATACATATTTACAAAGATATGGTAGACAGCTGCAAGGCATCGTTGTCAAAAATAAAGCCATTAAACTTTAAATACTCCAAACAAAAATTAGAGATACTCGTATATATACTATATATATATTATATTTAAGTATAAAAATAAAATTCTAATAACACATATACTTATAAGTATGCACATACATATGTACATGCATATATTAAAAGGCAAGCAAAAGACCACTGCATTGCAGAGATGCTGAAACACGAACAGCAAATAGAAATATTAGAGGGAATATACCTATGTCTGTATGTATGAAACAAATACAAAACGTAATTAGAAACAATGAAATAGAAAAAGATTCTTGGTACAAAAGAGACCCAAAAATTTTACAAAAATACTCGTACATGAAATGAAATAAAATAGTTACAGTGACTACTTACACATACGTACGGAATGCAGTTGGGTGTGGTGTATGTGGGGAAAATGAGTGTGAGTGTGTCAGCATCCAACGAACCCAACTGTTAGTGGCTGGGAAAGGCTGAAGCGAGTGACTTTCGTGCATACATATGAACAGATTCCAAATAGTGTCACCAGAGTAATTTGCAGTCAAATATTTCTTCTGAAATGTATACATCCATATGTATTTACCCTACTAGTTACCAGTAACTAGAACCCGACTGATTTTAATTTTCTTGTTATTTAGTTCAGTCGAAATCTATTTCCAATGTAAACAAATTGTGCTTTTGACACGGCGATGCCCTGCGAAGGATCAATTGTGCACTTATGCATCAGCTTTATACTAGTTGCATATTAGTTCATTTAGGCATTTCGATTTTCTTCTTCACAAAGAAATAATAATAAAACTAGATTTGCACGCAGCGAAACTCGAACCGTGACACTCAATTGCTGTTGCGATGATCGATAACAACAACATACGCTGGTGGAAATTATTATTATTCCTGTTACTGGTAGACTGTTATACCAATAACCAACGGGTGTGACTTCATCTTACCAATACTGGTATTGAACTGGAATTTTTGCATACCGGTCTACCTTATCCATGTAGGGTAGATAAGAGTGGTATAGTGATAGTAGTTGGGAGAACAAGGTGCGAACGTTGGCAGCTCCATCGGACGAGCGCACATAAGTCATAAAGTATTATGAAAGGATTACACGCCGTAATAATCCGACTCGCAAACGGCAAACTGACAGACCAACAGACAGATGTACACACAGACGGAGACGAATGCTAATGCAAACAGATACACGTACATAATATGTATATACGTACGAATAGAAAATACCATATGTGTATACATGTGCATGTGTACTTACTCTTAAATCCATCCAACTGTTGGTATTATTTGTAATTAGACTTTAGGAGGCAAACCTTGGGTGCTGCAAAAGCAGCAGATTTTTCTTAAATATATGTACATATGTATATATGTTTTTATCGCTTTTCTTCGTTTCTTGCTTTGCACTTTAAATTGTACTTTTAAATGAATTTTAAATTGAAAGCCCTTCACATGAATTATTCCATGACCAACACAGCTTCACTTAATACATATACTCGTAAGTACATTAGCGCACTGGAATAAGTAAACAATAACAATAATAATAAAAAAAATTTGATTATGAAAAGTGGATTTGTTTCAGTTGGCCCAATTGGAAGAAAATGTATGACAAATACTCACCCTGGCAGGCCTTAGGTTTTCAGTCGATATTCACAAATAAACCAAATGGAAAAGGTTTTGATTTCTGGCCTAGTTCCGCCTTAATCCCTACGCAAATGCTTAGTCTCAGGAGTCTTAAAAAGGAGGCCGACTTTATGCAGGGCAGTCAACGTAACGTGGCTTTTGGAAACGGCCGAGTTGTTGTGTAAAAGCAGCGCACCTTTGCGAGTTCTATTAGAAGAGCGCTGCTATGAGTTTCCCAGCTTGCTGTGCTCTTTTCATGTCACAGCATTGAGTCTTGTTTAGAAACATATTCGTAATGTTTCTCACATTACAGATGTTTCAAAATGCATGCGGACACTCTATTGTTTCTGTGGAGGTGTAAAAATTCTCGGCATCCATCTTGGATCGCCTGAATGGCACGGATTTTGATACAGTAAAGCCTCCA